CCATTTACCTAAATGAGTTACTATGACAGGAAACGTTTGGAATGAACATTGAATTGACTGCATAACAGAAGGATTTATATTCTACTGAACCTTTACTATTAACTCCTGAAATACCTGTGACATTAGCTATTTTTGACTCAACGTATAAACAATTACCATAACATACGTATGGAACAGATTTCATCTCAATCGTTTTGTCAACACTTTTCAAAGGACATGTCATATGGTATGCTCCCAGAAGCAATTGAACTCTATGACTCATTCGTGTTATCTTAAACTCCTTCGCATAACTGAACTTCAAAACTCCTGCAATAAGTTTAACATTCATTAAGTTTTCTTCGTTCTCCTTGTTTATTGTAGTATTTATGAGCGCATTTAACACTCCAGCTAATGTTTCCATCTTATATTCTACATTATTGTGAAATCTTATTTCGTGCTTCTTTCCATCTATTTCAAGCTCCATGAAATCTGTTTCATCTGTTATAACGAATGAAGCGATAGTATTGAAGTCAACAACTCTGAAAGCAAGCGCTTCATTCTGAAGACCTAAGTTTGTTTGTAGCTTTACTGTCCCGTATTCGTTTGGGTCTGTACTTTGCAAATAGAACAACATTTTATTCTCATTAAAATATGAGTATTGCTGCATATGCGTATGAAGCTGACAGAGCTAAACGTTTATATTTTGGTCAATACTCTCTCACACTTACTGACAAATATATTGTTATTTCTGATGGAAATACCGAGAAATACATAACATGGAAGGACTATGAAAAGTTTGACCCTATTTTAACTCCATGCACTATGCCATTCATTGTAAATGGTGAAGTTGTCATGAAGAACGACACAACTGTTTATAGGTCTGTATATGAAGCGTTAGAATATATGTTGAATTATAATCCCGAAAGATTTGACCCAAGCACTACGTCATGTACAATGCCTTTTATTAAGGATGGTGAAATCGTAAGAGTTCCGAATTCAACGGTTTACACAGCTGTTCAAAACAGTTTACAAAACATTTTAGCGAATATCTTTAATTCAGAAACTACAGAAATAAAATTACCATATATAACAGATGCTAAAGAAATTAAATCAAAAACGACAACATTATTTACGTCACTTAATGATTTAATGACTTATATCATTAATATTCCTGCACCAACTACAGCATTTGATCCAAACTCGACGGTTTGCAGTGTACCTTTCATAAAGTCGCAAACGGACTCTTTGAGTCCTGAAGGTCTTTCAGACCGAAGCGACCAGGGCGAAGCCCATGACAGTTCATTAATTGTTTTAAGGGATTCAACAGTTAATGAATCATTAAAGGCGTCATTAATGAAAATCATTGATTTTAATTCATTCACGAATACATATAATTCATTCATTAATGTTTCATATGCTTCTAAAGAAGGTGAGCCAAAAACTATCGATAAAGCGGTGTATGAAATAAAAGCATCAACGACGAAATTGAATTCGTTAACTTTTGACGGTGATAGTTTCGTTAATGACATAACATCGGGGAAAACAATTTTAACGAAAGAATATTTAAAATCTCATGTTAGTGAGTTCGTTGAAATTGAAAAAGAAGGTGGAATTAAGTTCGATCCACTGAATTTCATTTTCAGCTTAGCGAATGCGGGTGTTAGTTTCGCTGAATGGACAACTATACAGAGTGAAATAAATGCAATATGGACGTTTTTGGGGTCAAAAGCGGGAATGGGTGAGCTTGTAAATGCTGCAAGAACATTAGGTGAAACAGGAAATTTTGTAGATGGTTTTAAAAGACTTGTTTCAAATGTTTTAACAAACACAAAGAAATTATTTAGATATACCATACATAACGGACGGATTTTCGAACAGGTAGCAACAAACCCTCCGGTTATGGCTGCGTTGATGATGGTTAGAGATATAAAACCACGTAACGACGGGAACGAAGAACATGAACAACAGAGCCCAACGGGCTCAGAGCCACATAGTGGCGAGGATACTGGTCGGGTTATTCAAGACATTAAAAACGTGTATCCTGAAGTTATTGATTTATTTAGAGGAGTTAATGATTCAATTTCAAAACATTCTATAACCCTCGATGAAGAGAATAAATTAACAGATTATATATTCGTCATTATTGCAGAATTAATGAAGAGAATAAATGAAAAAGGAATTGGTGATATCATTAATGTCAGCGATGTAATGATGAAAAGAAATTTTGACTCATTATTTACAAAACCGAAAACAGAATATAGTCTTTATGACGTAATTACCGAATTAATGAAAAAGATTAATGATAATAAGAGTTCTGGCGGAAGAGTTGAATTAGAAGTGAATGATGTTAATGAGAAATTAGCCGAAAAAGCAGATAAAAACCACGTTCATTATATAACTTCAGACGAACAGATTATAACGGACTACCATGGATATTTAACACGAAGTGATGAAGCGAAGACAAAAAATGTTAATGAAAGAAGATATAAATACATTCGTGCTAAAGGTTATGACATAAGCTGTACTGTACAGTATGACACAGGTAAAGCACCAGAAGCATTTAGTTATAACGATGAAATTTATGCCTCTACTTTCTCTGTTAATGGTGTATTAGTTGAACCAAGATTTATGTTAAGAGTTAAGGCAAAAATAACGTTTGAAGATGCTATTAAAAGTAAAGCTGACAAAGTTGAACTTGACGCAACGAACAAAGTTTTGAAATCTCATAAACACAACATCTCCGATATAAATGAACTTCAAACTTCTTTAGACAGTAAAGCTGACAAGAACCATACACATAAATCCTTCACTACTGTTAGAGCAGACGACATAATATTGAACTTTGACCTTGGTTCAAGTGCACCATTAGAAAATCCAAGTACAAGCGTAAAAGATACTCTTAACAGTTTAGATAACAGTTGCAGGAACATTGAAAGTCATGCCAGAAACTTTGAAGCACATGAACTACCAGCAATGTTAGATAAGAAAGCAGACAAGAACCATACACATAAATCCTTCACAACTGTTGCTATAGAAAGTATTGAAGGAACGGTTGAAGAAACTGGTGGGGAGGGCGGAGCCCCGCCGCACGCGGCTGCATTATATTGTAAACCTCCTAACTTTCCACAAGGTTTAACATCGGATGACGACATAACGACGATGAGAAACATTAGATGTAAAGATGTTTATGTCATGAAGGATGAACATAATATTAAATTCACTGCTCAAGATTTATATGACAAGAAAGCAGACAAGAACCATACACATAAATCCTTCACTACTGTTAGAGCAGACGACATAATATTGAACTTTGACCTTGGTTCAAGTGCACCTTTAGAGAATCCGAGTACAAGCGTAAAAGATACTCTTAACAATTTAGATAAGAGTTGCAGGAATACCGAAGATCATGCCAGAAACTTTGAAGCATATGAACTACCAGCAATGTTAGACAAGAAAGCAGATAAAACTTATGTGGATGCAGAACTAACAAAGAAATTTTCGAAACCAGATACAATGACATTTACAACAGAAATTATAAATGGTGAACCAGCAACTCCATTTGAATTTGTTAGAGGTCTTCAACCAGATACTTTTGAATTTTTCTTGGATAATTCTATTGAACTAACATTACATTATAAAAGTGGAACAAATGCAACATTTCATCCGGGAGATACATTCCAAATGGTATTTAATGACATAAGTTCTTTAGAATATGTTTATAGAGTTATGAGCATATATGATTTAATATATCCTATAGGAGCTGTTTATACGTCTATGAATCCAATAAATCCAAACACTTTATTTGGTGGTAGATGGTATGAAATAGTTGACAGTTTTCCATTCTACACTAATACGCAGTCAATGAAGATGGGAGGTTCAAAGAAAATAGGTATTGAAAACCTTCCTTCACATATGCATAGGTTCAGTGGAAGAACATCTGTGGAAGGAAACCATTCACATTCAATAACAAAAAGAGGTTATACAAATCTTGCAGCGGGTTCGGATAGACAGGGAATGCATAGATATGATATCACAACTGACCCCAAAGATGTTAGCACAGGTATTTTCTGTGGAACTGCAGGAAATCATACACATGTTGTAGCTGGTATTACAGACCCAGCAGGTAATGGAAAAGATTATATGCCTCCTTATATAACAATGCACGCTTGGATACGAGTTGGTTAAAATCTTTAACTTTACATAAATGAGCTTGAAAGAAGTATTCGAACAACATCCATGGAGGTCATTTAAGAAGTTCAATGAAGCTGCAAAGAGTTCGGGATTTACTAACAGAGCTGAAGTGAAAAGGTTCTTTGACAAAAATGTTGTACATCAAACAAAAATAAATCCTTACGACTACTTTTTACCAATTTACTCCAACACTCCTGACGCATACCAATTTGACACTCTCATTCAAAGCAGAAAAGGAGGACATAAACCATTCCTCATCTTCATAAATGTTAACACTCGTAAAGCATATGCGTATATAATGAGAAATAAAGGAACTCATGAAGTGTTAAGAGTTTTACAAAAGTTTGTAGCAGAACATAGCCCAAGTATTTTAACATCAGACCAAGACGGTGCATACCTCAGCAACGAAATCACAGAATTTCTCATTAAGCATAACATAACTCACTACACTACTGAAGACCATAACCATAACATACTCGGTATCATTAACCGCTTCATAAGGACTCTCAGAGATTTAAATCAAGAGCGAGACTTTACCGAAGAAACAATGAAACATTTTCTCGAAGTATATAATTCCTCAACACATTCTACAACAGGACATACACCAAATTCAATGACACAACAACAAGAAGAAAAGTATATACAAAAGAAACGAAGCCAAACACAAAATATCAGAAATTCAACACAATTTACTCTCATTCCTGGTACAAAAGTTCGTGTAGTTCTTGACGACAAACCATTGACAAAGAAACGTTTAAGGTTAAGTCGAAATTATTATATCGTAGACTCTACGCAAGGTAATGGATATCTTATAAAAGCTGCTGACGACTCCATAGCATTTTACCCTCGACATAAATTAGTCGAAAGTAGTAATGGCAAACTTGCTGAAACCATTGACGAAGCAAAGCGAGGAGTGGTTATTGAAATACTTGACTATAACACAAACGATGACACTTATAAAGTAAGATATGAAGGAGGCGTTGAAGATGTTATACCATCTAAGAACTTGAGAGAATCTAAACCAACTCATCTGGGACCATTAGAGCGGGAGTACTGGAAAGATAAAAACATGCCAGAAAGAATAAGAAAATTCTTCTAAACTTTTTCGTTGGATGTAAATCAGACAAAAATATAATTTAGGTGAAGAGGTGAGATTTCACCTGTTTTCTCACCTCTTTTTTCACCTCTTGAACTTTTTATAACATTCGGTCATAACTTCATCAATTTCATTTAAATCACGATTTAAAAACTCATTGACTTCATCTTCAACCGTGTCATCTTGTAATAAGAATATTTTCTTTAGTTTCATGTCAACATCCCGAACAGCACAAAGGATAAAATCATATTCATTTCTTCCGTTAAACATACTTTTTCTTTCTCGTTCATCGTTAAATAAATTATTGAAAATATAAACAGCGGTGTAAAAGTTATGTACTGTGTTAAATGTTGAAGCTTCACCTATTTTAGATTTTAGGATTCTTTTAGTAAGTAAATTGTTATCGTTCTTTCTCTTTTCCTTATCGTTCATGTCGAATCTGTCGAACCACATATCCTGTATTTCATCGAATTTACGAACTATAGAATCCGTCATTTCCCTGGTTAATGAGGGGTAATCATTATTAATTTTTTCATATAATTTGTCCATATGATTTTCATCGACGTTTCCGGAAAGCATTTAATTAAAGCAAAAATATATTATAGGTGAAGAGGTGAGATGTCACCCGTTTTCTCACCTGTTTTCTCACCCCAGTTTTTCACAAGCGTTTTACATGAATTGTACGATGTATATTTGAAATCCTAAACAATTTCGTAGCTTCTATTTCTTCTGTCAGTATGTCAAAAGTTTTAACAATGCCGAAAGTTTCTTTATATTTCTTCTTGACGTCAGATAGAAGGAAATCGTCAGCAGTTGGATAGTTTTTGTTCAGAAATGCTAACATGTCCATTTTATTTTCTGCTGGCTTTTCTGCTTCTTTCTTTAAGTCTGCATAGTCGTTTCGCATTCTTTCTATCTCTTTGACGGAGTAGTTATATTTCCTAATTGCTGCTTTACATTTAGAACATTGCGGATTCATTTTTGCGTTATATTCTGAAACCTTACCTGCTAAAACAACTAAGGCGTCAATGGTTTTCTTTAACTCAAAAGCAGTTGGTCTTATCTGTTCGTTCCATATTTTACCTCTTCTATCTTTATCTCTTATCTGCCATACACATTCAGCAACTAACGAAACAAAGTTATCGTAGGTCTTAAACTCCCCGGATTTATATATGTCAGAAACATTCTTATATACCATGTCGCAATCTTTGTCCATAACCTTATGGTTGCAATGAAATCCTAGAAACTCATAGTTTACCTTTCGAATGAACTTCTTTATTTCTACTGAGTCAGTTGGTTTCACTTCTATTTCATCGAATTCAGGAATAGTTAGTTTTTGATGCTGAATTTCAGGTAGTTTAGGTAAATGGTCAATAATGTCCTGCATTTCATAAAGATACTGTTCATTTGTTTCATCTTTCGCACTACAGTCTAAATTACTTGTTAAAAGTTCTTGCTTTATCTTCTGGATTTTTGTTTCGAAAGTATATGAAGAAGGAATGAAGCTTTTCATCTCTACTAACATAGATGTTGGATTCATGACTAACGAGTTTGGTGAAGTTGTTGTGGACAGAGTCCCGCCGTTCGCGGCTTGAATTGTTGTTGTGCCGATTGTTGAAATCATATCTTTACATACAAAATAAAAAAATAAATAAAAATAAAACTAACGTTATTTTTCTATCTTAAGGAAATTCATGAAAATTCATGAGGTGAGGGTGAGAAATTAGGTGAAAAAAGAGGTGACATCTCACCTCTTCACCTATAATATATTTTTGGTCATTTACACTCATTTACGAAGAAGTTATGACAAAGCATTTACGAAGAAGTTATGACAAAGCATTTACGAAGAAGTTATGACAAAGTCACGAGGGTGAAAAAAGAGGTGAGAAAACAGGTGACATCTCACCTCTTCACCTAAATTATATTTTAGGTCAAAGCTTCCACGAGAGAAAAGATTCCTCATTCGCTAAGGATTCCAAAAATGAAAAAATCATTGATTTCGGCTGAGAAAAAACAGCAAAACCCTTCTTCCACGGGAACAAAGAAATAAAGAAGAAATAAAGTAAATTTTTTATTTATTCCCGTGGAAGATAGAGCACTTTTATGACACTTTTTATTCACGACAAACAAGACAAATAAAGAAAATAAGAAAATACGGCGCTGTCGCGGTTCGAACCACAGACCTTGACCCCTCCATAACACCACCTTAGACCACTGTGCTACGTAGCCTGTCGACATAAGATTTTATAAATTGCATATTTGACGTAAATTTATTTCCATCTGGCTTCCCACTGCATAAGATATTCATACGTGTTTGTAAGACATTCATTAAACTTCTTTTCTATTGCATCTAATCTTGCGTTATTTTTTTCAATAACTTGTCTGTATTCTTCATCATCTCCAGCAGTGTTTGGGTCTTCACGTTTAAAATATTCATTGTTAACCAATTTTTTATCTACAAATTTTATTAGTGTTTGATTCACTTCGTTATGATAACGGTCATATTCTTTCAATACGTAAGTGAAGACAAAATGCGTCGTACCTTCAATCTTAAAGCTTAAAGAACTTTCAACACAGTTTTGAGGGTCTGTCAGTGCGTCAATGAGATAGTATTCGAAGTCAGTCAATAATCTTTTTAAAGTCATTTCATACAGGATAAAATTTAATGTTGTGAAGAAATAGTGTTTATCTCAGAAAAAATAAAGTTAGTTTTTATTTTATTTATTTTTTTATCCTGTATGTAAGAACAGTAATGTCAACATTAGAGAACACAACAACTGCTATCGTTCATGAAGCCATAAATGAAGAATACGAATACATACAATATAACAAACAATTGAGACTCATTCGTTCAGTCAAAGATGATATGTATCAAATGCAAAGTATAATGAACGCTCTTCGTTCTACAAAGCAAGCATATCATTGGTTTGAAAACCAACAGGCAAAAGAACTTTTAGAAGAATTTCCTCATATGATTGCTTCCCTCGGAAAACCGAGGGAAGAGATTCCGTACGAAAATCGCAAGAATTTGGCACCTGGTTTGAAAGGTTATTATGTTCATAGACTTTTAGTAAATGCTGTAGCAATGTGGGCTTCACCTCGTTATGCTTGTTATATTTTCATGATGTTAGATGAACTATATAAAGCAGAACGTGGAGAGATGGAAAAGAAACTTCAAGCAAAAGATGAAGTCATTGAATCCAAAGACAAAAGCATACAGAAAAGAATACCACGTTCAGTACCAAAAGGAAAGGAAAAGAGTTATAAGTATATGATTTATACTGAAGAGTTGGAGAAAGAAGAAGATAGAGATATGGTTATGTTGCATTTAGTCAGAAGAAACAACAAAAGCTTTTACGACCTTGCTAAAATATATAAATCTGACAGAAACTGGTTCTATCGTGAAAACTTACCGATTTCAATGACACCGAATGAGCAAATAAAAGAAATTGTCAAAAATACTCTTCCTCAAACACACTATGACATCAAAGGTTGCACAATACTTACCTTCAAAGAAGACTTAACATTACTGAAGGAAAAAATAACAGAATATTTCGATAACTTCAAAGAGGAAGAATGAAGTCACGACAACATTAACGAAGAAGTCACGACAACATTAACGAAGAGAGAATGAGGTGAAAAAACAGGTGATATCTCACCTCTTCACCAAAAATATATTTTTGGTTAAATAGCTTCAGGGTCAATTTCTTCAACCATTTCACTTCCTTCGTCAATGTCAATTGAAGCTTCTTCAACCTTTGGTAAGAACTTTTGTATAACATCTTTGTTCGTTATTGTCTTCAGAGATGAAGGATAATATTTCACAGATGTTTCACCCTTCTTATATTCTTTCTGTTCGGAAAGATTCATAGCAATACTGAAGAAGTCAATGTTGGAGTTCTTTATGACAGTATAGTGTGTATCTTTGACATTCACGAAGAAACCCTTTTGTTTCAAAACTACTGCTAACTCTTGTGAAGTATAACGTTTGCGGTCAATGACGATAGCTAATGGTCTGACATACTGACCAAACTTAGATTCTTTCACAAACTTCTTGTTAAAGATAACATTAACGTTTGAAGCATTATTGAACTCATTCTTGATGGCAGTAGCGAGAGCATTGTATGAAAAGAACTTGCAATCTTGCATGTGTTTCATTAAAATAAAAATATTAAATTATTTTGAAAAATAACTTAAAAAAAATCTAATCTAATTTTTTCAAAAAATATTTTTTTTATTTCCTACTAAAGATGTATCGGAAGTTGTCTAAGTTAGAACACTCGGAAATAAAACAACTTCTTACAGAAGCTAATATAGATGTTGCAAAGCATTACGCAACAAACAAAAAAGCACTCGCTGACTTCATTAAAGACTATAATGGTGCAATAAGTTATGATAGAATTCATGAGTTCATAAAGCCGCAACGCGGCGAGGACGAAGTCCATGCAAGAGCATTTCCTTTAAATGACATTGCTATTGACTTATATCATAGACGTTCAGTACCTCATGAAGTAAGAAGAGAGATGTTTGACATAACAAATGCAAACGTTGGTGAAACAAGAAGAGCTGTACCTCATGAAGTAAGAAGAGAGATGTTTGACATAACAAATGCAAACGTTGGTGAAACACGAAAGAGAGATGACACACTGAAACAACAGAGAAGAGAGATGTTTAAAAGTGCTATAGAACAAGTTCGCAAAGCTAACGATGTCATTCGTTCCATTGACGACAAACCAAAAGAAGGTGAGAGATGGTTAAAGAAAGATGAAGAGAATAGGAAGAGAAATGTGAAGTCAGGCAATAGACTCATTGACTTTAACATCGAAGCTTTAGATGAACCAAACAGAGACTACTTACACAAACATTTCGGTAAGGTTTTCATGAGACTCTTAGAGAAAATTAAAATAAACTCGCAACAGAGATGGATGGTATGTTATAAACTTGGTGGAAAGTATGAATGTTCTACGTTAAACCTCAATAATATTGGAACATTACTACATCAGCTCTTGAAGGAGAACTTTATATCAGAGATAGAAGCAAATGCTGCAGGTATTGTTGAAATGCACTATGACTTCTTCTTGACAAACATAAAGAATCTTACCGAAATAAAGATGTATGATTTAACAGAATATGAAGGCTTAACGATGTCAGATGTAAAGAAAGGCAAACCAAAAAAGAGACCATATAGAGATGAAAGCACACTGACAAATGACCAGAAAGCCATTTTGGAAGCTCTTAAGCAAACAGGAAACCCAGCACTTATAGAAAGCTTTTGGAAAGATAATGGTGAAAAGAAGTTTTATAAGAAGAGAAGCGGTCAGTTCTGGAAGTATCTTTGCACATTACCTATAAATCTTGAACGCTACCAAATCTTCAATGAACTGAACAAAAGAACTGCAACACTTATGACAGAGGACAATTGTTTCGTTTATGCTTGCATTCAGGCTGGAGTAAATGAAGAAACTATTGACCACATGAGAGAAGTCATTCGTGTTAGAGACTTTCCTCAAAGTAAAGTACAAGAAATTTCCGATTCAACAGGTATAGCATTTAATGTTACCATTGGTTATTTCAATGACTCAAGACATAATGAAATAAAGAGATATATACCAAAAGAATGCGAAACTGTTAGAACTATTGACTTACTTCTTGTTGAAGACCACTACATGCTAAATGAAAGATTACCAATGACAACATACTTCATTCGAAACTATATAGAAATCTTGAAGGAGTGTGGTGGAATGAACATTGAGAAACAGATGAAGATTTATACAAAGAGAGAAGATAAATATGTAGTTCGTTATGATAGAACAACACCGCTATGGGATGTTATGAAAACATTGTGGGAGTGCAAATATTTCGAACCTATTTCTTATGGAGAACTTTTCACATATACTACTGACTTATATAAACAGAACCTTGCACCATTTAAAGATTTGACATATGCTCCAAAGTATTGTGTACAACTGAAGAAGAAAGCAGAGTCAAAAGAAGTAAATAAAGCTAAATGTAAATTCATTCCTGAGCACGTTTTCTTTGCTGACTTTGAGTGTAGCACAGACGGCTTTCATAAAGCTTTTAACATCTGTTATGACAGTGAAGATGGTTCAGTGAGTGAAAGCATTTGGGGTCAAAACTGTGCAACAGAATTTTTGGAAAGACTTCCTGACAAGAGTTTAATATATTTCCACAACCTCAGTTATGACATAAACTTCATCTTAAGACACATGACAGAAGTGAAAGGAACTCCCATCATTAAAGGTTCACGAACAATGCAAATAACTGGTTTATATAAAGGACGGGCAATTATTATAAAAGACTCTTACAGTGTTATAAATAAGAAGCTTAAACTATTTCCTGCTATGTTTAACTTACAAACAGGACCGAAAGAAGTATTTCCATATAACTACTACAGCAGTGTTTTGTTAGCAAATGACAACAGAACTGGTGTCATTTCTGAAGCATGTAAGTTTATCCATGATGCAGATACATTCATGAAAACATAGATTCCATCAAAGGTTGCAGAATAGATGAAAACCACTTCGACTTAGAAAAATATAGCACGTTTTACTGCAAACAAGATGTAAGAATTTTAAGAGAAGGTTTTGTAAAGTTCCGCAATGACTTATTGAAAGAGTTTGATTTAAACGTTTATGACTACGTTAGTATTTGTTCTATTGCTAACAAATTGTTTGAGAACAGAGTATACTTCCCGAATGGAAATCTTTATGACCTCTCAAATAAACCAAGAGAATTTATTTCGAGATGCATTCAAGGTGGAAGATGTATGTTGTCAGATAACATGAAACAAAAGAGCAAAAAGAAACTCATTGCTGACTTCGACACTGTTTCATTATATCCTTCAGCTATAGCAAGACTTTATACTTTAGAAGGTATTCCAAAAGTATTGAAGGAAGAAATGTTAAGCACAGAGTATCTCATGAGACATTTATTCGATGATGACCAAAAGGAACCCATTGGTGAAAAGTTTATGTCTGGCTTCTTTGTTCTCATTAAGATAACAGAGATTGGTATACCCAGACACTTTCATTTAATAGTTTGCGACCCTGAACTAAATCCAGAACTTAACGTTCCAAGAAGTTCAAACACTTGCTGTCTCATGTATGTTGACCATATAACATTACAAGACCTCATAAAATATCAAGGTGTCAAATGTGAAGTGTTGCAAGGATACTATTACGATGGAAACAGAGATATGAGAATAAGAGATGAAGTAAAGAAGTTGTTTGAGTTAAGGTTAAAGTATAAGAAAGAAGGAAACCCCTTACAAGAAATTATAAAACTCATTCTGAACAGCATTTATGGCAAAACTATTCTATCTCCTATTGAGTCAAAAATAACCATAGTAAATGACAAAGATGCTATAAGATATGCTATAAGAAATTACAACCATATAGTGAAGTTCGAAGGTTTTGGATGGTTCAGATAAAACTATTTTCAAGCTAACGAAAAGCATTTGCAGACACTTTAACTTCTGTCCACTTGGTGTTAATATTCTGTCTATGTCAAAAACGTATTATGAATGAAGTATTCTGTACTGCTGAAGATATGGGTCTTCAAATCTTTTACCAGGATACCGACAGTATGCACTTATATAATGAAGACATACCAAAGCTTGCAGCAGAGTTTAAGAAGAGATATGGTCGCGAACTTATAGGAAAGAACCTTGGTCAATTTCATAGCGACTTTGCAGAAATAACACCTGGAAAACAAAGTTTAGCTTATAAAAGTATTTTCTGTGGAAAGAAGACCTACATAGACTTACTCACTAACGATTTAAATGAAGTTGCATTTCACTGCAGAATGAAAGGCGTGAAGCAAGATGTTATTGCTTTAACCGCTAATGAAATGTTTCCTGAAGCTATACAATGCTATTACAATGAAGATAAGAACATTCACATACCTGTTGGAACATATGACAAAGACTCTGAGTTCAGTTTAATGAAACTTTACAAAGCACTTTATGATGGTCAAGAGATTGCATTCGACTTATGTAAGTCATGTCAACCTTGCTTTGCTGAAAAGTTCAACTTTTCAATAACGACTAAAACAAGCTTTATTCGTAAGTTGAAGTTCTGAGGTCATGGGCTTCGCCCTTGCCGCTAGCGGCTTATTTTTGTCAGCAATGAGGTCATGAATGAGGTCATGGGCTTCGCCCTTGCCGCTAGCGGCTTATTTTTGTCAGCAATGAGGTCATTCGTGATAAAAATAAAGCTAGCGTAGATTTTACAATACTGCGATGGTAGAGTTTAAGAGTTGTGCTTCAATGTAGAGACAGTCCTTATGGTCTGGAGGTAAGAACACTGGACATTTATGGTCATGAGTGGAGAACATGTCTATCCAAAACTCACGATTGAAGCCAGTTAATTTATAGTATTTAGGGTTAGGAAGTGGTGAAGTTCTTGTATGACCAATGAACTCATTTTCAACGCCTTTGGCTATATTAGAGTAAAGTATTGCTTGCTTTCTATCCCAAATGCCAGGTGTTACAATCTTTGAAAATTCATTTTTCCTCGGAAGCATTGCATCATAATTGAAAACATTCTTAAAATCATCACTTGGTTCGGAGATTTGAAATCTTATACGTAATGGATTTTCTTTCTTTTTAGCGACTTCATTGAATGGTGAGAATACAATGAATTGACAGTCATGTGTTCCATCTTCATTTTCATTAAATTCATAATGAAAGTCTATAAGTTGTGGCTGACTACCTTCTTCCTTCAGTTGTGCAAGAAACTCACGTAAAGGCTGTAAAGTTTGTACTTCAATATTGAACTTTTTCTCGAACATCTCATTAAATGAAATCATACATTGCAACAATGTTGTATCGTCTTTAAAGTATTTGTATATGTGAATGTTTTGGGCGCTTAAAGACTGTTCGTCATTTTCTATCTCGACTTGAAGTATAAAGTCAACCTTTCTGAAAGCACGTGTTATATACATAGATGTTATGCCAATGTACTTCTCTTCATTTATGTTCACAATCCAGTCTGTTGGAAACTTAAACGTTACTCTGTTCCCCTTTATTTTGACGTCAGGGTTTTCACTACTGAACGCAACAGATAAAGGTATTTGTCTATACATTTAATTCGGATAAAAATAAACCATTTACTCTTTCTTTGCTTCAGCTTCCTTTGCTTTTTGTTCTTCCTTTGCTTTTGCTTCTTCTCTAGCTTTCTTTGCCAGCAAACGTGGGTTCTTCTGTCTTCCAGCAGCTAATGCAGCTAGTTGTTTTTCACTAAGTTTTCTCTTTGGTCTCTCTGGCTTTTGTTCTGGTTTTTGTTCCTTCAGTTCGGATAAAATTTGTTCACGAATTTCTTTCTTCAATGCTTCAACATCTATGACCCCTTGGGTCTTGTCCGTAGGATTTGACTGAGTCATTTGACTGTAGATAAAAAACTAAATTAAAACTTTAACCGATGTAAAATGAGCTTGTCAAAATCAGAACGAGAGTCTATTATATTAAATGACGCCAGAGGAATACAACATCCTTTCTATTATGTAAGTCAGAGTAAAGATGGTAAAATATATGTAAGAAAAAGAAAGGTTCCATTAGCGAATACAGAGAGCGACAACATTAAGGTGCATGGCAAGGGCGAAGCCCACGAAGCCCATATAAAACCTTCTGTACAAACTGAGCCACCAATAGAACAAGAAGAAAAGAAGCCAGATGTACTTTCAATAACGAACCAAGAGCTTATTGCAAAGTTCGTGAATTTCATTGAAAAGCAAACCGAGTCAAAGAACCCTGACCCACCAGTGAAAGAAGTTGAGACAAAAGAGAATGTACAGTTCATTGAAAATGTCAAGAAACAACTTCCACCACGAATACCAAGAAGAAGAGTGAGAATAATGAAGTAAATAGATATTTTTATCTGAAGTAAATACATGCAGAACGAACAGTTAAACGAATTTACTCCAGCAGAGCATATTCATCAGATTCGCTCATATTTCGATATCATAGACAATGCAGTTCAAATTGGTGACACTAATAGAAAATATTCTGACGCAAAGATTCCATCACAACCTGGAACTGCTAAAGATAACACATGGGTAACATTCAATCTCTCACCTCCTGGTGAAAATATGTTGGACCTTTACAATACATTCATTACGTATAAAATGGAAGGTCAATTTATTGTAGATAAAGAAATTGGTTCAGGTTCCAATAAAACAAACCCACCAGGATTTTGGATTGGTTTCGATGACGCTTTCTATGCAGTTGCTGGATATCAAATCCTTGCAAATGGTCGTATCGTATATTCTCAAGACAACGCAAGAGAAGAAGCATATATAACTTCAAACTCACAAACTACCGAACAAATAAAGAAAGTAGATGTTTTCTCAAAGACTCGACATGAAGATGTATGGAGTCATTCGGGAACATGCAGAACAGGACAAATTGTTAGTGGTCCAATTACAGCAGGAAAATCATTTGATTTTAAGCTTCGTTTAAGAATTCCTGTTAGAAGATTCCTTCCATTAGAAGCTATTCGATTTATTCCAGCTTTTGCAGGAAACATTCAGCTTAAAGTAAAGTTCAGTAGCGACGCCTTACAATGCACATCTATATCTGTAAATGATATCATTGCTTTCAATCCAACTCTTAAAGTTGCATTTGCTTCAGATTCAAATCCACCGACAAATAAATTTGTTCCATGGAATGAACCATTCACTATGATAACGAAGGCAGTAGAAGCTAGTGGAACAGTTACTATTACAACTGTAACCCAGCAACTATTTCGAACAAAGATGGATTTTAATGAATGTTTCATTCATCCAAAGTCATTCTCTTTAGACCCTAACATTTATACAGAACTTGTAGAACATTATACAAACGAGGCTTTATGTTTTCCTGTTAAAGTTATGGATTGGATTCCTATGGACGGTTCATTCTCAAAGAATACAGATAGTTCAAGTGCAACATTTACAGCAGCTTATACGCCTATTAATGTTAAAAGTATTTGGGCACTATTTAGAAAGAAAGACAACTATTATGTTAATTTTGAGAACCCTAAGTTTAAATATCTTCAGCTTTCCATGGGAGCTTATGGAAATATGCCTGCAGAACCTGAAAAATCATATGGACCTGTATTTTATGAAATGGTTGCGAACGCTTGCAATACAAACAATGATATGATAGGATTTAATGAAGATGTTATGAGGTCATTGGTGGATGATGGTAGTGTGGAACATAAATGGGATAGCTATGACAACACACATTTCTTATGTGGTTTTCCAACAGAAGTGGACTTTTGCTTCCAACAAGGTCAAACATCTACTGCTCCAATAACATACAAATTGTCTGTTAAAGGACCTATTGAACTAGCAACTGAAAACGTACCAAAGCCACTTATTGGATTTATGAGGGATTGTTGCTTTGCAATACAAGTAAGACAGTCAGGCATACCAATAATAAGACTTGACGACTATAACTTAGCCACGGACGACAGTGAGGAATAAAGGATGAACGTTTATTTTTAAAGCTTATAAATGAGTTCTTCATCAAGCTCTCGCGAACCTTCACCATCTGTGAAACAAACTTTACCAAACGATTATGGAGCACCTATTGAATATTTCTTACGAGCTGCACAATGGCAAAGAGCAGTCTCACCAAGGTTAGGTGTTCCACCAGCTCCTGTCAAAAATAGCATTTGGTCAAGTCCTTATATAAAATATGGTCTCCCACTAGGTTTGCTAGCTACAGCAGGAGCAGTTATGATGTTGAAAAGAAATAAAACAAATGTTGTAAATAATACTGAAGTAGCTGAAGTTAAACAAACTCCAACACCATCGCCAAAACCAACGCCTTCACAAGCAAAACCTTCAATGACTCCTGAACCTATGGAAGTACAAACTCCTGTTCAAAAGTCAACTCCTAAACCGACTCCAACATTTAAACCAGAACCTACTCCTCAAATAAATCGTAAAACTCCTGCGTTTCCTTACTGAAAAAATAATGTTAGTTTTATTTTATTTGAACATTTTATTTAGAGTAAAATGACGACTAAAGTCACTGAAGCAATGAAACAAAAATTTTTGGTAGAATACATTAAATCAGGAGCGGTTCCAGAAGGTTTTTACATTCATACTATGAAGGATGGTAGAGTTCAGTTTAGAAAGATAAAGCAACCATTAGATAGAGAAGGTATATTAAGGAAGATTAAACTTCATGAGGACAACATTGCTGAACTTAGGAAGAAGTTAGAAGAGTTGGAGAAAGGAAGAGAGTTATAAAGCAATGAATTCATGAGGTGAAAAAAGAGGTGAAAAAAGAGGTGAGATTTCACCACTTCACCTAAATTTATTTTTGTGCTATGTTTTCATACGTGTGAGGGTGGTGATATCATTAATTTTTAAGTTCATTTTTTATTTTATTTTTATATAAATGACGAAAACTATTGAGATAACAAACTACAACGGTCATGAGTTCAAGAATTTGTTCTTCGTTCCTCGTGAAAATACATTCTATCAGATACGAGGGAGAAAGGGTAAAGTTAGTTTGAGCGTTTATGACTACAAGCATAATGGAAAGTTTATACAAGCATACGATACAAACGGTAAGCGTGTTTCATTAGCTTTGTCAAAACTTACTAACATTCATTTTGACAGTGATTTTGACCTATATGAAGAAGAAAGTGAGTCAGAAGAATATGAACTGTTATGTGAAGCACAGCAATGGGAGGAGTTGCAATACTTTTGTAAGTGAGAACGTTTATTTTTTACATTAGTGAAGTCGTTTGTGAAAACATTAGTGAATTCGTTAGTGAAGTCGTTAGTGGCTTTGTAAATATTTAAGGTTAAGTTAGTGTTGTCGTTTGTGTTGTAAAATATACGTTAACGGTTTTGTAAAGTGTCAAATTCACATATAATGGGTAAGGAGGTGCGCAGTGCCGCCGTACCCATGATAGGGATACTAACTTATATTAATAGAGAACCCGAGATGATAAGTATGGACTGCGCCCCACAAATAGCCGAGGCAATTGAGCGAGGTATTCCAAACTGTCATATTCTTTGGTGTGGCGTGCATGTCCTTCGCGCCATATTAAGAAAAGCGGATAAGTTTAAATCACGAGACAATTTTGAAGAATTTTATAATCTAATGAAATTATTAGTATTCGATACTAAAGAAGAATCTCCCGAGGAAGAACAGAACCAAGAAGAAGAAAATCCTAGAGAGGAACCAGCTCAATCTCACTTACTTCAAGCAGAAGAAATTGAAGAAGAGGAACAATATGAAGAAGAATTCATCGAAAATGAATTTCAACCTTCTCAAATCTTTTTACCACGAGAATCTTCTGATGATCCAAACGATTCTGAATTTATTCCAGAAGAAGAAACGTTTGAAACAAGTGAAGAAGTTCCAGAGCACCTCACTCAAGAAGAAGCTGCAGACCTAGATGCAGTTTATGATCGAATTCTTGAAATTCTTTCCACTGAACCGAAAGCCCAAAAGTACTTCGATAGGCAATGGAGGCATCATTTAGATCGTTGGAATAAGCGCTATCGCAACGGAGGTGACGCGACTAATAACGTCAGTGAGTCACATTTCAAAGTTCTCAAGCATTCTTATTTCCCAGAGAGAAGGAATATTCGATTAGACGATTTTGTTGTTGAATTATACACAACGGTTGTTCCAGCATTATTGATTAAATTTAAAGTTCAATTAATCAATAGTGATAAAGTTGTTCGTATATTACGAAAAGCTAATGACCATGAACAAATATTGGAAAACAAAAAAGTCGAATGTTTGAAAATGCTTGAAGCAATATATTCAAGTTTGCAACAAGGATCAATAGATTCAAATCTTGTTTATTGTACTTTAAAGGTACTTTTAAAAAAGAAACAATTAATGTAAAAGATTCAAATAATTTTTTATTATTATTTTATTAATTTTTTAAAATAAGGTTAATAAAAAGTGACACTGGATAGTTTGTCCCACACTCAAATGAAGAATCGAAGCTCACTTTTAAATGTAAATCTCGATAGTGCTCACTGTCTTACATTACAAAAATTTACGTTATTTTCCTCTTACATTCCCTTCTGGATAAGTATGTGAAATTCTGAAGCACCCAAAAAATGTATATGGATACATATATATAACCACAATGTTTATTCAGAAAAATATCATTTCAATCATAGAAAAAATGTACTTTTAACTGCTAAAAATTGAATAGTTATAAACTAAAATAGAGATTTTTTTAAGACACTTCATAAAATTCACATATTTAATCTTTGTAAAAGTTTAGGAACCTCGTGGACAATTGGATATCGTCAAATTAGATTCCCAAAAAAATTGAAGTCTACAAAATTAAAGAAAATATCATGAACTAAAGATTCTTGGTATTAGGTATGAATCATTACTTATTGTAGTAACCTATGTGAATAAAGAAACAACAAAAATGTTAATATTAAAGAACTCAAAGAGAGGGGAAAAAATTGAGTGACATTTTTGTTACTTGGCAGAAAAATGAATACTTTTAGATTGATTTTATTTAGTCCAATAATTTTAGTCTTATATGAGTCGTCTCCGTTTTTTTAAATAAGAGCAATAGCTTGGCAGGTGAAAAAGGTGACATTTTTGATATCATGAAACATCGCGAAGAAGAGAGCTATAAGATCATTTTATTAGGAAATTCAGGTACTGGCAAGACTTCAATTATAGATCGCAAGCGTTTAGGCACAACAGCTCCAGATTTACACCCTACAATTGGCTGTAATTCGACTGATATGGTGATAAATCTAAAAGATAAATCAGTAAAACTGAAAGTATGGGATACTGCTGGCCAAGAAGAATACAAATCTATTGTCCCAATTTACACTCGTGGCGCGCATGCCGCATTATTAGTTTTCGATGTAACAGATATGTCGTCAATTCAGAGCTTGGATGGCTGGAGATCTATGCTTCTTGAGAGTGAACCGACCGAAGTTCCATTTTTCGTTGTTGGAAACAAAATTGATATGAAATCTGAAAATACAATAAGTAGAGAAATCGCACAGACATACGCAACAAGATACTCTGCCGATTTGTACTTCGTTTCCGCTCTATCTGGGCAAGGAATCAACGAACTCTTCGAAAAGGTCGCTGAAAAAGTTTCTGAAAGAAAATCATTCGAAAAAGATCCTGCTCCAAAAGAAGTTAACCACTCAAACTCAGGAGGTTGTTGCTAATTCAAAAATCGGAATTGTAATTTATTGTTTTTGTTCATTTATAATAAAAATTTTATACTATTTCTTTCCTATAAACTACTGTAAACTTGTTTATTTGATTTATTACTTTGAGGCTCGAAATACCAAATTAATTAGTGATCAAATAGCCAAAATCATGTTCTCATAATTATGAACTTGGTAAGTTCTTTTAGTTCTACTTATAATTCTATCATGATACTGTTGTCATCAATTTGCTGGATCAATTGTTTAACGTCGTGTCATTTAGATGAGAAATATCATCACTAAAATCAATTTATCATATGATTTGGCGTTTGTTTCTATTGAATTATAACCAAAATTGAAAAGTTGGATTCAATTTATTGTTTAGACGTCCACAATCATAACGATATATCAGTGTGGATCATCCAAATAATTTTTAAAGCAATCACTTATATTCAAATTTAATTTTGAAAAATAAAAAATAAAAATAAAAAGAAAAAATTGTAAAATTTATAAGAAAAGAGTAACCAATAAATAATTTACTTAGCTGGCTTGAAGATGAAATAGAGGAAAACACCGGAAGCAATAAGAAGAATAATAATCAAAATAATCATGAAAATTGTACGGCGAGTATTTCTGCAAATCATTCTATCGATGATGCTATTGCCTGTATCGACGTCTGTATCAAGAGAATTAAGTTCATCATCGATATGAGTAATCTTATTTCTTTGATTTGCGAGTTCACCGAGGATATTGACACCAGCATCATGACCTTGTGCGACAGATCTGCCAAGTTCGGTTGTTAAATTATCGCCTTCGTTGATAATATTTTGCTGATCGTATAATGATTGCATTTGACCTGTAGAAGAGCCATCAGAGCGAACAGCACCACCAAATAAGGCATCACGCTCACTTCCTTTCCTTTTTGCATCTGTATATTCATTTTGTAATTTCTTATATTCGTTTCTAACTTCAACTAAATACTTTTTCGCAGCATTTTTATCGTTTACATCAAACATAAGTGCTTGTAAATCGAGTTCGTTGATTGCAGCATCGAATTCACCGAATCTTGCTTCAATCTTTTGCATTTTGCTTGGGCGTTCTTGTGCAGAGTATTGTGGGAGATTAGAAACAGCATTGGAGATATCTTTTTTGATTCTGTCAATCTCCTCCTTCATAGAATGAAAATCACTCATTTGAAACTGTTCCGGAGGTTTGTTATCGTCAAATTTTGAACCTTTTTGACAGATAAATCAGATCATTTCATGGGAATTAAATCGATAATTTGACGTCAATTATATATTTCTACTTAATTTCTAAATTTTAACAAGAAAATCATGATTATGAAGCAATAATTGTTGGAGCAGATCTATTAAGAGTAATTCAAATATCAAAGATTAATATTTTCGAATTCTGTTGATTATGGAAAACTATCCAAGCTCGATAAAATCTTATGTAATAGGTTTTCCAACTTTTCCGAATGTTCAATGGAATCGAAAGGACTTTGGCGGAAAATATATATAAGTAGAACTTATGACTTAACAAAAGGTTCTACAAAATATAATGACGCAGATATCATAAGCTTATTGCTGTAGTTTACGACATTTCTGCTGTTATTGTGTTATACCATCTCTATACTTAATCAAATATGCATAAATTATATCTGAAATCTTGTGTATAACATAGCATTTATTTTTCCTGATTATTAGATGGGGGTAATAACTAATAACCCCAATAATTTTGTTTAAGGTTAATTACTACAATGATTTTATCGTTGTATTTGTTACTTTCTCAATCAAAAGCCCCCATAGTTTTAATACCTGGTACAATGGGTAGTATCCTTAAAGGAAGTGTTACTGGAAGATCCACTCATTGGTACTGTCCGAAAAATGTTAAAACTCAAACAATGTGGATAAGTAAGGATTATAGCATTCCTCCATTAATAAATTGTCTTGGAGACTGGTTGTCAATGAAATACAATAGTTCTTTGAAAGATGCTACAAATCAGGATGGTGTTCAGATGGATATTTTCGATTTTGGTGGTGTTGGGGGTATAACATTTCTCGATGACTTTGCTAACTTGACTAATTTTATTCCTTACTATAAAAAATATATTGATTACCTTGAAAATCATGGATACATTGTTGGAAAAGACCTGTTTGGTGCACCATTTGATTGGAGACGAGGTATAATGCTTGGGAATACTTATTTCACTCAATTAAAGCAATTAATTGAGTCGGCGTTTCGAAAGAATTCGAATCAAAAAGTTTCTCTCGTTGGTCATTCTCTTGGCGGATTTTTGATTCAGCATTTCCTTACTAACATTACTACAGCAGAATGGAGATCGAAATACATTGAATCTGCAAATTTGGTTGCCCCTTCTTTTGGCGGTTCTGGAACTATTATAGAGAACATTTGGAACGGAGCACTCTCTATTATGACGTATTTCGGAGCATCATCCACAGAAATGGAAAAAATGAGTTCATCTTTCGGATCTATGTATGATCAGCTTCCTAATTTCAATCTATTTGGAGATAAGATCGTTTTTATTGATGAGAATGCTAAATCTTATGCAGCTCGTGACTTGCCACAGTTATTCAAGAAATATGGAAAATTTAGAAGCACTCCTGAAATCTGGGAACTGCACAAAAACACTCCTTCATCAATCCCAAAGCCAATTGATGTCCCTACTGGTATTACATACAACGATAAAATTTCAACACCAATTGGTTACAATGATATGTTAAAGCAATACATTTACGCTGATGGAGATGCTCTCATAAACTCAGAAGGTCCTAATTATGCATGCAAAAACTGGAAATCAAATTCGAAACTGATTTGTCAAAACCTCAACACTCCTAACCATTCTGCATCTCACATAATGATGATTCTTGATGATGAATATATCGACAGAGTTCTAAAGTATTCGATGAACAATGAATGGACAAAATAATTTCAATATCCAAAATTATAGTTATTATTTGATAATAAACTGTTTGATTTATGTATTGGTTTTTATAAATATTATTGTTTCTAATTGAATAATTTGAGATAATAAAAAAAAATTAGATGAATATGAAAAAACAATTTCCATAGTAATTTATTCGTTACGAAGGGATCCAATCTCTGGGATATCCTTGAGATGAACGACGTGGGATGTTGTGTATTGAGAAATATCTTCACCCTTCTTCTTGCACTCTTCGACTTGGCCCTTGATCCAGTCGTATGTCTTTCTGAGGCCATCCTTCAACTGTGTTGGTGGAGCCCAGCCAAGAACCTTCTTGATGAGGGTGTTATCGGAGTTGCGGCCGCGAACACCTTCTGGGCCTTCGAGGTAGACCTTCTTGACCTGCTTGTTCTCGAATGAGAGGGCGAGATCGACTAACTGGTTCATTGAAACCATTTCATCAGAGCCGATATTGACTGGCTTGTCGTAGTCAGACATAAAGAGCCTGAAAACGCCTTCGAGGCAGTCATCGATGTATGTGAATGATCTTGTCTGCTTGCCATCGCCCCAGATTTCGATCTTATCTGTAGCGCAAATTGCCTTTCTGCAGAAAGCAGCTGGAGCTTTCTCACGGCCACCACGCCATGTGCCCTGTGGACCATAGATGTTATGGAAACGAGCAACGCGTGTCTTCATCTGTGGGAAGTCCTTGCCATAGTGCATGCAAAGCTCTTCGGTTGTGATTTTCTCTAAGCCGTAAGCGTCTTGTGGCATAGCTGGCCAAGCGCAGTCTTCTGGAAGTCCTGGGTTGTCAATCTCTGTCTGCTTGAACTCTGGATAAACGCATGCAGAAGAGGAGTAGAAGAAGCGCTGAACGCCGTTACGGCGGGCTGCCTCTAACATATTGGAGGAGATCATTAAGTTATTGTAGAGAATAACTGAGTGGTTTGATTGAATAAAGCCCATACCACCCATATCTGCAGCAAAGTTGAAGACCCACTGGCATCCTTCTGAAGCCTTGTGGCAGTTTTCGTAGGTACGAAGGTCAAGACGGAGGAATTCATCGCAAAATTCTTCTGGCTTCATAAATTCGTTTTCGGCCCAGTCAACGCATCTAACCCAATAGCCTTTCTTACGAAGGAAGATGCCCATGTGTGAACCGATGAATCCTGCGCCACCGCCAATGCAAACTCTGATTTGCTCAGACATAAAAGTGAAGCGATTTGACAAATTCAGAATACTTTTTCATTGTTTAACAGAAGAAAAAAAATTCAAATATAATTATATTATGTATTGTTAGTATAATTAAAGTTTAATGATTTTCAATGCTGTAAAAAATGGATATGAAAATTGAATTGTTTATCAAAATCATTAATCATTATCGTAATATTGAATTATTTTTGATCTCCATCATATTCATGTATATAGGAATAATATTATTTTTTATTCAAATTTCGGAAAAGGCTTATTTCTACCGTTTTCAAAGAGGGTTTGTCAAATTGGATATATAGCTTGAGTCTACTAATAATGTGTAATTATTTCCCAGCCATTCCGCAATTTGCCGTAATTTTTCAGAAACAGATTTGCGATTTCCAAGCGGTCTAGTAAAACGATATTAATCACTTAGATCTTGTAACTTTTAAAAGGAAACCGAAATAACATGTAAAGAAAAGGGTTAACAGTAACTCGGTCAATGAGCGAGTTCGAAAACGTAGTTTGCCCTCTTGTGTGGAGCTCTTTTATTTCGTCAGATATAGCCAAATCATTCGTATGGAATGATTTAGGTAAACATCGTAGATAAGTGCGTTATTTGAAAACATTTAAAAATGAAAATGAAATATAACTATGCTATTCCAGAATTTGCAGTCAAATAAGTATCAGAATCCAATAACTATATGCGCTCTCTTGTGAAAAATAATTAAGAAGTATTTGGAATTGATTGAGTTTAACTGAGTGTAGTTAAAGAAATCGTAAGTGTGTTAGCAGTGACCTTAAAATTTTTGTAATAATTTAGATTATGCCTGAAGATGAAAATGATGACGGGAGATAATTTGAGAATTATTTGGGCAATAGCAAAGCGGTACCTGTCTTTGTATCATGCAGAATCTGTGTTAAGTTGTTTTTGGTAAAATTTAATAAATGAAAGGGAATGGAAATTAGATCAAGAGTAATTTGAATAAAAATGTGAATTTTGGTACTGAATCACCAAATCTTTCACTTTAAAACATATCATTTTCTTCCAAAATTTTTATGAAATTAAAAATATGATGATAAGATCATACAAATATGAGCTTGTTTTATAATTTTTGAATTTTTTTTGGAATTTTAAGAACTTAAATCAGTTTTTAGATAGTAATGAATTAATTTATCATGAAAACAAATCGACAATTTGATTTTATTATAATCATAATATGTATTATTCGTATAGATTCTTATTCGATTCCATGTTTTTTCAAATGAAAAATCATTGATTTGAAATTCAGTTTTAATATATCCAAATTATTAAGAAATGATCACATCACATGCTTCTTTTGCCTAGGATGCACATTTATTTTCCAAGGTTTATAAGCGAGGTTAAATGTAACAATTGTAATGCTTGTCTACACTAACTATATGCTTGTAAATACTTTTTAAAAGCAGGAAAGATTAATAAATTCATTTGAGTAGGAGATATTCCAATTTTCGAATTACCCTATATTTCCAACTCTTGGAAAATTTTCATGACCCCCTACCCAGGGTCCTAAAATGGGTATTTTCCTCACACAGACACCGTGGTTTTTTGAGCCGGGAAATAAATAGCGCAGACAGTTTCTACATATAGAGACATGCTTATACTTAGAGTTTGACGGGAATCTAAAGTGATTTTTTTCTGCATCGCGAAATCTAATGCAATCTCAAAATCATGAAGAAACTGCGAATCGGAGCGCAATTTTTTAATATGTTAATATATAAAGGTACCCCTACTACTGCAAATGCTTCAAATGAAAATCTAAGAAATCAGATTAATTTGATCACATTAGTATAGTATTGGTCAAACCAAAAACTCATATGTTGATATATAGCCTATGGATATTCATATTATCTACTTTTCATTGAATTACATAAGATTTAATAATCTCATAAATATTCTTTTTAATTTTCCGAATTCCGTGTGCATTTAGATTGCCCATACCTGTATATAATAATTCTAGAATGGTTTGGTTAGATATTAAGTTTTTTAGATTAATATTTTAACATTTTGATAAAACAAGCATTTGTTCCATTTTAGAATCGCCATTGAACTCTGGTTTGACTAACATGATGTTGTATGATCAAATAAATTCTAACTTCATGAGATAAATTTTGAAATTAGAAAATGCGATATCTGACTCAAATATTTATATGAACACATTTAACATTCAATGATAAACTAAAGTACTATACAGCAGATTCGATTTGGCTTATATTTTATATAATCAACTAATAATCCTATAAAATTGTGCTATTCACGTTGCTCAAAGATGTATTGAACATTCACTACTTGTGTATTGATAAAATTAGATATATATTCTAATGTAAATCGATATTTTGAAAATTCATATATATTTTGTCTTGGTTTGGCATTTGATCGTGTTGAAACCGGAATTGCAATATATATCATCTAAATATATAACTATCAAAATATGAGCTATAGATTTTTAAATTATTCTCCTGAATATGAGTGACTAACATAATTATATTGAATTGAGTAGTAAGAATCTTAAATATTAGAATCTGACGATAATTTATTATAACTGTATAAAGGAACAAGACTATAAATGATGATGAAAATAAAGATTAAATTTAAATCTGAAAATTTGAAAACATTAAGTGTATTGTGCACTCTTGTCGGTCACAGTGTCTCATTCCGGGAGACATTGTCACTGCATGTCTCCCAGAATGATATCAAGTTCCCCATTCATAACTTGAATGCGGAACTTTGACCGACAAGAGTGTATTGTGCACTCTTGTCGGTTGAAAGTTCTGCAATCAGAAGAAGATTGTTGAACAATCCGCCATTCCAGGAGGCATGAGCTTGTTATCTCTCCTGAAATGGCACATATTTGATAATTCATGGAGCAGAACTTTGCACGCAATCAGACAAAAGATTGCGACAGAGTAACTGGGAAGACAGCAACTTGAAGCGATAAGCTGCTTGGGTGCTGTCTCCCAGATGCATCTGTCGGGCAAAGTCTCAAAGGAGCAGAACTTTGCACGCAATCAGACAAAAGATTGCGACAGAGTAACTGGGAAGACAGCAACTTGAAGCGAAGTTTTGTTTTCGAGTCTTTGGTTAAGAAATCTTAACAAAAAAACAAAGAAAAAAATCAGATAAAGTTGTCAATAACTTCATCAGTTAATGCTCACCTATGGGAGGTGTTTTGCGGGAGCTGGGGGTATCTTGGTGAGTACTCAGGAGGCCAAGAAGGGCACCCCAACCGACATTATCCTGATGAATTCAGTTGTCAACCATTCTGAAAACCGCCGAAACCGTCGTGTGTAGAGAAATTGTTTAAATTTATTTTTTTCAGATTTAAATAAAAATAAGAAATGTTTACTATTATGGATTTTGAAATTTTTTTTAAATTAAGAGTAGGAGATGAGACAAATTTAAATTTTTAAGAAATATTTGGAAGGGCGTAAGATATGCCAACTTAAATATATTATCAAATGAGAGAAAATCACTCAACAAAAAAACAATTCTTTCAAAAAGTTTAAAATTTATCTTTCTAATACATATTTTTGGAAGGGCGTAAGATACGCCAACTTAAAAATATTATCAAATGAGAGAAAATCACTCAACAAAAAAACAATTCTTTCAAAAAGTTTAAAATTTATCTTTCTAATACATATTTTTGGAAGGGCGTAAGATACGCCAACTTAAAAATATTATCAAATGAGAGAAAATCACTCAACAAAAAAACAATTCTTTCAAAAAGTTTAAAATTTATCTTTCTAATACATACTTTTGGAAGGGCGTAAGATACGCCAACTTAAATATATTATTAAATATGAGAAAATCGCTCAACAAAAAAACAATTCTTTCAAAAAGTTTGACATTGATCTTTCTAATACATATCCTATGGAAGGAGTTTACATTCTCAAAATAAAAACCAGTTCAAAATCTTATTACTCCTTGAATTAAAATCATTTAATTTCAAATCCATTCCAAATCCTTAAATCTGTATTAAAATCATTTTTCCAACAACCAACACAATACAAATTACATTTCCATATATCTTCTTGTCCATTGTAATTTTTTATCTCATTTTATTTAATTTTATTTAAAGCATATAGACATCGAGATCCTTTACACATAGTTATATAAAAGTCAAATACATAATAAATTCTTAATTCTAGAGATATCTCAAAATCTCATTTTTTTAATTTAAAATACCTTTCATTTTTCACAGTACTATCACAACAAACAAGCCATTTACTAATTAACACATATAAGAAAAATATCAAATTACAAAACAACTTTCAATATCATTCGCATCGAATTCTATTTTTTCATAATTATCAACTACATGTTATTATATAATATATGTCGGCGCATATTCCACTCTATACAAGTGTCAGACACACTCACACAAAGCTGTGAGATTCATACCTCTATCAGTAGGACTTCTCAAATCAAGAACACATATGTTTCACTATCGCACATCTGTGTAGGATCTAATTAACCCTTTGGACTGGTACTTCAAAATTTGATAATTTGATAATTTCATGTGATATCATCATTTGCCTTTAAAACAACTGTGCGTTAAACTAGACACGTTTCTCTATCATAATGCAAAATATCAAAGTTTGGGAGATTCCCAAAGTGTCTGAAACTGATCATAAGGGTGAAAAACCGTTTTCCAGAAGTTGGGAACGTAGGGTAGTTTCTGATGTTTATTGTAAACATTAATACCACATGTTCAAATTTAATGATATAAAAAACTTTTTGCTTTACTATAATATACAGATTTATCACGATCAATACAATTGTGTTGACGAATCCAGGACTGTCTAAAAATCTACAGTTCATTTATGAGACACTATGTAAAATAAAGTCTTCTCTTTAGTTTAAATTTGATAAAAACTATATTTCAACGATTTTGAAAAATAATCTCCAAAATTTCACTTACACAATACTTGTTTAATATAACATTTCATTAATATAATTCGTTCTCACACAATTTCTCTATACGGAGAGAACTTAATATTGAAAAATGCTTGAATTGATTGCAAAAATTCGAATGGTATGAAGAACAATACTCATCACTTAAATTCTAGGATTTTGTTATTTATATACTTTTATCAAATCAATCAAAATCAAGTCTATAATCATTTTATTTCTTTCAAAAAATTGAAATAAAATAATATTTATTTTTAATTTGAATTCATGTATAATCAATGAAAACAAGTAAATATAGCACTTAAGTCCAATTGAATTTATTCAGAAACTAATCGGCTGCAATTCAATTTGATAATGATTCAAAACCAAATTTATGTTATTTAGAATTATATAAAGCTTTAATACCTTTTTCATTTATTTGGCAAATTTTGATAAAAAATAATGTGTATTGAATATAATCAAATTTATTTTATTTCAATTATTTCATGTTAATTTATTTGTGCTAATGCATGGGGAGATATTTTATCTCAAACGAATTGATTACACATCCTCTGTTTTCAAAATCTATATGAGTTTCTCTCAATTCAATTGTAAATTATGTATTGCTAAAATAATTAGTTGATACTTTTGCATGATTTTGAACTTGAGAAATTTATTGTAAAAATCAAAAACCTCACAATTCTGTTCATTGATCCAAATGTCAACCCTCCTTGATTTCTTTCCTAAACAATTAATACAAACATACAATCAAGGCGTAAGAGAAACGTTTCAAGTCGAACAGAACATAAAAGTCAAAGAAACAAGTTTCGAAAATCTTCATTGTGATGATAATTCAGGTGGAGCCATTTATAGTGCTGTGAGGATCTCAATAACACTCAGCAGATTTGTTACCTGCTCTAGTAAATACTCTGGAGGAGCAATTTTTGTAGATGAAAAAGATTCAGAGTTTTCATGTTCAAAATGCTCAGCAATTCAATGCCATACATTTGATGCTGTACGTGGAGGAATGAATCAGAAAGGCCAATTCTTTGTCTCAAAAGTTACAAACAACGAACGTATAAACGCAGCTAAAGAATTAAGTATCTCACAATGTTATAAATCTTATTCTGATTCATGCCAAAGACCCATGGTTTTTTACAATGGAAATATTTTCATTCAAAATGTCAACCTCTCGGACTGTAAAAATGGATGGTGTTCAGCATTTGAACTAACAGGGGGAGAACAAATAGAAATCGAAGAATCAAACTTAAAGTATATACAGGTCTTAAATTGCCAATCTAAAGAAATTATATGCGAATTTAACAATATTTTGGGATCAATAAACTATTTAACCATAGTTAATTGTGAAACTACACTTCGTCAACATGAAACCCAGTTTAGATATATTTCCCTTTCAAATTCAAACCTTCAATTCAATCATATAGTTATTGATCTTTGTCAGACATCATATTTGCCTTATCAATTATTTTATTGTAATAATCAAGATGAAGACGGATATCGAATCAAAGACTATCTTATTCAGGATCAATTTCAATTCAATGATAATAAAAATGAGCGCCTACTTATGAGAGAAGGACAAGTCTCCACATCAAGTGACACATCTTCAGAAACGTCAAGTGATACTTCATCGGAAACATCAAGCTCATCATCAACAACTTCGAGCAATACTTCATCAGAAACAACAAGTTCATCATCAATAACGTCAAGTGAAACCTCATCAGAAACAACAAGCTCATCATCAACAACATCGAGCGATATTTCATCAGAAACAACAAGTTCATCGTCAACAACATCAAGTGAGACCTCATCAGAAACAACAAGTTCATCGTCAACAACATCAAGTGAGACATCATCAGAAACATCTGGTGTTACTTCATCGGAAACAACATCAAGTGAGACCTCATCGGAAACAACAAGTTCATCGTCAACAACATCAAGTGATTCTTCGTCAGAAACAACAAGTTCATCATCATCTACTGAAACCGAAGTTCAACCACCTAAACCTGGCCCAGGTCCGTATCCAGATCAAAATATCTCATCCGAAACAGGTATCCAACCCCCAGATGTTGAACCAACAGAGAAACCATCAGCAACTCCATTTGATCCAGAAGCCCAAAAGGGCTTAAAAGGTCCTGCATTATATGGTACAATTGGAGGAGTCCTCGGAGCTATAATTATCATCATAATTGTCATTGCTGTAATATTATTAATCAAAAATAGTGGTGGTCCAAAGAATGATGTTACATCAAGTGGAAGTTTAGCTATCTACGAAGATGTCAATTTTAATGATAACCAACAATTTGATGAAATCAATGTAAATGCAAACGAACATTTTGAAGGAAATGAAATCACATTTAAATAAATTTGTTTAATAAGGTTTTATTTGATTGAATCTGCGTAAAAACATAATCATTTCAATTGATATTTTTTTCTTATATAAGCCATTTTAATAACCAATTAATATTCATTGCTTGCATGAACTAAATATTTATTCATATTCTTCAAAATAAACAGAATGCATCCAAAGATATTTTAAAATAATAAAAATTTATTAACATAAAAAGAGAATGATATATCTAACAGTTATAAATAAGACATAAATCGATCATTAAGAATTACAAAATAAGATACTTATGCTTATATTTCCCTTGGCGTATTTTAACCAACAATTTCTTATAATGAGTGAAAACACCATTAATAGTACGATTAGGAAATGTTTCCAAAAGCTCATCTTGTAGTTTTGGTCCTTCTTTAATTTCATTATGAATATCCATTAATATCTGGTCAAATTCTTCAATCCATGGGCATCTTTCCTTCTTTCCAATCATTTCAAGGATCGAATGCGGCTTTTCATAAACATTCGACTTAGGTTCTCTTATAATAAATCTAATTGCGTCGATAATTTGTTTTCTTACCGTCGGAAGATCTCTATCAGGAAACACTTTTGCTAAATCTTCCCATTTAGTTTCATTTTTCTCGTATTCATTGTATTTCTGAATTAATAATTTCATTTCTTGATTTGTAAAGCCATTAAGAGGTGTATCGGTTAGTCTACAATACATTCTATGGCATGATTCGGCTGAATATCCAAGTTCTTTGGATAATTTCTTCCAGATATCTGAAGATTTCCCAAGTTCGTCATGTCTCTTGATAAGAGTGGCTTCATCATCTTTATTCCATACATACTTCTTTTTGACGACCTTATCGCTTCCTTTCTGCTTTGAATTAGATTTCTTATTTGAACTCGAAGCAGTTTCTTCAACTTCTTGTGAATCCTCTTGTTCAGAAGCTGGAGAATATTCAAATACATCATCAGAAACTTTATTGGAACTACTGGATTCGTTTGATCTTGCATTTTGGCTCATAGATTCGTCATCACCTTCAGAATTTGAGGCTTTAAACGAATTAGATATACGACTTTTCGCTCTTGAGCTTGATGGTCGTTCTGTTTCTTCAGAAAATTCATCAGGATCCAAATCTCTAAAATTCACAGCTTTAACGTCAACAATAGCATTCCATCTCTTAGAAACATCGACGGGGATGGGATGAATGATTTTTTGTGGTAATATTTTATAAGGAATATATGTATTGAAAGAGTGAGATTTTTGCTTCAACAATTCAATTTTCTCTATGAAATTCTTCTTGTATTCTTCTTGATTTTTAAGGTATTTTGACTTATCAAATTTTTCTATCAAATCATCAATGAAAGTTGGGATTTGACATTCATTTACATCATCTATGTCCCATTGACAGTCTTCTTCGTTGAACTGTTCTGCAAATTGAAGTAATAAAATTGTATTTTTTAAAGAATAGTCCAAATTCTTCAAATGAAGCTGGATATCCTTAGATGACTTTGGACTGAGCTGTTCTGTCAATTGCTGAAGAGAGCGTCCCAAATAATATTGTTCCAATAAAATTTTATCTTCTAAATCAGTCCATTTGCTGTCTTGTACTTCATTTATTTTATTGGAAAGCTTTTTATGTATGTAAACCAAAACAAAATTTAAATATCCTTTTGAATAGTTCGGAAAGAACTGATTTATTTGGTCCCATTTGTAGTTTAACTCGTATACTTTTGATATTAACAGCTTAACATCTAAACTTCCTTCAATTTTTTCTTTTGAAACTTGTTCATTTTCTTTTGAAGTTCCCGCTGTAGAATGATTCGAATCAGTTTTTCCAATGGAGTATAATTTTGGTTTTGATGTTTCAGTTAATAAATGTAACGTTTGCGAAATATCGTTTTCAGACTTTTCCAAAGCGGATAGGATTGCATCACGATGATATCCTAATGATGTTAAATATTGAATACTTGATGATTCATTATTCTGAATTAATTCGATATTAATATTTGTATTTTGTTTATTATCGCGTATTTTGCATATCATTTCATTAATATCTTCAGAAACTTCATTATCAAAATTATATTCATCGTCTAACTCTGTTCCTTCCTTTGTAATTTTGATATTTTCTGCTTTCTTACTTAAATAACGTGCAATTTGTTTCTTTAGCTCTAAAATACTATCAACTGTAAAAGAATGTGATTGAACATGTGAATCTTTGAGATAGAAAATGAGAAATTGCATGAAAAAAATATGTATAATGTAAAGTTATCAAAAAATCTGACACTTTATATTATGACACGTAAATTGTTCTGTCAATTTGACATGGTTATGAAATTTGTCAAATCTAATGACTGATCAAAGAGCTAAAGAATATTTCGACCAGCTCCAGACCGCCATAGATGAAGAGAGGACGAGTGATATCATTGATATCTCCACACAAATCCTCAACTTCATGCCAGGCGATTTTGAGCTTTTACTTTGCAGAGGTATCGCAAATCTCCAGGAAGGAGAGTACGAAGATGCCTGGAATGATATCAAAGGCTTAAAGGGCTGTGAGTTCGAGAAGGCTTACTGCCTTTACAAGCTCGAACGCTTCCAGGAAGCCATCGAAATCTACAACAAAGTTAGCAACGACATGAAGAACGAAGAACGCTTTATCCACCTTGCCGCACAAATTCTCTTCCGTCTCGACAAGGGCGCTGAAGTTCTTAAACTTTACGAAAACCTTCCAAAGGATGATGACAACTACGAGGATGTTTTAGTCAATATTTCTGCTGCTTGCGCTATTTCTCACAACTCCAGTGTTGCCCTCTCAAAGGTAACAGAAGATTCCCAAGCAGAGCAGATTTACAACACAACAATTGCTTTAATCGAAGATGGACAGAAGGATAAGGCCATTGAGTTCGTCGAACGCGGCTACGCTATGATTGAGAAGAAAGACTCTCTCATTGGCCAGCTTTTCGACATTCTCCGCTCAATTATCCCATCAATCCCAGCCGGATCAGACTTCGACCCAGCCAAGGTTCTTCTTGCTCTTGCAGAAAACGAGAATGCCAACAAGTACGCTCGTACAGTCGCTGCTTGCGATTATGTTGCTATTAATCCAGATGATCGCGCAAACCACAAGAAGTTCCGCCATCTCTACAGCGATGTTGTTACAAACGGTATCCGCAAGACAGAAGTCGAAGGATTCCTCGTCAACCAGTTCGTATTAGCTCATATGTTCGGTGAAACAAAGAAGACTCAGGGTATCGCTGGTGAAGCTGCCAAGCTTACTGTCATCGATCCTCTCATCGCCGAAGCATTTGCACGTACAGTTGACCCAACAAAGGCTACAAAGACACAATATTCAGATTTATTCTCCGCACAAGCCAAGATCCAAGAAAGCAAGTACGTAGAAGCTGCCCAGATCCTCGCCGCTTCATCTTTCGCAAAGGAACCACGTACAATCGCAGTTATTGCCGAACTTTACATTGCAGGCAAAGATGAGGACGCCGCTATTGCTTTCCTCAAGAAGAACGAAAGCGACAATGCCGACTACCTCGAATTCGCTTGCAGATTCGCTCTTAAGCACAATCACCCACAAGATGCTGCCAAATGGGCCAATACACTTACAAAAGCAACAGGAAATGCTCCATGGTCTGTTGCACTTCTCGCTACATCATACGCTACAATCGATCTTGAAATGGCCGAACGTTACGCAAATAGATTGAAAGCTTCAGGAATTTCCGATGCAGAAGCCGACAATCTCGAGAAGGCCACACTCGTCGACAAGCTTACAACACGTGCCAACGACAACGCCGAGCCAACAACTGCATTCGACAAAGTCATGGCCAAACCAAAGGGAAAGAGAGATCTCGAGTCCATGTCAGAGGAGAAGAGGAAGGCAATCAAGGACAAGCACAGAAGGAGGAGGCGTCTTCAGCTCCCAAGAAACTACGATCCAAACAGAAAGCCAGACCCAGAGCGCTGGATCAGGAAGTCACAGCGCGCTGCAAACAGAAACAGAAGGAAGGCAAAGGCTCCAGTCGCAAAAACAGCTGGTCTCGGTGGCAAAGTCATCGAAGCTCCTAAGAATCCAAACCAGAACAAGAAGAAGGGAAAGAAGCATCGCTGGTAAGCGATATGCCCATTTCTCGCTCTTTTTTATTTCTTCTTGAAGCGAACAAATCGGGGCATAAACAATATTTATATAATTACTTTTTTTTTCTTTGAATATGTTATAATATGCAGTATGATGCTTTATTATGCTCTGTTTTCTACTTGATTTCTCATATCTATGATTTTTTTTCTTCAATTTGCTGATTAGTGCAATTGCACATAAGATGAAATTTCCCTTATGAGAATACTTACTCCCGTATGACATTGCCTTCAATACTGTTGTTTAAGATCAGAAATTTTAATTAAAGCCAGATGGGCATATGAACACCATTAATTTTTGATTCTTCATTAATTCTTCTATGATAATAACACATTACAAATTTTTAACCATTTATGTTCTAAGTAAAGAAAATAGTACATTACATGGCAGGAAGTAATGTACCATGCAGGATATCCTTTATAGTTAACCATTCAATTAAAATCTAGAATTGCAAAACCATTTGTTAAACTTGCAAGCCTTCTTTTGCTATATTAAACTTCATTATCATGCCTGATTTCAGAAAGAACTCATCCAATCTATCAAAAATAAATCCAAAACAATCATTCAACCTCTCCTTTGATATCTTTAATTTTTATCTATGTTCTCATAATTAGGTAAAATATTTGTTATCTCTCTATATAATATAACATTATATTTTTAACATTTCTTTGCATCTATATTAACAGAAGCCAAAGCATCGACAACCCATTGTGGAATATTTCCGTCTGGGTATCTATTGTTGAAGAAATCTCTTTCGTACTTTCCGAGTTCTTTCTTTTTGATTCCTTCTCTGAAGTAAGAAGTCAATCTGTTCTGGAATTCAACGTTATGAATAGACAACAATTGTCCACACATTGGAGTGTGTTGCATGTGGAACAAAGCTGTTCTTGTTACGTGCTTGCATGTCCAACATCCGCACTCTTTTTCAACTGGTTCTTCCTGTCCTTTCCATCGAGAAACATGTTCATTTCCATTCCACATCAAAGCTGTTCCGAATCTGGCTGTTCTTGTTGGATAAACACAGTCAAACATGTCAACACCCAAAGCAATGCAAACAGCAATGTCTTCAGCGTATCCAACACCCATGCAATAGCGAGGCATGTCCCTAGGAAGCTCTGTAACTGATGTCTTGACGGATTGCCAAAATATCTCTTTTGCTTCGCCGCCAGAAAGTCCGCCAACAGCGAAACCGCCGAGTTTATCTTTTCTTTTGACCATTTCTTGGGCACAGAACTTTCTCTTCTCTTGATCAAGTCCGCCTTGTACTATTGCGAAGATTGCTTGGTCGTTTGGACGCTCGTGGGCTTCGATGGCGCGGTCTAACCATCTGATTGTACGATACATCGCTTCTTCAACACGAGGACCTGTCATTAGAGAAGGAACAACATCGTCAAGCATCATGGCGATGTTGGATCCGATAGCATTTTGTATGTGGATTGAGTCTTCGGGCTTTAATAAGATTTCAGCTCCACTTGCATGGGGAGCGGTGAATCTTACGCCTTCTTCTGTAACTGTAGAGAGTTTTGCGAGTGAAACCATCTGGAATCCACCACTATCTGTGAGCATTCCGTGTGGCCAATTCATCCATTTGTGAAGTCCACCAACTTCTTTGAGTAATTCAGGACCTGGTCTGAGACCAAGATGATAAGTATTGCCTAATATGATAGGTGGACTATGAGGAAGATCTAAAATCTGTTCAGGTGTCAATCCTTTGAGAGATCCTTGTGTAGCAACGGGCATAAAGATTGGTGTTTCAAAATAAAAGTCACTTGGACGATGAAATCCCATTTTAGCACATCTGGCAGGACCGTCTTCTGCTAAAACTTCGAATTCTACAACCTTCTGCGACATAATTTTTCTAAAATTTTTTAGAGGTCACTTTTATAATTTGTAGATTTGACGATTATATTTTGAATTAAAATCGATTATTTTTTTAAAGTCGTAACTACAAGATTTCGAAAGCAATAGCAATACAACAGGTTGTCTAACCATTCATACATATTATACATACTGCCAAGTAATAATATCTCAAATATTATAGCTTAACTTTTGACTCATTATGAATTTCAGATTAAATGTTGCTCTATTTGGATCATTGAACACAATCTGAACAAAAATAATGACAATAAATCTGAACATGTAAGTTTAATTCGCATTTTATACTGTTGAACAACAAATATCTATATATCTTTAACTCATTATTGATTGAAAGCATCATTTTATAGATTACATTCTAGGGGTATCCTAGATTTTTGATTACGTGAAACCATTCCTTCTTATTGTTCCAAAAATTATTTAGAAAACCTGATATTACTATGTTTTACATGACAGTTCAATAAAAATCCATATTATTTAAAACTACAGTTTTAAAACCTAATAAACAAATAATAAATATATGGTAAATATATGAATTAATCCGACATGCTTGTTGTTCTTCTTAAAGGAGGAAGGTTGGAAGAACTTGAAACGAAACTATGGTTGGACAGTGAGTTAGAGATTCTGATACGACACTTTACATTCTTATCTGAATCGACAACGCGTCTGAAGAAAGTCTTCTCAACATTGGTATAGTTTTCTTCATTTCTTGACGCTTTTTTGATTGGTTCATAAGTAAAACCTTCAATGATTCCGTCGTGCAGTAGTAAACAGCCGCTTTCGTTGTTAGTTTTGCTATAACATGATGCCGAGAATATCGTATATAAGTTAGCACCATGGAATCTGTTAATTCCCTTTTCGACAAACCCATGAGACCTTATCATTCTTTGGAGATGATTCTGCTTCAGGAAATGCTGAATTGCATCGACACCGTAAAGATATCCTTTGAGACCTTGATTGGGAAGGAAATCTTTGGACATTTCGGTTGGTTCACTCCAAATTAAAGTTGATGCAATTTCTGAGTTGTTGTTGGGGCGTTTCAATGATGAAATCAAATCAAGGTTTGTAATGTCTGGTCCAATACCTCCATGAACGCAAAAAGTGTTATTAGATATTATAGCGGCTAATGGAAGTACTTCAAACACTTCATTGAATAGATTCCAAAGTCCCTCTGAGTACTCAATAGTAACTTCCTGATGGAATTTCGTATTAACATTGATGTTTGATAATTCTTGATGACCTTTCAACAAAAAAACATCTCTAGGAAAGCTAACCTTAAGAGCCATGACGAGGGCAACAACTTCAACCGAATTGGAGCCCGCTCCTGAGTAATCTCCCAAGAAAAGGTACTGGGTAATTGGCGGTAAGCCTTGATTAGCAATAATTTGAAGTAAATCATGTAGATTTCCATGTAAATCTCCAACTACACAATAACGTCCATCTAACTTCAATAGAGAACTTTCCTTTGCCAAGATTGTTTTTGCGTTATAAAGTAATTTCGCTAAATCAACTTCATTGAAATAGGGAATAGGTTGTAATTCAGTTCCTATAGCCGAGAAAATCAGACTCTTATCAACTAAGTAATTACGAAAAGCTTCTAGGATAAGAGTCATCAAAAATCTAAAAAAAATTCGAAAAATTTTTTTGATATTTGAAGGATTTCATTGAATTTTTTTAAAGGATTTCAAATTAAAAAGTGAACAGGGAGTATTATAATACAATGCTAAGGACATTCAATAATTTTCAAAAGAATTGAGAATCTCTCAATTTTGCCTAATTAGCTGTAAATTTTTGTGATTGAGTTATCAAATTTGAGAAATTTTTGAATAGCATTAAATAGATAACAGTTAATCTTGCAAAATCATATTAAATATCACGATAGTTACAGAATCGATAAATTAAAAAACAAATATTAAAATATGAAATACGATATTCTTTAAGATATATAAAAATGTGATGTTTGAAGATTCTGTAATGATGAAACTTTTTTGAAAGCAACTTTTGAATGATATTCTAAATCTTTCTGTACAGAAACATAATTGTTCGTCGGAAATAAAGAATGGTATAACAGAGCTGTACTTAATATGTAAATTTGATTTTTTAAGAAATTTACGGTAAGTTTTGAGATAGAAATGTGTAAGAAAATTTGGAAGAACCAAGGTTGAAATAAAAACGGAACCGTTTCGGATTTTTTTACATTTCATTGCAATATTAAGGAAATGCATTCCCTACCATATAATAATGACATGAAATTATAAAATCGGTTATCATAATTGATTTTTATGTTATATTATTATTAATTATTTATATTTTTTTTGATAAATGTATTGCCTGCGTAGCATAGTGGTTATTGCGTGCGCCTTGTAAGCGCAAGGTCGCCGGTTCAACTCCGGTCGTAGGCATTAATTTTAATTTTAATTTTTGGATTTTATTTGGAGAAATTTCAGAAAAGATATGAATCAACTTAGCTGCATTGCTGGTCAAGTTGCAACAAAGGAAAGAGATGATTCATCATTTTTTCATCATAGAAGGAAACTTTTAAACCTTAATTGGGAAACAGAACCCACAAAAGTATCAATCTTTATCCAACCAGGACTTCCAGAGACAGAAGAGAACTTAGAAATGCTTAAAGACTTTCTGAATCAATTCAAAATTCAGTATGAAGTGGATAAATATACAAATAGTGATTTTATTATCCTTATTGGAACTGATGGAATCAATCTTACTGTGTCGTCATTATTTCAAGAAAGAGAAACACCGCCAATTCTTTCACTTACTCCTTCACGTAAAGGATTCATATCGGTTTTGGACTTTTGCCAATATAATTTAATCATTTCACAAATTTTACGCGGAAATTGTTGGCTTTTACCAAGATGTCGACTTGTTGTAGATTATTATAGTCTGGAAGGTCTCCAGCACTTTACAGTTTTAAACGATCTAGTTGTTAATAGAGATCATACATCTGGCTCTCTCGCAATTAACTGCAGTTCATGTGGATTTGGTTTTTCTCAGATAGTTGGTGATGGTGTGATCATTGCCACTCCAACAGGATCAACAGCTTACAATAAAGGTGCTGGAGGAGCTCTAGTTCATCAGCTTCTACCTGTATTCATGTTAACTCCAATTGTCGCACTATCTTTAAGCTGTAGACCTATTCTTTTCCCACAATCTGCTGATTTAACAATTTCATTAGATGAAGAACATGATAAAATGCAATCACACGTAGCTTATTTGACGTTAGATGGTAGAGTGCAGCGACTTTTCAAGAAAGGAGAGAAACTTGTTGTTTCTATTTCTCCCCACTACTATAATTCGATTACCATGTCAAAGTCTATTGCTGAATGGCCGGGCAGGCTTGCAGGACTTATGGGATGGAGTGAAAGAAAGCATCAAAAAGCTCTTCCTTCAGAAAATTTACCAAAATAATTTTCTTATTTTTGTTTTTGAAGTTTCTAATGGATTTCTTAAATCCATTAGCTCATAAACTATTATATATTAGACTCTGTATGTATTGAATTACAATATTATTTTTTTGGAAAATAATTTATAAATGTTCAGGCGTTATCTAGTTTAAAATATATTTAGTCACACATATCACGAAGGAAGAGTACATTATTCAACTAAATCATAGCAAATGAATAAAAAATATTAAACTTTTCGAAGCAAAATCATTGTCAAAAAGATTGGATTCTATCTAGAACTATGCAACAATACATTCCTCTACAAAATATTATGTTTATAAAAATATTTTATAAAATTTATTAAATTCGAATGCATGTATTAACTTCTATTTATTCTACTTTATGTGGTTTATCATCATCTTCATCAGCGAACAAATCTGCACATGAAAAAGTACATCTGAACATAAATTTTCCTGGAGAAACGTCTCTGACGTTATGAATATCCATTTCTGGTAATTTCATTCCAAGTGCCTTTTCAGCGCGAGCCCTAAGAGATGCTACATAGTCACCATCTTTGTTATCGAAAGAATGGAAAATAACAATAGGCATTCTAGCAGTTTCGCGGTTCTTTTTAGCACCTTCACCGATAGCATCCAAAAATTCAACAGCAGTTCCTGGAAGATTCATTACAATATAATCGCATCCTCCATTATCGAATTGTTTCCTAATAAATTCTCTTGCATCCATGTTGAAACACTCGACATTCTCTGAAACACCATTAATCTTGCAATTTTCTTTAAGCCAATAGTAAGAATCAGGATTTAAGTCATTTGCACGTACACGGCATCCTTTTTTGGCTGCACGAACTGCAAATGGACCAATACCACACATGGCATCACAGACGAGTGAATTCTCTTTGAATGTAGCAACAACGGAATCATGTTCGTATTGAAGGCGTGAATTCCAGTAAACTTTGGAGAAATCCATTTTGAATGTGAATCCTGACTGCTTAACTTCTGTAATGAAGTCGTTTTTGCCTGCAATAACTTCTAATTCCATATTTCTGTAAACGTTATTAATTGGACCTTGTTTGATAGCAACAGTCTTGATACATGGGTTTTTAAGGATGATGCACTCACCAATAACCTTCTTATATGGAAGCAACTCATCAGGAAGATTAAGATGTGCAATATGTCCAATAGTTTCGAATGATGTTGGTATTACTAATGGCTCTGGAATGTAATGACGAAGAAGCTCAATGTATGTTAGTTGTTTGTATGTTAAAGTTACTGGATATGGCTCAAGCTTTGCTTCTGGGACTTTCTCGAGGACTTCTTTAGGTAATTCAGTTACCTCTGGTATTAGTATTATTCTCTTTCCATTTGGATCATCAACAACGTTTTTTGTCTCAGTTGCAGAAAGCTTTTTTTCTTGTAAGATAGCTTTAACAGGTCCAGTTAATTGCTTTGGAACAACAATTGATTGGAATTCTTTTGAAATGGTAATATCTTTTGGATCTATATCCATTTTTGTCACTTTTTGTATATTCCGCCGTAAATTTGAAAGATTTTTTTTTTGTAAATGATAAGGAAAGTTGAGTCAATTCTATAGTTATTAATCAATCACAGGTACATAGAATAATGCAATGATTTCCTCTCTCTTCAATTTGCATTTTCAACTATTTGGGTTGAAATCAATATAACAAAAATAGTAAAGATAAAGCTGTCTTTCATATCAAAACATTTTTCAATCTCTTGTTGAATCACATAATTTGCATTGCACAGGTCTAAACACAAAAATCATTGATGATGATACAGCACTTCAAATTGCAGAATCTCATAACAGCACAAAAATTACAAAATTTATTATAGTATATGGGAATAGGTGACAATACAACTGATTTCATAGAGAATTCAAGTGAGCTTCATCAATATCTGTTGCAGCTGTGATTCTCTGTATCTCTACTCTCCAGAAAATAGCTAATGGTAAAATTTATAAATTTGGATAAAATATCTCTAAACTTGAAATCATATTCTTCGCGTCTGTTTCTCAAAATTTGAGTGAATTGAAAGGTTTCCACGCGATGAATATGATTTCAAGTTTATGAATATTTACTAATGAAAATACCAGACCTAAAAAATAAATATTTTAACACTTTATTTGAAGAAAACTTAACACAAAATTCTTTAATTAAATTCAGGGAACAAAAGCAGATCAGGAACTGAAAGTTCCTTTTTAGCATCTATCTGAGACGGCTCAGGGACATCGCTATCACTCAGTCCGGTGAAAGAAAATCCGGATACGTTTGCTTCATCACCAAGAACAGGAGTTCCGTAGCTATCCATTGCAGTATCATCTTCATTATTATCTTTCTGCTTTTTAGCTTCTGTCTCTACTTTGTCTGGAATGTAATAAGGCTTTATTTTCCTCTGGTAGACGTCATCCCAGTTAACTCCGCTAAAGAACGGGTGATGGATGACATCTTCGTACTTTGCACGTTTCTTTGGATCTTTTCTAAGTAGCATTGCGATCAAAGAAGCAAGTTCTGATGGAATTTCAACTGGAAAAGAAACATCTTCATTTACAATCTTCTCCAAAATGCGGCTCTGACTCTTATCGAAGAATGGTGTGACTTGCATAACCATTTCGTAAGCGAGAATGCCGATTGCCCACCAATCTACTTCATAACTGTAAGGTTGATGCTGTGCAATCTCTGGAGCTATGTATTCGTAGGTGCCACAGAATGTTTGAGCACCTGATGTAGCGTTTAGGTCCTTGGAAAGTCCAAAATCAGTTAATTTGACATGGCCTTCCTCATCAAGTAAAATATTTTCTGGCTTTAGATCTCTATATATAATACCAAGCGAATGAAGATATGAAAGCGCAAGAACAATTTCAGATAAATAAAATCGAACTTCTTTTTCTGATAATCCTCCACTTTTCTGAACCCTGGCAAAGAGTTCGCCGCCAGAAGCGTACTCTAAACCAAAGTAGAATTTCGATGGAGTCTGAAAAGCGAATTTTAATTGAACTATGAACGGATGACTCGCTCGAAGTAAAATATTTCTTTCGGCGAGAGCAGAATGACTTCTTTTATCTTGTATAAGTCGACTTTTATGAATTGATTTAATAGCAAATTTCTCGTCTGTATCTTTTTTAGTGACTAACATAACTTTTCCATAATATCCATTTCCAATCACACGTATTGGGGTGAAATCATCAATTGAGAGGACAATTGTCTGTGATGGAGCGTTTTTGAGAACTGTACCCCAGCGCATGAGTTCTTCAGAACTATCTGCATATAATTCGACATTTTCTTTGTCGGAGTTCCAAACTGTAAGCATGAAAGTTTTGCCTTTACAAACATGCTCTATTTTTGTATCTGTTGTGATAGTCATTGTCATATCTGGAAATTTTGCATTTTCGTCAGAAAAAATAAAGAACGTATGGCATGTGCATGTGCACCACTTCTTCGCCTTTATTCCAAATACTGACATCTTTCGTTTGAGCCATCCAGAGAGACTGATTAGATCAGTCATTCTCACTCAAAAAAAAAATAATCGTTCAGAATTTTTTTTGTAGGGAATTTCAAATTTTTTATTGCATCGAAAAATTTGAAGCCAAGGATTTATCCCAATCAAAAAATAAATTTTTCATGTATAATATTGTAAGTGTGACCTATTCTGATTGCAAAGCACTTTTTAAATCTCATGAATATTATTTTGAATATATTTTTCTTAATATAGCGCCTGAACTTTCTCACAACTCCTATATAGCTCAAAAGTCGGAAGAATTCCTTTTCGGAGTTGGTTATCTAGTTAATATATAAAGTGATTAATTTAAATACATCTACAGCCTCTTAATTTGCCAACTTTATGCAAATTAGTCTTAAAATTTTCCTATATGATGATCCATTTTGTTGAATATATGATAAGAAAATGATGGAAAAATAATATGGGAAAATATTACTTATATTATTATGGCAGAAATGTAAGTATAAGTTTTCTGCATGCAAACATTCGATATATTCCATTCTTATTTAATATTTGTAAATTTGAAATAATAAAATTTGTTTATGTAAAAATTAAGATGCGTAATTATCATCATTAGTATATATAAGATGCTATGATTATATAGATAAGCAGATAATGTTTTAAATTTATATTTCTGCTTTGACATTATCTTAAATCGGTTAATTGATTTAACCGGAAGAAAAATTGATCGAGGAGTAAAAACTAAAAACGAAGAAGTGTAAAGAAAAGATAAATTTATATTCCAAAAATGATTTAGCAACAGCCGCCAGATGATTGTTGTTGTTTTGGTGGCTCATCGACCTTGAACGGAGAAGCCTTTTGTGCTCCACTAGTAATCTGAATTTGACCGTTATTAACGCGGGTTGCAACACCATAAGCAAGTCTTGTGAAAGATTCAGAAACGTTCTGTCCTGAAAGAGCAGATGTTTCGATATATTCAAGCTTATGCTGTTCAGCAAAGTCCTTAGCTTGCTGTACGCCAACTTGTCTCTGAGATTCGAGATCGCCCTTGTTACCAACAAGGAGGATGTAAGCGTTTGGATTGCAAAGTGCCTGAAGATCGTTAAGCCATGTAGAAAGTTCTTCGAATGAAGTTTCGTTTGTGATATCATAAACAAGAATTGCGCCAACAGCGTTTCTGAAGTATGCCTTTGAAACTGATTTGAAACGCTCTTGACCAGCTGTATCCCAAATTTGGAGTTTGACGCTCTGATCTTCGAGTGGACAGATGAAGGATTTGAATTCTACGCCAACTGTTGACTGACCTTCCTCACGGAATGTACCATCGATAAGGCGCTGAACGATTGCTGTCTTGCCGACACCTGAACTGCCAACAACAACAATCTTAAAGGATTGAGAAATTGTCGATTTCATTTTAGAAAAACCGTCTGACGAGTTAATCCCCCTGCCAAATTTCATCGTAAAATAAATAGAAGATTCATCGACATTTTTAAAGAGTATCCATATTCTTCATACCCAAAATGTTTGATCTCTCTAACTAAATCAAAAATATGGTAAATGGTTTTTTCATCAAAAAATTTGAAATCAAATATTAGGTTATATTCCTTATACCAAAAAGTTCCTACACATGAGGAATACTATGGCAATGAAATGTTTGAAATTCAAGGCTGACTTAATATTATCACACGGTATGTGAGGGATAATGAATGCAGTTCTTTCATGATTAAATTTACTATTACTTATACATACTTTTTAGCCTATAAGTATTTCTCAAGATTAAAAGAATTCTCAAATGAATTGAGGCATTGGAAAAATGACTAATATTCTATTTTTTCTTCAAATAGAATGCTTTAAAAGTGATTATGTGGTAGATTTTGTTGATTTTCAGCGTTTTCAGATATAGAGGATATGGAAAACAGAATCGATTCTTCTTGTCAGTCACTTTTGATCAACTAAAAATGGGATGTCTTTGCAGCGTAGAAAAGCCACCTGGAGAGCCAGTATTAGCACCTAACATTGTCATTGGTTCCGATTCAGATTCTGGAATAAAAAATCAGCCTTCTCCTGATAAAAAGAATGATATCATTCCATTGCTTGAACGACCTGAACCATTGAATTTTGCATCTTTGCAATTTACCTCTGATTCATCATCAGTTGATATAGATATGGAAAGATTAGAGCAATTACTTAAAAATGAAGATACGAAAGCAGAAACTTACACAATGTCTCCCAAAAAGAGTAATGCAGAGAAATTTGCTGAAACATTATCAGATGAGTACCCACTTGATGAAGTCTAAATCTGATAAAATTTTCAGTATTGTTTTCATAACTCCTTAGTTGCTATTTCTTATTGGAGTATATGTTATTCAGATTAATAGTAGCGTTCTAACTGAAAGCCATTTCCTTTTCATTTTTTGAATTTCAATTGGCAAATTATTCTGAAGTGTGACAAGATGGTTCTCCTATTGAATATATATATTTAACCATGTGCATTATAAATTGTATATACTACTCGTTAAAGCCTCTAAAAATATTGACATTTTTTTAAAAAAACTAAACACTAACATTTAAATAAACAAACACAGGACTATATCGTCGTTCTTATTTCTTACGTACACGGAAAACATTTCTCCATGATATCATTACAAAAATAAGTATAATTAAAATTCCAATGCCAACTTCAACGCATGGCTTGAGTGGCACAAAAACTTTCTTGTTTCTTTTGTATTTGCAAAGGAAATATAAACCAGCTGGAGCAAAGAAGACGGAAGCAAGACACATCACGCAGATTTGAGAACTTGTGATCTTCATTTCTTCAGATCCCACGCTGGAACTCCGAGGTGATGGGGGTTGACAATAAAATGGGATAATAATCCTCTGCGGGATGACCGTTTCTTGCATGTAGATAGGATGTTTCTCCTCGAAAACGCTAAAATCTTGCGACATGTCATTTACTTCCTCTTTTGATGTCTGCCCTGGATTTTCAATGTCATTTTTTGCATAGTATGGATTTATCTCTGTATTCTCAGAGGAATCTTCTACTACTTCTCCACTATCTGATATATCAGCTTTAACTTTTGATATTTTATATTGAATATTAAAACAATTGGAATCACTAGGGTTTTCTATATCGTCTACATGATACGGAGAAGGCGGATTTAATCTGGGTGGTGGTATGTACGAGTATTGATCGTCATTCGATTCATGCTGATCTTCCATTGATGTTTTCTTAGAATAAATTATTTCAAATATGATTTTTATTTGATGAATATTTCAAAGCTATTGGCAGATCGATACAAACGATACATTCAATTTTCAATAAGGTATTCAAAATACCATGATGCCTTATCAACCAGATTTCATAGATTTAAGAAACAAATGTAATGCCTTAAAATGATATATGAAATTCCAAATTGAAAACATTTCGGATTAATAAACATCAGTCAAATAATACATTATTCATAAATATTAAAAAAATTAGCATTCACAATATGTTTTTAAATTGAATACTTCTCAAATGTAATTACAATAAGTGTAAAGAAAGTCTATTTCTTTTTACTTTTGATATATTCGAGTATTGGTCGATAGTTTTCAAGTGGGAAAAATGTAAATAGAAATATTGAAGTCATATTTCTCGGATTTTGATAATTATTCAACTCATTGAACAATTTATCGAAATTTCTTGGACTCAATATCCTATAATTCTTATTTATTTATTATAAAGCAACGTAAAGAACCGTAAAAATGATTTAGAAACTTCTCCGATTTGATTAGATCAGTAAATATGAGACTTACATATCCATTAGAGTATTATTTATATTTGGTTTTGAGCATTTCTATTGAAATGAATAATAATCGATGTCAACATGTCTTTTGCGTGAATATGTCTATAAAATTCGCGATAAATGCTCCCATTAACTTCGTTTGATCTTTGTAATTGAGTAAAAAAAATTGAATAACAAACCAAAGTTCAAATCAGGAATTATTCATTATAGTATATCAAAATGAATAATATGAGACTGGCTAAGACATATATAATTGTTTAATCCTGCTGTATATCCAAATATTTCTTCAAAAATTTATTATCGAAATAATCTTGATTAACAAGTCACATTTGAAGTTTTATCTGGTAACATTAAAATTTATAGCAGTGAATCATCAAATCTAATGCAAAATTGAATCGGAAAAAAATTGAACCTTTAGGTAAATCAAAGATAATTTAATTTCTCAAGAGTACATGTGTAGGCCAGCATTAATGTTATATAAAAATACAACTCTATTGTATCAAAAAATAAACAATCAATTCAAAAAATGGCGGAAGAAATTGGAATAACAATTCGTCCCAAAAAAGACCGGACATTAAAGTCTTCAAGCATACAGAAAAGGGATGATAACTCTGTACCAAATCCTTCCAACTTAAAATCGCAGCCTTTAGACAATAAGGAAGAAACAACACCAATCCCATCACCAGTATCTAAGGAAAAACCAGCACCAGAATTACCAGATAGGAATGTTGAGATATGGGAACCAGATGGCACACTTAATTTGTCTGCTCTTCCAAAACAGATCGAAGAAGAAGAAATAAACGAACAAAATACAGAAGTCACAGTGCCAGAAATCGAAGATCCAGAAAAACGCGAAGAACAAAGAAAAGAATTTTTCGAAAGGCAACAGAAAAGCGTTCAAAAAAGACTTAATCCAGATTCAAGTTCATATAAAGAAGCGTGGGGTCATGAAAGCGACGATGAAAACTCTACAAAACCTAAGAAGAAATTCGTTCCTGATCCTGATTCGTTCTTTGAGCGACAGAAAAGAAGTACGTTAGTTCGCAATGAAGCACAGAGAGAAAAGAAGCAACCTAAGCCTAAAATGTCAAATGGATCCAAAGCAATACTTAAAAAAGATCCGAAACCAGTTAAAAATGAAGTAGAAGTCCCTCAATATTCTTTTCATCCAGATCAATCACTTACTCTTGACTATCCGACAAATAACAGAATTAGTGTTACAGAAGTCGAAATACATTGTTTAAACAGAAGTATTAAACAAGGAGTTAACGAACTCGATAATACTGTACTAGAGGAAATATCTCAGCAACATCATGAAGATCCAAATGTTACTAAGAAGAGAAACATGCTCGCTAAGCGTGCTCAAAAAAGATTGAAGCAAAAAGAAGAAAATCCACCAATTGAAAGAGAAGAGGAAGATATAGAATATAGACCAATAAATCCGAAGGTTCCTAAAGCAACTAGGGAAATGAATCAGTACTTTAAGCTTTTCAAAGAGGATCTTCCTTCAGATTAACTATTTTTGTTTGTTTTCTTAATAAAAATGTGCTAGTTAGATCGCACTTTGTCAAATTATATCAACAAAATTCGATTTTTTAATAATATTTTGAATTAAATCGATTTTCACAAATTCGACCTCCAAATCAGTTTCCTTCAATGATATATCCTCATTTTTCATGGAGAATGTAAGTTATGGAGACTTATGTCATTGAATTTGCTCCATATATTTACCTTCTTATTCATGAGAGAGACCTCAATATATCTGATTGTTTGAATACATCAATCTCGCCATTTAAATAGCTTTACAGGAAATTTACAATAGCAACATGCACTAACATAGACTCATGTATATAATTAATATATTCACACTTAATGAAAACAAATCTTTCTCCGTGAAATAAGGGAATTTAGAGATCATGAAAATTTTTTTACATGAAGCCTTAATCATTATAATTTTTAATTAATTTTATATCTTTATAATGATTGTGGAATAAAACTAGAATTTAGATATTTTTCAATTGTCAGAAAAAAAATAACGTATAAATGTCGCCGAAAACTCCACCTATTCAAACTCCTACAACGAGTACGCAAAAGTCTGAAATAGGACAAAAGCAAATTGTTAGGCCTGTATCAAAAATAGGTGGAAAAGAGTTGAATAGCTCTTGTTACAGATTATCAAGACCTCCACAAAAATTTACACAGATTAAAGCCATTCAACAAGACAAGCAAGAACCATGGGCTGCATCATACTTCCAAAAACACCCAGAAGAATTAAAGAAAACTGAACCTAATGTTAAACTCGAAAAAATTAACGAATTATTAAATGGAAATCAAAATCTTTCATACGAAACAAAACAAAAATTACTTATACGTAAAAAGACTCTCACTTATATTAAATTTGGAGAAAATTCTTACGAAGCAATCGAAGCTCATCACGATATTGGTCTCTTTTATCAAGATACCATGCATAACTCTTCTGCAATTCGCCATTATGAGAAAGCACAGTCAATTATCGATACTTCTTTCAAAAAAACGGATAATAGTCAAAACGCTACAGAGCTAAATAGCTCGCAAGTGAACAACGAAAATGGTGAGAATGGTGATGAACAACAAGAACCAGAAAATAAGGAATTATTATTCAATAAAATCAATTTATATTGCGGCGAATGCTATTACCAGCAAGCCAAATCATACCCAGAAGACGACGATAAGAAGAAGCGTCAAGCTAGAGCCGATATGAAGAAATCCTGGAACAATGTCGCAAAAGTTGATAATGAACAGTTCTTAGGCAGCGCAGACCTCGAATATCGTACGGAAATACTCAAAGCTCATATCGAGCGCTATAACAAGAAGTACTCTGATGCTGATATTTACTATAATTCCGCTTGTGAATATCTTTCTGACGAAAACGACCACGACCAGCAATTTCTTAAGGCCACAACATATGTTGAGAAGGCAGAGTGTGGCGAGGAGTATGCAGCTACATTAGATACCTTTGAAAAAAGAGAAATCATGAGAAATGTCGGCCAAGACTACAAAAGAGCTTACGACATCTTCATGGCCATTGGCGAGGAAGAGGAAGCAAACAGAATCAAGGACAAACTCCCAACAGAAGAGGACGAAGAACCAGTACAAGACCCAATGATGATGATTACCACAGATGATCCATCGAAATTCGTCACAAACGATGCAGAAGTCGCTGAGAAAGAGTTTAAACAAGAAAGCGAGGGCGAGAAAGAATCATCCAGAAGCAAAGATTCAAAAGATTCGAAAGATTCAGAGAAGAAATCGAAGAAAGACAAAAAAGAAAAGAAAGATAAAAAGGACAAGAAAGACAAGAAGGATAAAAAGGACAAGAAGGATAAGAAAGACAAGAAAGACAAAAAGGATAAGAAAGATAAGAAGAAGGATAAGAAATCAGATGAAGAAAAATCAGAAAAAGAAGAAAAATCTGATGATGATTTCGAAAAATCTGATAAAGAAGAAAAAGAAAAATCAGAAGACGAGAAGTCAATGAAATCAGAGAAAGAAGATGATGAAAAGTCAGAAAAAGAAGAAAAAGAAAAATCAGAAGATGAAAAATCTGAAAAATTTGATGAAGAAAAATCTGAAAAATCCGAAGATGAAAAATTTGAAAAATCTGATGAAGAAAAGTCTGAGAAAGAAGAAAAAGATGATGAGAAACATGAAGAAGAGGAAGAAAAGACAAAGCCAAATCAGTTGTTCCTTGGAGGAATTCGTCCATTCATTGGTACAGATGAAGACAAAGAAAAAGAAGAAAAACAAAAATCTGAAGAAAATTCCGATAATTTCGATGACGAAGATGATGATGAAAAGAAGTCAGAAGAAAAGAATATTGACTCAGAAGAAAATGAAAAGAAGAGGGACGAATCAGATTTCGATAAATCTGAAGAAAAGAAATCCGATGAAAATGATGATGAAAACTTCGAAAAATCAGAAGAAAACTTTGAAAAATCTGATGATAATTTTGAAAAATCTGATAATTTTGAAGATGATGAAGAGAAGAAATCTGACAACTTTGAAGATGAGAACTCGAATCATGATGTTGATAAGAGTGAAAATGAAGAAAAGCCAAAGGATGATGATGACGATGATTTCACATTTGATGATGATTTTAATTAATTTTTAATTTTACTTTTTGATTTTATTGTTTAGAATTTTACTCCTTTTATTTATTTAATAATAAAAATGACTTATGATAAATGATTCTAATTAATGATTTATGTAAAATCGTTTAAGTGTTCCGACCGACCACATATTTCCTCTAAATTTTCCACAACTTCGAGGTATCTTGCAGGCACGCATGATATATATATTTCATTGCTACCATACACAATATGATAGTATTACTTCATATAAAAAATGAAGGATTATTATTTTCGTCAGACGACAATGATAATTTTTTATTTTCAGGGTCATGTTAAAAAGATAAATTTATGAGATTGCATTGCAATGATACCAACTTGAATTGCAATGCATCTATTAGATAATTTTGGTGAAAATAAATTAAATAGTTTGAGTTTGTGATTTTGACTCCGCTAAAACAATGACTAGAAATTCACAAAAAGTTAAACAATTTGAAGATGGAAATAGAATGATAGCATACATAAGGAGCTATTAAATAAAGTTGTGTATGGGTGGATTGCACAAAAATTAATATAAATAAAGTTATCGTTCAATAATTCAGATGCTAGACGAAAATGATAATCCTTTTTTTTTAATTACTTGAAGGATTTTCAATATTTGGTCGCAATTACATAAAGCGCTATTATTAAATAAATTTTTTAGAATAAATATTGTTTATTCGAGAAATGTTCATTATTTGAATAATTTTAATTATCCAATGAATTAGAAATTGCACCGTGCGATATTAAAAGTTTTTCAATTTTCTCATTGCCATTTTCTTTTGCATAATCAAGAGCTGTTTTCCGATAAGAATCTATTGCATTAACATCAGCACCATGTGAAAGAAGAATCTTCACAATACTAGTGTTTCCTTTCATTGAAGCTTTATGAAGCGCAGTTGATTCATTTTTATACTCTTTGGCGTTAATGATTGCACCATGAGAAACAAGAACAGACACGATATTCTCATTATTTAATTCTGCTGCAATATGAAGAACTGTTTCTCCATAATTATATGAATCATTAACATTTGCGCCGTGTACTATAAGGGTTTCTGCAGCATCACTAGCATCATTTTCTGCTGCCAAATAAAGAGCAGTCTTTTTGTCATTATTTCGATCAAAAATGTTTGCTTCGTTCTGGATCAAAAGTTCAATCATTTCCTTTGAATTATATTCTGCTGCAATGAGTAGAGGTGTGTTTCCATCAATATTTTTTTATTGATAGCTGCATCATTTGTAATAAGGAATTTTGCAGATTCTACTGCATTGAGATAGGCTGCAATATGAAGAGCTGTTTGTTTATTTGTAGGGGACCTATCATAAATATTGGCGCCTTGAGAAAGGAAATATTTGCAAAGGGATGGGATATTGAATACTGGGGAATAAATGAAGCATTTCTTGATATCATTTGTTTGATCCAAATAAACAAAGAATGCCTGAAGATTATGATATTCACCACACCTAAATACTTCAATGGTTAGTTTGTATTCTATCATAAAAAATGTAACCAAAGCAATATTGTGTGATAATATTGCATACTCCATGCATTCTTTGTCTGGTTCAATCGCTTTCAAACATTCTTTTACAAGTCCAAAATTTCCATTAAGAATTGAAAATTGGAGGCATCTTTTTGTGATTTCTGAATTAAATTTTTCTCTTAACAAAGAAAAACATTTTGTCGCCCCATAATAACAACAAACTTCAAGTAATGAGGGCTTGGTTGTGTCTATAAAGAAAGGAGAAACAAGAACCTCATTTTTATCAAATTCTTCTCTTTCTGTGAATGATGTAAATGTCTCGATGTTGTCATTCATTATTGATTCAAAAATGGTGTCTGATTTAACAACTTCCAATGAAAAGTTTTCGGATTCAATTCTTTCAGGAGATATTTTATTCTCTTCATTTAACCAAATGCCATATTCTTTATAAACAAAATAGTCAAATCCGTATAGGAAGTCATTAATATGGTCAGGACGATATTCTTCATAAATCTTTTTGAATATGTACCAATATGACTTCAGATAACGATTATTGCATCTTGAAGCAAACGATATCGTATCCAATATATAAGATGGCAATAAATATTTTGTGTCTATTAAATTATTTTTGATATCATTACAAATTTTGTCTAAGATTTCTTCATTGGTGGTTCTTAGCCTATATAATGCATCAATTGTGTCATTGTATCCTTTGTATAATGACATCAACTCGTGGAAATTCATTTTTGAACTCTCACTCATTTTTGATATTTATTTTTTGAAGTATTCAAAATACATGCCGGATGATTTTCTTTTGATTTGAACTTGCACAGCAAGAAACTTTGATAGAATCTGGATAAAGATTCGCTGTGAATTCAAAGCAAGGATCTTGTATTCAGAACTTTCGTTATATTATCTTGGATATTGAAGTAAATTCACTAACATAATTTGATATTATTGTCTCAGACTATCCTATGAAAACCTAGTCCTATAGGTTACATTAAAAATCTATTTAATATTCGCATTGATTGCTTCTAGTCAAAAATAAAAATTGTAATTCACAGAAAAAAGAAATAATATCAAAAAAAATCAGATGAAAAAGAGATGTTAATATAAGCGAATTATTGTTTATAATTTAAATTTTCTATTTACACAAGTATAGTAAAAATGTATTTTTGAATTAGATAAATTAAGCCATATAATTAGCTTAATATATGATATTTATGCTTTATAGTCTTAGTTGATTACCATTAATAATTATTGCTTTAATTTAGTCATCTCAAAATCGCAGTTGAATGACAATTCAATTATTGAGAGATAAATCGGGCATGAAATATAATATGATTTATTGATACTGGTAATTTAAAATTAGAGTAGTGAAGTTTACAAATTCCAATTGAATACTAAGAGGTTTACATTTTATTTATGAATTTTAATTACCACCTCTCAATTTTTATCCATATTCCACACTGGATATCCAGTGTCAAACAATAGAGCAAGTAGGATAAAATTTTATTTTATTTTTTTATTTTTTTATTTTATTTTTTTTTTTGATTAACATTGAAATTGATTCAAGTGTTTATTTCATAAAAACACACCTTTTAGAAGAGAATGATGATAATTTTATGACTTAGATTAATTTAATAATCGTTATCGGTGACAAAAAAATTAATGATAAAAAAAATTTAATGTTTTATTTTTAATATAAAAATTCATAAAAAAAGTTTGGTTGGTTGTTACCTAGATTTACTCATCATCTTCCCAAGCGTCATCTCCGTCATCATCTTCATCCTGGTCATCATCCTCGTCTTCCTCTTCTTCGCCGTCTTCACCGTCCTTCTTCTTTCCAGAGAAGAATTCCTCCAAAATTGCCTGTTTCTTTGGTTCAGTCTTTCTTCTTGACGCGAGTCTTGAAGCGATTGTTTCTACTGGTTCTTCATCAGAATCCTCTAAATCTACATCGACATCGTCATCTTCGTCTTCATCTTCGAAAGCAGACTTATTTGACTTCTTTGTTGTCTTCGATTTCTTCTTTGTTTCTGTTTCAGTTGTTTCTTTCTTTACCTTTGTTGCTGCTGGTTTCTTTTCTTCTGTTTCTTCTTCACCTTCTTTCTTTTCTTTCTTAACTCTTGGTTTTCTTTCCTTCTTTGGCTTTTCTTCGCCTTCTTTTGTAGGTGTTGTTGTCTCAGCCTTTGGTTTTCTTTCTTTCTTTGGTTTCTTGACGTCTTCATTGATTACGATGATGTCATCATCTGATTCCTGAACAACTGTTTCTTCTTTCGTTGGCATCTGGTTTTCGACTTCTTGTTTGAGCTCTTCTCCATTTGCTGTTTGCAAAGCAGCTGCTTCTTGTTTCGCCTTTGCATCCTTCTTCTGTTGTTTGGCCTTCTTCTGGTCTGCAGCCTTCTTGTTCTTTGCGATTGACTTCCTATTGACTTTCTCTGCATCAGCGACGTTTTCGAGACGAGTCTTTTCTCTCTTTGCCTCGAAAGCCTTCCATTCGACTTCGAATTTATCGAGATCTTCTTTGTAGAAATCGATTGGCTTCTTCTTGAGCATTTCTTCCAATTCTTGGTTCTTCTTCTTGGCTTCGTCATCCAATTTGTCTGCTTTTTCTTTTGTCAATGTCCAGATCTTCATTGCGAGCAAGTAATCATAACCTTTCTCAAGCAATGCCAAATGATCTGCATTCGATTCACTCTTGAACTCGTTCTGTTCTTCTTCTTCTTCATTGTGCTGTTGGATAACTTCATCAGCGAACTTGATGCGTTTCGTGAGTTCCTTATCATCATAGAGATCGTAGTTTCCTCTCTCCAAAGCAGCGAGAATTGTTGCTCTTGGAACACCGTTGACTTTGATGATTCCTGCAATAACTTCTCTGATGAAACGAGCTTGGTTTGAGAGTTTCTTGTACTGCAACTGGAGAGCGTCGATTAAATATCTGTGTCTCTCTTCGTAGTACTTCATTCTCACTGGATAGTAGTCGTTGATGATGTCCAAAGGAGAGTTGAACTGAACAATCTTGTTCTGTGCATTGAAAAGTGTCATGTTTGTGGCAGTGATTGAAGACTTGAGTTTGAAGAATTCTCTCAAGCCGACAGACTCGATTTCTCTCATCTGAGAATCATCAACAGTAATGATGAAGTGAACAGAAACGTTTGTATGGTATTCTCTGAATTCGGAGATCTTTGGACCACCGAGATTAACTTTTTCTTCGACATCGGCCTGTTCAACTGGGTCATCACCTGCAGCAGCTTTCTTCTTTGTTCTCTTTGCCTTTGCTGCAGCTGCCTTTCTGTCTGCGAGTTTCTTGTGTGGATTCAATGATTCTCCGACAGTCAAACCTTCCAAGAATTTCTTGTAATCGTATGTCCAAATACCAATTGGTAATTCAGTAATCTCGATTGTTGTATCATCAATCTTCTTGACAATACCACGAGATTCCCATTTAACAATTGGCTGTTTGACACCGTCTTTGATTACTTGGATTGGAATGATCTTTCCTGTGAATCCTGAGTACCATGGTGTCATTTCAACCATTGGTTCATCATTCATCTTTCTCCTGAGATTGTCGATGATGTCTTGTGGACAATACTGAGGAACTTCACTTGACCAACCGACACCGATACCTTTAGCGCCATTAACAAGAACCATTGGGATGATTGGGATGTAAGTGACTGGTTCGATTGGAAGACCTTCATCAGTATTGTATGTCAACAAGTCATCATCTTCCTTCATGAAGATTGTTCTCGTGATCTTTTCAAGAGCGGTGTATACGTAACGTGGAGAACCAGAGTCTTCACCACCAGCAAGTCTTGTACCGAGCATACCGATTGGCTGGAAAACGTTGATGTTGTTTGAGCCAACGAAATCCTGGCACATGCCAATGATTGTTTCGTTGAGTGATGCTTCGCCATGGTGATAAGCTGCTTGTTCAGATACTTTACCTGATAACTGAGCAACTTTCAAGTCGTTCTTGATGTTGTTCTTGAGACAGACCCATAAGATCTTTCTCTGGCCTGGCTTCCAACCATCGATTGATGAAGGAATTGCACGATAGTTCGCGTAAGAAGAGAAAAGAATGAGTTCTTTATCGACGAAATCACTGTACTTGATGTGTGTATCTTTTGTACCAAGATATGTTTCATTTGCATCAAGTTGTGCGAGCCAGTTCTTTCTGTCATCAGCTCTCTTCTTTGCGAATGCCAAGTTGATCCTTTCTTCATCGTTTTCATTCGTGTAAATGAAAACTTTCTTGTGCTTGGAGATGTTTGAGAAGTATTCTTTGGCTTCTTCTGCTGTGGATGTAGCAAGACCTTTGTAGTACTTCATCTTGTAGCCTTTGCCATTGTTGTTGGCTGCTTTCCACTGTGAAAATTCTGGAATGGTGAAGAAGGAAATGGCACCTTTCTTGTTGTTCCCCTTTGTCACTTTTACGATAGGAGTAATGAATTCTGTGATGAAGTTCCTCTTTTTGAGTAAGTTCGGCCACATTGAGTGTACGAAGTTGATGATCAAACCTTTGATGTGGGAACCATCGACATCTTGATCGGCCATGATCATGATTGAGCCGTATCTCAATCTCTTCATGGAATCATCGTTTTCGTACTTCTCCATTGGATCCAAACCCATGATCTTGATAATGTTCTGGATTTCATCATTCTCGGAAAGCTTCTTTGCGGAAATATCACGAGTATTAAGGAGTTTGCCTCTCAATGGGAAGACACCGTAGTAATCACGACCAATTGTGGCAAGGCCTGTAACGGCGGTTGCTTTAGCTGAGTCACCTTCGGTTAAAATTAAAGTGCATTTGAGAGATTCGGCTTTTCCGGCCATGTTCGCGTCTTCAAGCTTGTTGATGATGAGACGGCCTTTCTTTGTGCCTTTCATGTTGGCAACTTTACGCTGTTCCTTGAAATTGGCGTATTCTGTAACAAGAGCAACGATGTCTGTCTTGAGGATCTTGTCGAGGAAGTTGTCTGGAAGCTTGCAATCGTCTTTGAGCTTCTTCTGGTCGAGTGTTAATCTCTCTTTGGTCTGGGAATCGAATGATGGGTTGATAACGAGAGAATCAACGAAAACGTAGAGGAAGTTCTTGACAACACTTGGCTTTGTCTCGACTTTGCCACTTCTTCTGTTCTTCAAGTAATCTGTGATGTATTTTGTGATTTGGTTAACGACAACATCGACGTGTGTACCACCATTGGATGTGGCGACGCAGTTGACGAAGGAAATCTGCTGGAATTCACGGCTCTTTGATGGAGCAACACCGATCTTCCATGTGTAGCCTTTCTCGTTCTTTACTTCACAAACTAATGGCTTGACATCTTCCTTGAGGTAAACCTTGCAGTAATCTTCCCATTTCTTGATTGGAACTTGGTTTCCATTCCAGAAAATTTTGACTTTTGGAAGAATACCGGCAAGATCGTAAACACGACGTCTGATGAGGTCGACGTGATCCTTTGTGATCGTCTGTAAGTTGAAACGCTCGAGATCTGGCCAGAAGGAGATTTCTGTGTATGAACCTTTTCCTTTTCCATTCTTCAGCTTAGGAGGTTGGATATTGGTCATGTTGTCTGTAATTGTCTGCTGGTAGTTGATTCCTTCATCAGCATTGTAGATGTTGATATGGAACTTTTTAGAGAAAATGTTGGCAAGTTTAGCACCGTAACCATTACGGCCACCTGTAACTTTCTCTTGCTTATCATTGTAGTTGGATGAAGTCAAAAGCTGGCTGAAAATGAACTCTGGAATGTAATATTCGCAATTATCATTAGGGCTGAACTGTTTTTGGGTGGAGATACCTTTACCATCGTTCCATACTGAGATTCTGTTTTGAGCTGGGTCAACTTCAACTTTGATCGTTGTTAATGGAGGGTCTCTCTGCTTGTTATCGGCAGCATTAACAAGAATTTCATCAAAAATCTTGTAGAGACCTGGAACATAGGATATTTCTCTGAATTCGAACTTTCCGTCTTCGTTGCAAACCCACATCTTGCATTCACGTGGCTCAATGGAACCAATGTAAGAATCAGGGCGAGTAAGGACGTGCTCGCGGTGTGTGAGCTTAACATATTGTTCATCTGACTCAGAGAGTTTCTCTTGAGAGTCAGAGCGGCTCATTCTTTTTTAATTTTTAGTTGCCGTTTATTAAAGGAAGTGTAAACCATTCAAATTCACTTCCTCATTTTATTTGATCTTGATTATCATATCTGAATGCTAGATTTTCTGATAAAAATTTGTTCTGGAGAATTTTTGTTGATAAAAATTTGAGATGTTTTTTTGCTCTCCTTATTTTGGAATCATATTACCAAATATAAGCTTGTAATAATGTATATTGTCGATATGATAAGCCCAGAATATCCTGACATTATTATTGTTATTCATTTTGATTCAATGTTGTATGAAACTCGTAATTACTTTGAAATATATGATCAGTTGCTGGATAGTTGGCAATATGTTGTTCAAATGGCCTCATCTTAGTTCAAATTCAGAATGACGAATTCGTTTTATTCGTTTCTATCTTTGAAGAGAAAACTTCCTTACTCAACTTCATTTCTGATATATATATATAGAATTCAAATGTATATATTTATAAAATTGGTTTAATTCTATGTTATAGAGGCATTATTCACCTGCAGCAACCTCGTCAAAAGAAGCAACATAACTTTGAATATAATTGTGAATGTCAAATAATGTCTATTTTCCGTCAAAAATGAAAAATTTGATAAAATCTGCAAAAAATTAATGTAAATCTTCATATGATGGTAAAAACAAAAGTATTGTTTGCTAAAAAATATATAAATATAAATGTTTAATCTATGTTTGTGATGACTGTTGTGAAAGAATGATGAGGAACATGTTCTGACTTGGTGTAAGCAGTTGACCAAACGAATTCGATATCGTATGGTTTAATACGAACTCCTGCTGAAATTCCGATGCTTCCCATTTGGACAAAAGCCGGAAGTCTCTCTGCAGGATTAGTTCTGCAGAAAGTAGCACCGAAAGCATTCGTATTGAATACAGATAATGTAGTATTTTTGTTATAGAACCTGAATTCTTCTGTGAAAGCTAAATAATGTTCAATACCTGTGTAAGTATGGCCAAATTTAGGAGAAAACTTCTGAGGAACGAGACTTCTTGTAGTTTTAGATTGAGAGAGATGGAATCGCTCAGGATAAGGCAAGGCTTGTGGAGAAATAACTGATCCAGCTTCTCCTCTTAAAGAAAGGTTAGGAGGAAGCTTGAAATGTATCTTTCCGATGTATTTTAATGCTGGATATGTTCTGCGTGAGTCTTGAATTGCAAATAATTTTGAAACATTGCGAATATTTAAGATTACGTTCTTATCAGTACCATAAATCTCGAGATTATCGAATGTTGTTTTATGTGCAAGCTTAATTCCGAGTACATTATAGTTCTCAGGGTCTTTGAAGTATCTTTCAAAATCCCAAGTGTAAGTTGAATTAAGTTTTGGGGTGTAACTCCTATTTGTGAAGTATACACTTGGTATAAATGACTTTACATATGGAATATATTTCGTTTTAACAGTAATTGTTGGATAACCTATATTATTGATCTCTTTTGTGTACATTTGAGCAATGAAATGAAGTAATGGAACAGGGGTATTTTCTTTGAGATTAGTCATATTCATCAATGGGTATTTTACGCCAAGTGAAATGACTTTTCCGAAAAATGGAGCATATGAAAGGGAGAATTGAGCCGATGAAGGATGTCCAATATAATCTAGTGCTAGTCCCATTCCAAATTGATGTTTAGGACCAGATACAATTTGTAATGAAGGTCCTTCTTCTTTTGGATCAATATTCATTGTTACTGTTCGTGGTCTGAAGAATCTTCTTGGTTGATATTCGAATGTGCAATTCTCAACTGAAGGTATTTTGCATATCTTCTTCTTAAGATTTTGCAAAAGTTCTTCATTTGTTTCTGTTGAAGCGCCAAATGCAAGGATATCTTCGATTTCACTCTCAACAATGCCCGGTTTTATCCATGGGCAGCCAGAAATCACACGAATCACTGAATGATTTGCACCCATAAATTTAGTTAATTTATATATCGTAAATTGAGTACTTTATCGTTTATAATTCATTCAAAATATGATCGGGGTCAAATATTCAGCAAACATCATCATTTAAAATTATCAATAAAGTGAGCAATATGAGCCTCTTCATTTTTCCAAGATAATTTGAATCAAATTCATCGATTTTCCGTAAAAAAATGTTCGAAATAAAAATATAAATAAAAAAGTTTTCGGGCGGGGCTCGAACCCGCGACCATCTGCTTATAAGACAAATGTGCTAACCGGCTGCACCACCGAAACCTCTGAAAATATTGTTTTCAATAAACTTTAGATGTAATTTTGGTACTTTTTCTTTGAAAAAAATCATATAAAATAATGTCTTAGAAAAACTTAGAAGAACTATTAGAGAGAAAAAGAAATTCAATACATTATTTAAAAATTATGTGTTTAGGGTTTTTGTGTTAATTTAGATGTTGCGGATGCGAAACTGTGTTCTGAGGTGAACTGTCCAGCAGAAGAGTGCGAAGGCAGCGATGACAACGAGTGTCTCGATTGGGAGCTGTGAGAACCATGTGACGACCTTGGACTGAACAGCAACCTTTGTAGAGACAACTGGTGTTGTTTCGCCAATACGGTAGAGGTCAACTGTGTACTCACCGCGGAGGAACTGTGTTGGGATTGAGATGCGAGACTTGGAGAGTGTCTGGGCAGCTGGGAGGTTGGCAGCAACTTGGCCGTCTGGTGTCATGACCTTAGCGACGAAGAAACCACCAGTGATAGCCTTGTTGTTGAACATTGTTGTGTAGTCGATTGTGATAGCATCAGATGTCTGGACAATCTTGTGGTCGAAAACGATTTGGCCTTCGATTTCGTACTCCTGTGTGAGCTTCTTTTCGTTGAACTCGAGTGGAAGATACTCTTCACCCTTGCGGACAACGATTTCAGCTGTGAGTTTGCCACTTGGAACGGAAGCGTCGATTGTGAACTCGACACTCTCGAGGCCCTTCTGGTCGCATGTAGCTGTCTGCTCGGCAACAACGCGGTCGCCCTTCTTGAGGAGGATAACTGGGAATGCTAAGCCTGGAAGTAATGTCTTTCCGACGTTCTTCTCCTTGACAACTAACTCAGCCTTGATTGTCTGGCCGTATGTCAACTTCTGTGGCTTCTCGAGACCCTTGACCTGTTCAGCGATGATCTCTGAGTTCAATGTGACAGCGATTGGCTCCTGTAATGAGAGAGGAACTGTGAATCCCTCTGAGTTCTTGAAGACGAACTCGATGTTGAAGCCTGTAGCGAGATCGATGTTCTCGTCAACTGTTGTTTCGAACTCGACTGTGATGTTGTGTTCGACAACCTTGATTTCGCCATCAACTGTCTTAGCAATAGCGTTGCCGCACTTGAGAACCATCTGGTACTTCTGTGCCTCGGCTGGGCCACTTGGGAAGAAGCCTTCTGTGGAAGCATCCTTGAGATCTTCGCCGAATGACTTCTCATCGTTGAACTGTTCGACAGCACCATCAACGATGACGCCTGGAACCATGGAGACCTTGAGAAGTTCGCCAAGCTTTGGTGTGGAGTTGATCTTGTGGGAGATAACTGTCATGTTGGCGTGGTAGAGGTAGCGGAACTCCTTGCGTGTGTGGATGTCGTGCTGGCGGTCACCAATTTCGACAGAGAACTTGACGTAGCCGTCTGGAATTGGGTTCTTTGGATCGAATATCCACTGGAATGTGTGGTCGAGCTTGAAGTCAGCAGAGTCGTAGAAGAGGAGGGCTTCGGATGAATCGTAGACAGCGAATGTGGCCATTGTGCCTTCTTCAACTTCGATGCCGTCTTCGAATCTGCCGTGGAGGACAGACTTGACAGCAGCACCTGGTTCGATGATGCCACCAACTGGGATGATTTCTTCAGCGCTGGCTGTGACATCGCAGGAGATATCGACTGGAAGGGAGACTGATGTCTGGATGTTCTTTGTAACATCAACCTGGTGGCCTTCACGGATTGGAAGCCATGTCTGGATATCGAATGTAAGTTGGCCAAGCTTTGTAGCCTGTGTGTATCTGTCACCCATCCAAACACCGTTACGTTCATCGAAGTCAAGCTTTGTGTCAACGGACTTCTCTTCACCAATTGTTGTTGTAAGGTTGATGGCAAGATATGGGTTGACGAAGCGCTTAAGGATACGGGCAACAGCAGCTGGGCGAACAACCTGACCAAGTGTAAGACCACCGCGGCCAAGTTCTAAGACCTGGTTATCTGTTGTGATGGCGAAAAGTTCGATATCGAGGAGCTTCTCGAAAATGCCCTGAGAAACGAGGAGGCGTGTAAGAGAGAAGAGATCGTTGATTGTTTCTGGGATATCTGGGTTCTTAAGCTCTTCTGGAACGTCGGATGAGCCTTCCTGGTTAAGAGCGTTAAGGAGGTTGCCAATTTGGTAGAGGGTGATGTTCTTAGCCTTGATACCATCGCTGATGAGCTTCTTGGAGTACTGGTCAGCCCGGTAGTTGTTGGACTGAAGGGAAATGGCTCTGGAGATGGCTGTACCGTAGATTTGAGCGTTGATCTCATCAATACCATCGAAGGAGAAGCGGTCATCCTGTGTATGGTCTGTGATGTAGTTGCGGATAGCGAATGTGTTGAGCCATGTAAGTTCGTTCTCGAGCTTGTTGAGGGTGAGGTAGGCGAAGTGTGTGGCTCTAACAGTTGGGTCAGAATCTAATGTATCACGGAAGAGACCCGAGTTAGAATCATAATGGTTCTTAAGGAATTCAACAACGGATGGGATATCAAGAGCATTTGGTAAAATAATTGTGGCGGCCTTGAAATAGTAGTATGTGGCCTCAACGGATGACTTTTGGCCTGGTGACATGCCGGCACCGCCATCACGGTTACGAAGGGATGTAACAAAGCGCTGGGCGTTGGAAAAGTCCATGTTCTTGAAAAGGCCATATGTAAAGCCTAAGTAAATAGCGTGGTATGTAAGTTCAGCTGTTGGCTCTTGTCCGGCAACTTCAAAGAAGCCACCGTTAGCATGTTGCTTCAAGCCAAGTTCAGCAAGTCTCTTACCAAGAAGGTATTGGTCAATACCTGAGTTGGCAGAGCGAGAAAGGGCAGCAAACAAAAACATTTATAAGGCCTGACAAAAGTGTCAAGGTGAGGTCAAAGGGTAACCTGCCAAGAAAATTACATTTTTTTAGAAATAACTTTGAAGATTTAGGATTTCAGCTTCATTTTCCTGATTTCGAAAAAATTTTGGAAAATAAAAGTTCTTTATTAATAGATATTATATCGATTTTCATCAAAATTATTGAGTTTTATTCTCATATTTTTAAATTTTAAAAATTTCATTTCAGTTTATCATTAAATAAGTATGAAAATGAGATAATTAATTCATTTATAAATCATTAATTATCAAAATCAGTTATTTATTTATGTCTACTGATGAATCAATAAATGCTTTCAAGAAAAAGTATGGAGATTGTAAACAGTGGACACCAGATAATATAGAAAAGATCATTAAGGAAGGTAATGAGATGGGTGTAAACCTTGATTTTATACTAAATCGAGCATTAAATCGAAAAGCTTCCAAAGAAGTCATAGCCAAGATAATATATGTATCGAAAAGGTATCCTAGAGAACAAAATGCTATGAAAATAGGCGTAGCATCACATATGCAATTCAAAAGTTTCGAATCAATATTATCAACCTCGGCTGATATTAGATTTCAGCCATTTATCATCGCATCAATCATTCAAGATGGAAAAGTTGTTAATTCAGGTGATAACAGAATCATTGCACAAGGTGCAATCAAAGCTGCAGCTGTAAAACCAGATGCAATCGATTTATACGGGAACATTATCCAAGAAAACTTCTCATTTTTGGATGTTAATGATATAATTCGAGCTGCACTACAATCTACCAAAGGAATGAAATTTATTTTATCTACTATTGTACCAAAGATCATAAAAGGAGATAATTTCGCATTACATGTTATGCAAGTACTTTGCGCAGAACCAAATGGAAGCCCAGCTCGATTAGTTGCGAATGATTTGAGATTGAATTACCGAATTAACTGTATATTCTGATCTAATACATTATCTATAATCTAGTGATTACGTTTTTGCTACTATTATACATACAATCTTATTTGTATTTTCTATATATGTTTTGTTTGAATTCTAATAAAGTATTTATAAATTTTTTACATGAATTTCAATAAATAAGCTTCCATATACATCAGATATTGCTCTCTCATGATGTTAACTCTTTCAACAAGATAAAATCAAAGTAAAATTGGAGGAATAAGATACCACGCATGTAATTTATGCTAGACTTAGCCGTGGTGAATGCATATTGGCTCTTCCTAACTTGATATGATAGGAAGAAAGAAAATTTCGAAAAGTAAACGGTTACCTAACAAATGAGTACTGAAAATATGAGCTTTGATCAATATTCATCCGGAACATCCACAGAAGCAGATGCTGAAGATGTTAAATTTGATGATCTAAGCGATAATAACTCATTTGAATTCAACAAAATTCAAATTTTGAATGAAGAATTAGCAAGGAAAAACGAAATGATTAATAAATATACACAAGGATATCCTGATTACGAAGAACTTCACATGAAACTACGAGATTCTGTTTCAAAATCAAAAGAATTAGAAATTCAAAATGAAAACTTAAAAATGCGTTTGAAACAATCACAAAATCAAGTTAATGAGTTAAATTCATCACTTCAAAAAACAAAAACTGACTACGAAAATAAAATAAAACAAATTGAAGATCAAAATCTTAGAGAATCTAAAATAGCAGATAATAAATACCAGAAAATTATAAGTGACTTACAAGCAAGACTAGAGAAATGCGATATGGAGCCAAAAGTTAATGATTTTCTACATAATCTTTCCAAGATGTTGCATAATGATTTCCAATCAATGGACGAAGTACAAAGATTTCTATCACAACACGAAGACAAATACCAAAAGGAGCTCGAAAATATGGCTCAACAGTGTGATAAACGTATACAAGAACTTTCAAATAAAATTGATAACTTGAAAATGAAAAACAAAATACTCATTGATGAGAAAAACGAAGATAAAACAGATATAGATAACTTCAAGAAGATGATTAAAGAATTAAGGCAACAACTGAAAAAAACCGATTTAATTTGTACACAAAGACTCACAGATTCAGACCAAGAGCTCTACAAGTCACAACAAACTATTGTTAATCTTCAGGGCCAAATCAATAACTTAGAAAACACTAATTCAAGGCTAAGAGCTCAAGTTTCTGAAGCCGAAAACAGATTTAACATTGCGAACCAGAAATCAGATAATTTCGAAGCGCAAATAAAGAAACTGATCAAGCAGAACAGTGAAGATGCAGAAGCAAGAATAGAAGAACAAAAGAAAAGCGAGAAAGCTCATTTATCAGAGATAAATCGTTTGTCAAATGAACTCAAGAAAGCTCGAGAAGAAAAATCACAAATTGAACAAGAATTCAGATATTTCGCTGACAAAGCCAAGTCAGCACTTGACCAAAGGGCTGCTCTTAAAGATAAACTTAGGCAAGCAACAGAACACACTCAAGAAATAGAAAACAAGCTTGTTCAAGTTTCTTCGGATCTTTCAAAATCTGAATTAGAAAAACACGCTTTGGAAGCAAAAATTAGTGATATTTCAATGAAACAATCTGCTTCTTCTGCATCTAATGTATCTTCACAACAGATACAACAAACTAATGATACAAATAAAACAGTTCATGATGAACTTTGTAAAACTTTTGAAGAAGTAATAAATTCTCTCAAAAGTGAGTTAGTAGCCATTACTAAATCCAGGGATAAACTTGCGAAATTACTTATTAAACAAGACAATGTGATGAAACGTCTTGAAAAAACTAAGTCAAAAGGCGAAAAAATTTCAGATGATGACATAATTGAAAAAATTTGGGACATTATCAAAGATGAGATAAGCAATGATGAAGCTAAGAAACATGAAATCACATTGTCATCTAAGAAAGTATCATTTGTCTCTAAAATCAAATACATTTTTTATGAGATTTCTAAAACTCACTCTTCCACAATCGGAAATGAAATCCTTGCATGGATAGAGTCATTAAAGAGGTTCTCTACTAATCAGGAGACCATTTCCGCTGTCAATAGGTTCCTAGAAAAGAATACACAATTCAAAGAAAATAATTTGTCACTTAGACAAACATTGGAATCAATTTCGAATGAAAACATTGCATCATATAATGCTCTAAGACTTATTTCGTTTATGCACTCTATCTGCGAACAGCAACAACTTGAATTGGATAATACTGATAGTTACAAACAAAATTATCCAAGATTACTTGAGAAAATGACAAATCTCAAAGGAAGATATGAAAAAGTGAGGACATTGGCTAAGTCACTTAGAGATGAACTATCAATCCGATTGGAATATGAAGAGAAACTCGAAGAAGAAGCAAAGCAAATGAGGTCTAGGATCGAAAAACTGGTTAGACCTTCTAAGTGATTAATTTTGTTATATTTTGTTTATATACCATGTAAAAAATTACTTTTTGTTTGATATTAGGAAAAACAATTTTGAAATTTAAATTTCAATTAGATTATAATGAAATCTAAGCTTATCATAGCTTTTACAATGTAAAATTATATGTATTTAATAGGATATTTCTCTCTTAATCAGAATTATTGAAAATAATCTTTTAAACTTAGAAATCAATAAGAAAAATGGTATTTTTGAAGTTCACATATGACAAATTTTTAACATTAATAATATAATAATGCAAAAACCATCTACATGAAAAATGAGTCAAATCTAACTCAAATTATGCATATATTTTATCATGGCGATACATATGGAATGCACAGTAGTAAAATTCAATGTTGTGAGGTCATTTAGTTCACCGGAAAACCGAAATCTCGTCAATTGTCGAGCAGCATGACATTTTTTGACAAGTCCTCCCAATAAAAACAATATCGTTTTTCTTTTTCAGAATTAGATTCGTATATAGTTCTTTTAATATAAAATATAATTATTTCCTCGAGCCAATATAATCAATTAATATCATTCGTTTGAAGTGGCATTCTACAAAATATTTTCAAGATACGAATAATAAACTTATAGTATTTATTAATGATTAAGGGTTTCGTTTTGCGAAAAAAACGTACAATACGCAATTTCGCTAAAAAAACATTTAGCTAGCAATTTCGACCTTTGACTCCACTCAAGACGTCACTTTTTTAATTTTGCGGTATCATATTTTTGGAAAATCTTTATGAATATTATATAAAAAGTCTCTTTAATATCTATATTTCATATTTTTATCGATTTTTAAAGTTTTTGCGAAAAGTATTCAATTATTTTTGCTATTTGGTCGGGTAAATGTCGGATTTGCGACATTTTCTGATATGATATTCAGATTCTACGTTGATAATAATGCTTATAGAACCCTCTTGCTATTGTGTCAAAATTGCTAAACCGATAGCAAAAATATCTCGCAATATCAAAATTGAGATATTGAGTGAATTATGCATGATAGAGATTAAAAATCTGATTTGTGAAAACATCTCATCAGTTTCTAGCTAATTCAAAAATCTTTACTATCTTATTCGATTAAAATGAAAAGGGAATAGTTTCATTATGCTTTAAATGACAGCCTTATAATATAATCATAGTTTTCGCTCAATATGCAGCATTTTTTTTTCGAAATCTATGGTCAATGTCCTAAATACTGATTGCTTTGCATTCATATCTCTTACATTTTCTATACCCACATCACTATTCATTGCTATTCCTATCTTTTTCATTTTTGTTTGTTTCTCATAATTTCTCAAAAAACATGATAACTTGAGATTTGTAAATATCATACTTTATAACGTAAATAAGAACTTGACCTATTAAGAAAAGCAGTAATGAAGAGAAAGGGACAAACTATCCAGTGTCACTTTTCAAAGGAATAAAAAAAATAATAAAGATGGGGAACAGGACAAATTTGCCACACGGCACTTTTTTTAAAAAATTTAATGGAGCGGAGCGATACTCTGCTGCAGGAGCCCCAAGGCTCCCAATCATTACGAAAGGGAGCCTCAGGGCTCCTGAGAATCCATCAGCAGAGGCCTTTTCATTTGGCCTCTGCTGATCAAAGATTCGGCGAAGCCATTCTTCGTCTCAGGAGCCCCAAGGCTCCCAATCATTACGAAAGGGAGCCTCAGGGCTCCTGAGAATCCATCAGCAGAGGCCTTTTCATTTGGCCTCTGCTGATCAAAGATTCGGCGAAGCCATTCTTCGTCTCAGGAGCCCCAAGGCTCCCAATCATTACGAAAGGGAGCCTCAGGGCTCCTGAGAATCCATCAGCAGAGGCCTTTTCATTTGGCCTCTGCTGATCAAAGATTCGGCGAAGCCATTCTTCGTCTCAGGAGCCCCAAGGCTCCCAATCATTACGAAAGGGAGCCTCAGGGCTCCTGAGAATCCATCAGCAGAGGCCTTTTCATTTGGCCTCTGCTGATCAAAGATTCGGCGAAGCCATTCTTCGTCTCAGGAGCCCCAAGGCTCCCAATCATTACGAAAGGGAGCCTCAGGGCTCCTGAGAAAACCTCTTTGAGAAGGTTTTCTTAAAGAAAACCTTCTCAAAGATGATTGTCAGCATTCACTCAAAATCTACCAAGAGTTTAAAGTTTCAAATCTATCTGAAATGAAGCTTTGAATCTCTTGTATATCTAATTGTAGAGGTACCTTTTCAAAATGTCTTCTATTGATTAAATTTAATCAGTAAAAGTCATTTTGAAAAGGTACATCTCTATAATTGCTATTGAGCATTCACTCTTGGAACCTTGGAGCTCTTGTGTAGTGCATGAAAACTCCAAGATTCTAGCATAAAACATATATCATAGACATAATTTCTTCAAATATAATTTAAGGTTATTTTTTTAAAATCAGAAAAGCGTAATTTAAGGTTATTGAAAAAGTGACACCCGGCAAATTTGTCCCGCACTCGTAATGAAAAGAAAATCTGAAATTCATAAAAATTACAAGTTTCTGATGACAATTAGCTTAATTAAACCAGGTACAAGATTATATAATTGTATTTTCTATCCAATTATCCATATAATATCTTATCCAGAAAAAATAACTTGATCAATACCAAATGATTTTTTAACTAGTAAATAAAGTATTTTCTTTACACACACATTGTATATCATAGTTTTTTTTTTGGTTTCGCAAAACATCCAAAAACAAATATGCTATAAAAGTGACAATTTTAGCAAAACGAAACCCTTATAATGATATATAAAACAAGATAATCTATTGATAATTTGGGGCAATTTGATACAATCAATCGAATTTAAAAGTTGTATGGTCCTATATGATACAATCACCATTAATTATTATGAATTTCGTTTTCAGCTACTTTGAATCTATTAATGTTAGAGGTGGAAGGATAAAGCCATTACAAATTGAGTTGGCAAATAATGAAGTATACACTGAAGAAAATATATCTTGAATACTTGACCAATTCTCGCAAAACCAGCATATTAGACAATCTTTAGATCTTCTTGCTTCTCTATCAACAGGGACATCTATATCTTTAGCAAGGGCTTGCGCAAAACGAAGTGTATCTACCATTTTCCCTTTACTCGGAAGTATATTTATAATGTGCTTGATTGAAAAAAATTTATCTTTGCATTTTTGCATCCTTTCGATCTGTTTATGATATGTAACGTCAAAATAAGAAGAGATTCTCTTCTTTGGTGGCTCCCGGCGGATCACATATATCACTCTACCCTCAGGCATTTTTCCGTAATGAATAATTATTCAAAATGATCAGAAAATTTTCTTTGAGTCAAAAAATGGAGGTTACATTTTTTGACATTTACTCTCCAATTGAATTATCTAAATAGGAATGAATTTTAAGAAAACAATGTCCAAACAATTCTAAATTCTATCTAATCGATTCAAATACAATTGAAAATTGAATAATCTACACTTTTTATTACTCCTCAAATTTGGATCTGCTTTAGAATTGCAAAATTTGGTTGCCGAAGTGAAATAAAATGTCTAACAACTTGTTTCTTTTGGTAGTTTGCGTAATAATTCCACACTATCCAATTTTAATGGAAAATTATTCGGGGTGAAACCTTTGGAATGTAAATCTATAAACTATGTCGTGATAATAACTAAGATAGCGCAAAAATATTGCGCCAAACGTTTAATAAGAAATCAGAATTTAAATGAAATGTTTTAGTCTCACAATAAAAAATAATAATTTATTCAACAAGTCCTGTGTCGACAATAACAACTTTCTTAGATGGTGTTCCACTTGATGAACCAACCTTTTCGATCTTTTTAACGACGTCCATGCCTTTAACAACTCTTCCGAATACGACATGATGGCCATTAAGCCAGTTTGTAGCAGCAACTGTAATGAAGAATTGGCTTCCATTTGTATTTGGACCAGCATTAGCCATTGAGATGACTCCAACTTCGTGTTCGACTTTGAAATTCTCATCATCGAAATGTCTTCCGTAAATTGATTCACCTCCAACGCCAGATTGGTGTGTGAAATCACCACCTTGAATCATGAAACCTGGAATAATGCGATGGAATGGAGATCCTTTGTAGCAAAGTGGCTTGCCTTGTGTTCCTATGCCCTGATCGCAAAGGCATAAGTGAAGGAAGTTTTCAGCCGTTTTATTTACATCATTTCCGAAAAGGCCGATGTGAATACGTCCTTCTTTTTTGCCACCGATTTCTACTTCGAGGTATACAGTTTTTGTGACTTTTGGACTCTTTGCTGCTTGAGCTAATGAGCTAAGAAATAAAGAAAGCATTATCTGGCACTTTTCATCATTGTCAAAAATTTACATGTCAAAATCCATTATTTGTCAAAAAAAATGTTCATCGAATTATGTATTGTTTTATCACTACTTATGCTTGTTCTTGCATATAGAGTTTACAAGTGCTTACCAGCACTGAACAAGAAGAAGATCACAAAGAATGCAGATCTTCACGTAATGTCAGTATTAGGTTCTGGCGGACATACTGGCGAGATGATGCCATTGATTGAAGCACTCTCAAAGGAAAAGAAATACACAAAATTCACTATCATTTGTGCAGATTCGGACAAATTAAGTTTCCAGCATCCTTCAATTCCTAAAAACTCAATCCTTAAAACAATTCCTCGCTCAAGAAAGGTTGGACAATCATTCTTTACTTCAATATTTACTACAATTTGGAGTATTTTGGCCTCATTAACATTAATGTTCCAAAAACCAGATTTATTACTTGTTAATGGACCAGGTGTTTGCCTTCCAGTTGTACTATCAGTTTTCATAGGCAATGTACTTGGAATTTCAAATTGCTCCATTGTTTTCGTCGAATCTTTCTGCAGAGTCCATACACTCTCATTAACAGGCAAATTGATTTATAACTTCTGCGATTTATTCTTTGGACACTGGAAAGAACTCTTGCCATTGAAGAAGAGAGCACAATTGATTGACTTATTTGGACTCAACCATACTAAAGCTGAGTAAGCTTCAAAGATTTTCTCCTAATGCTTAATAAGCATTACGTTTAACTGTTTTCAATAAATATCAATTCTTTTCATATTTTTTCCGAAAATATTTTCCCTAATTTCTTTAATTGATAAATCAAACTAAATGTCTCCAATAAGATATCAATAAACCAAACGTTTCATACTGAATTATGTAGTTTATGAAATATATCTCATTTTATTTCTATAATTTACATAGGAAGACGCTTTGTATAGGAGTAAAATCGTCATGTATTAACAAACAACTATATGTATATTGAAAAATAGAATCAAGTGAAAATATTGATCAAATTAAGCTCAGAAAACATACAAAATAGAGTACTATCAACACAAACAACTCAAAAATCTACCAAAGAACTATCATAATCACAAAACAAAAAGAAAAATCAAATAAATCAAAAAACAAATTAAAAAACTTAATATTCAGTCAATATATACCAAAGCAAAATCAATAATTAGCGAGAATTGGTCAATAATAACGAGCATTTCCTACTTAAACAAAATTATAACTTAATCTGGACGCGAACCTAACAGTTTCTTCAAAGTAGACATGTTAGGTGGTGCATCGAACTTCGGTGGCTCCTTCATTGGTGGTTTGTTCGATGATGAACCGGGAGAATTTGGATGAAGTACAGGAGGATAAGAAGGCGGCAATGGCGGTGGTGGAATGCCATAAGGCGGAGGTATAAATGATCCTGGAGGTGGTGGTGGAAGTCCTGCTGGAGGAGGAACTCCAAATGAATTAAAATTAAACGGTGGCTGACCAAAACCAGGAGCACCGGGTGGCATTACAGGGAATGGTGGCTGACCAGGACCCTGAGGGAAGTTGAAGGAATGCTGTTGGTTCATATTTCCAGGAAGCATCATATTTGGAGGGAATCCAGGCGGTGGGAATGCATAGTAAGCAGGTGGGAAAGCAACATTCGGTGGCTGTGGTTGCTGTGGCTGTTGCGGCTTAGTATTTCCTTTTTCATCATCAGAATAAGAGTCGTAATCTCTATCTTTTCTATCGCGCCTGCCTTTATCCCTATCATTATCCTTATCTCTATCCCTGTCGCGGTCACGATCTCTGTCTCTCCGATGGTGATCTCTGTCACGATCACGATCTCTATCGCGGTCACGGTGACGGTCTCTATCTCTGTCTCTATCGCGACCTCTATCTCTTCGATCTCTATCGCGGCCGTGTTCATTTAAGTAATCTTCCTGTTCTAAACCATCATCCTCGCCGTATTTGAATTCAATTTTACAATCCTTATCACCGATCTTTATTTTTTCAGAGCATTCAACAGCTTTTTGGGCATGTCTGAGATCATAATATTTCACAGCAAAAGAATTCAGGGCTACCCTACGAATAAAACGTATTTCACCAAATTGTACAAACGAATCATGTACTTCAGAGTCATTGACCTCACCAGATGCGACGCTGACTAAGATTGTTGCAACACACTTTTCCTTTTTTCCATTTTGGGCTTTGAACGCATAATTAGCTCTAATAGGTCTGTCTCCAAACTCATTATACGGTTGTCCTTCAACAGCTTTTATTGCAGATCTAAGATTATAATAAGTGACAAAATAAAAGGCTTTATCTCGCCCTTCAAACACGGTCTTGACTTCACCAAACCTATCAAAAAACTTATCAAGCTGAGGTCTCTTGACAGAAAAAGGAACATTGAAGAAGAAAACAGTATGGAAAGGAACTTTATTATTCTCGAGCCTAGGAGCTCTACGATCATCATCATAATCACTATAATATGAGTCATCTCGAGAATCCCGACGTCTTCTTTTTCGATCACCCATATTTTTTTTTGAAGCGAAATCCGACGATAAAAAAATCAGAAAATGTAATGCTGTCATATGATGAATATTTTGATAGAACTCTTCTTTAGATTCACCAATAAAGCTTGGCATTCACTCAAAATCATTAATTTCGGATTTTATATGAAGGATTTCGTAATTATGGTCTTTCTATCATCCTTTGTTACGAATTTTTGAATACATATCACAGATCAAATTTTGAATCTTCATATTCTTCATCCCTAAATTCATTACTTCATGTAATCAAAGAATCAGAACAGTTAGTGATTGAAGAACTCCAATTTATGAAATTGAAATTATATGTCCTATTTTTTTTGCTCAAGATTAATGAATATCTATGAGATATAACTATTGTATATGCAAGGAGTTATGAATTTCATTATCCATTGCTAAATTCCATTAAATTAGAATTTAGGCTGATCCCAGATGATATATCTGGTAAACCACTAGGACTGCAGGATGTGGTGCAGTCTACCCATTTTTTTTTCATTTATATTTGCATGATATAAAAGATGAAAGTCAATTATATCTTTTCTATTATGATTTGCTGCAACATGAAGGGAAGTTTCTCCATTGTTATCTTTTTTATTGATGTTTGCACCATATGAAAGAAAGTACTTAGATTCTTTTTTTCCCCTCCTATTTTTGAGCGATGCAATATGAAGAAGTGTTTCTCCAATGGTTTACCGTATGAAAGTAATAGATCAACTACTGTCTGGGAAAATGCTTCATACTATGGAATAATAGAGTTTTTCTCTCTTTCAAAAAATATCTTAAATTAGCTATCAATTTCTGACAAGAACCAAACAGGAAATGTTTGGCATGAAGGTAAAATGTGAGCAGAGTTTCCAGATAATTATGAACGGATTCTTATCTATGTCTGATGCTGAACAAAAAGTACATTATTTGATAATACAGAAAAATGATATTGAAAAAATGAAATTGAATTTCCTTTTCCCTGTTTACAATGTAGAAGTTATATGTATGTGAAAAATGTTTGTGTGACTGTGGAAACTATTTAGGGGTTAGAGCTTATTCGACTTCTTCTGTTGAAAGAAGTTCAATTGGAAGTTTGTTCCTGCTTTTTCTATACAGATTGAACGTAAAGGTTGGAAATAACTAGTCGTTCAATCTGTAAAGAAAAAAAATTTCTAAGAATGTTTTTCATTCGTACTTTTAGAGTACACACTTTGAGATGATCCCAGAAAGTATCAAGTACACCCTAAAAAGTGGTTGCTTTTGTACTTTGACCTTTATTAAAAATAGAAAGATGTGATAAAAGCTTAATTGTTTTTCATTTCCGACTAAATTCATCATCCAAAATATACCAGAAAAATAAAGAATAGAATCTTATGAAAGAACATTATTCACACCATGCGAAATGAGTACTTCTGCAGTTTCATTATTATTTTGACATTCTGCTCTATGAAGTGCAGTTTCCCCAACTTTATTTTTTTCATTGATATTCACACCATGCAAAATAAGAACTTTTGCGGTTTCTTTTCTTTGAAAAAGTGCTGCAATATGAAGTGCAGTTACTCCAGTTTATAAAACAGGAAGATTGAAATAAATAGGGAATTGTTGACTTCTTCCATATGATATTCATCAGATAAGAGTTTGGCAAGAGATAAATATAACTTTGCATAGCGATTATTATACGGAATGATATCTAAAATGTATCCTATAATCTTTTCTGGTGGATATTTCTTGGAATTTATCAATTGTTTTTTGATCATTTTGTAAATCTGGTTTAATTCTTCTTGATTTGTCGTTGTGGTATTTGTTGATATTTCTTAATTCACTGAATTTATTTGGATGTATGTCCTGATTGCACATTAATAATTTACAAAATGAATATATTTGCGTTTTACCATATAAAACACCCTATTGATTCATTAGAAGAAAAAAAAAATACTATGCTATATATGTGATCACAAAGATTTCGGATATAAATTATGAATTTTGATGAAATTAATAGATAAGAAATGATGTAATAACAATGTAAATGTCAATGGCAATAGAATCTTCATCAAGATACTTGTTCTATTCAAGATTTTTTTGCCAATCATTTTAAAATTCGATCCATAAGCTCTCATATATTAGGTATATACTATATTATTCATGTATGCTTAACGCCATTAAAAATTGAGAGGGCATATTATTAATATCGAGCCTGCTCCAAAATAACGGGCCCACAGTAAATGGAAGCTTATATCACCCACGTCAAGGCAAACTTCAGATTTTCTTCAAAAATCCAGATGAATTCAAAGTTGTATGATTCACTCACAAAATTCTCAAAAAAATTGAACCTGAACACTATTGAATAAATTGTCAATTTTTTCGATGAGAGTTCAATAAATTGTCTGATTTATCAACAGAAGAATTCCTACAAGGCGAATCATATTGGAAATCAATACCATCATCGACAAATCCATTCGTCAATCATATCAGTGGAAGTCTCTTCCAAAGCATCACGAACGAAGGTGTTATTCGCATCAATTCCGAAAATTCTATTTTAATCCTCGAACATGACACATTTAATACTATCACATCCAATCAGAACGGTGGCTGCGTATTTTTTAGTCCTGGTCACTCAATTTATCAAAGAGATACTTGCGCTCATAAAGTTTATTCAAGTACAAAAGCCAAATTTAGCTATGTTAAAATATCTCAAGCTTTAGAAAACAGTGTGGATTATTATGATATCGATAACTGATTGTACACCTGACCCTGTGTCTGACATATTTTGGATTGGAGGCGGGAAAACATCTCTTTCAAATTATAATTCCACAAACAATTATGCAAGTTTTTCTACAGCATTTTACTTTGGAAATTCTGTTGGCCAAGCAAATGCATCGTTTATCAATGTATTATCAGGAACTGCTACATATAGTTCTCTTGTCTACTCTGACTCTAATTGTATTTTAAAACATTCGAATTTTTATAATAATAAAGTTAATGAGAAGACAGAATGCCTTTTGGCTGTACATGCATCAATTTTTGTTATAGATCATTGCGTTTTTGCTCAAAATTCTGCACAAATTTTCGCAAATAATAAAATATCTGTTTTAAGTTGCTCGTTTTACGAAAATTCATTTAGCTCGACATATCCTTCTATTCCTTATAGCGGAACGCATAGCTTCACTGTAAATACTCAGTGCCATATGTGGAAACACGACGACTGCATCAAAAAGTATTCTTGTGTATCACAATATTTCACAATAAACTCATTTCTATTCTCATTCTCCATTTTCATTCTTTTTCTTTAACCTAAAAGTATAAATTTTCTCAATCTTTTGAATAAATCTACTTTTTTCCTAAAAGGCATTCTCCATAATTGGCAAGTTTTTTTGAATATGGCAAGGCAAACTTTGAGACAAAAGTTATCTTGTATGATGCATTGAATCAACCCTGAAAGTTTCGTGGCCAACAATTCATTCTAGTGAGGTGAAACATTCATTCAAAGACCAAAAAAAAAGTTTTTTTTGTTGAAGAATGGGCATAGTATGCATTCTCAATTTGAACCATTGCCTAGATCAATGGTGCGAAACTTGCAGGGATGATTTATGGTACTATGCATGCAATCTTTGCTCTCAAACTTTCCCAGGTTACATTCAAAATTCCCTTTTTCATAGTTTTCTTATGTTAAATGCATTCACGTAGAGTATACCATATAAAATGATTATTTCTCAACTCGAAAGAAAGGATTATCAAAGATGATTCACGACAAAATTCTCAAAAAATTGACCTGAACACTATTGAATAAATGTCCATTTTTTTCGATGAGAGTTCAATAAATGTCTGATTTATCAACAGAAGAATTCCTACAAGCGAATCATATTGGAAATCAATACCATCATCGACAAATCCATTCGTCAATCATATCAGTGGAAGTCTCTTCCAAAGCATCACGAACGAAGGTGTTATTCGCATCAATTCCGAAAATTCTATTTTAATCCTCGAACATGACACATTTAATACTATCACATCCAATCAGAACGGTGGCTGCGTATTTTTTAGTCCTGGTCACTCAATTTATCAAAGAGATACTTGCGCTCATAAAGTTTATTCAAGTACAAAAGCCAAATTTAGCTATGTTAAAATATCTCAAGCTTTAGAAAACGTGGATTACAATTTTATGATATCGATAACTGATTGTACACCTGACCCTGTGTCTGACATATTTTGGATTGGAGGCGGGAAAACATCTCTTTCAAATTATAATTCCACAAACAATTATGCAAGTTTTTCTACAGCATTTTACTTTGGAAATTCTGTTGGCCAAGCAAATGCATCGTTTATCAATGTATTATCAGGAACTGCTACATATAGTTCTCTTGTCTACTCTGACTCTAATTGTATTTTAAAACATTCGAATTTTTATAATAATAAAGTTAATGAGAAGACAGAATGCCTTTTGGCTGTACATGCATCAATTTTTGTTATAGATCATTGCGTTTTTGCTCAAAATTCTGCACAAATTTTCGCAAATAATAAAATATCTGTTTTAAGTTGCTCGTTTTACGAAAATTCATTTAGCTCGACATATCCTTCTATTCCTTATAGCGGAACGCATAGCTTCACTGTAAATACTCAGTGCCATATGTGGAAACACGACGACTGCATCAAAAAGTATTCTTGTGTATCACAATATTTTCACAATAAACTCATTTCTATTCTCATTCTCCATTTTCATTCTTTTCTTTAACCTAAAAGTATAAATTTCTCAATCTTTTGAATAAATCTACTTTTTTCCTAAAAGGCATTCTCCATAATTGGCAAGTTTTTTTGAATATGGCAAGGCAAACTTTGAGACAAAAGTTATCTTGTTGTATGATGCATTGAATCAACCCTGAAAGTTTCGTGGCCAACAATTCATTCTAGTGAGGTGAAACATTCATTCAAAGACCAAAAAAAAAGTTTTTTTTTGTTGAAGAATGGGCATAGTATGCATTCTCAATTTGAACCATTGCCTAGATCAATGGGTGCGAAACTTGCAGGGATGATTTATGGTACTATGCATGCAATCTTTGCTCTCAAACTTTCCCAGGTTACATTCAAAATTCCCTTTTTCATAGTTTTCTTATGTTAAATGCATTCACGTAGAGTATACCATATAAAATGATTATTTCTCAACTCGAAAGAAGGATTTTGAAAATGATCTTACAAAATTTTTGGATAACTATTTTGAATTTTCAATTGATTGAAAATTCGTTTTCAATTTTTTCTAAGGTGATTCAATGAATTGTCTGATTTATCAACAGAAGAATTCCTACAAGGCGAATCATATTGGAAATCAATACCATCATCGACAAATCCATTCGTCAATCATATCAGTGGAAGTCTCTTCCAAAGCATCACGAACGAAGGTGTTATTCGCATCAATTCCGAAAATTCTATTTTAATCCTCGAACATGACACATTTAATACTATCACATCCAATCAGAACGGTGGCTGCGTATTTTTTAGTCCTGGTCACTCAATTTATCAAAGAGATACTTGCGCTCATAAAGTTTATTCAAGTACAAAAGCCAAATTTAGCTATGTTAAAATATCTCAAGCTTTAGAAAACGTGGATTACAATTTTATGATATCGATAACTGATTGTACACCTGACCCTGTGTCTGACATATTTTGGATTGGAGGCGGGAAAACATCTCTTTCAAATTATAATTCCACAAACAATTATGCAAGTTTTTCTACAGCATTTTACTTTGGAAATTCTGTTGGCCAAGCAAATGCATCGTTTATCAATGTATTATCAGGAACTGCTACATATAGTTCTCTTGTCTACTCTGACTCTAATTGTATTTTAAAACATTCGAATTTTTATAATAATAAAGTTAATGAGAAGACAGAATGCCTTTTGGCTGTACATGCATCAATTTTTGTTATAGATCATTGCGTTTTTGCTCAAAATTCTGCACAAATTTTCGCAAATAATAAAATATCTGTTTTAAGTTGCTCGTTTTACGAAAAATTCATTTAGCTCGACATATCCTTCTATTCCTTATAGCGGAACGCATAGCTTCACTGTAAATACTCAGTGCCATATGTGGAAACACGACGACTGCATCAAAAAGTATTCTTGTGTATCACAATATTTCACAATAAACTCATTTCTATTCTCATTCTCCATTTTCATTCTTTTTCTTTAACCTAAAAGTATAAATTTTCTCAATCTTTTGAATAAATCTACTTTTTTCCTAAAAGGCATTCTCCATAATTGGCAAGTTTTTTTGAATATGGCAAGGCAAACTTTGAGACAAAAGTTATCTTGTATGATGCATTGAATCAACCCTGAAAGTTTCGTGGCCAACAATTCATTCTAGTGAGGTGAAACATTCATTCAAAGACCAAAAAAAAAGTTTTTTTTGTTGAAGAATGGGCATAGTATGCATTCTCAATTTGAACCATTGCCTAGATCAATGGGTGCGAAACTTGCAGGGATGATTTATGGTACTATGCATGCAATCTTTGCTCTCAAACTTTCCCAGGTTACATTCAAAATTCCCTTTTTCATAGTTTTCTTATGTTAAATGCATTCACGTAGAGTATACCATATAAAATGATTATTTCTCAACTCGAAAGAAAGGATTTTGAAAATGATCTTACAAAATTTTGGATAACTATTTTGAATTTTCAATTGATTGAAAATTCGTTTTCAATTTTTTCTAAGGTGATTCAATGAATTGTCTGATTTATCAACAGAAGAATTCCTACAAGGCGAATCATATTGGAAATCAATACCATCATCGACAAATCCATTCGTCAATCATATCAGTGGAAGTCTCTTCCAAAGCATCACGAACGAAGGTGTTATTCGCATCAATTCCGAAAATTCTATTTTAATCCTCGAACATGACACATTTAATACTATCACATCCAATCAGAACGGTGGCTGCGTATTTTTTAGTCCTGGTCACTCAATTTATCAAAGAGATACTTGCGCTCATAAAGTTTATTCAAGTACAAAAGCCAAATTTAGCTATGTTAAAATATCTCAAGCTTTAGAAAACGTGGATTACAATTTTATGATATCGATAACTGATTGTACACCTGACCCTGTGTCTGACATATTTTGGATTGGAGGCGGGAAAACATCTCTTTCAAATTATAATTCCACAAACAATTATGCAAGTTTTTCTACAGCATTTTACTTTGGAAATTCTGTTGGCCAAGCAAATGCATCGTTTATCAATGTATTATCAGGAACTGCTACATATAGTTCTCTTGTCTACTCTGACTCTAATTGTATTTTAAAACATTCGAATTTTTATAATAATAAAGTTAATGAGAAGACAGAATGCCTTTTGGCTGTACATGCATCAATTTTTGTTATAGATCATTGCGTTTTTGCTCAAAATTCTGCACAAATTTTCGCAAATAATAAAATATCTGTTTTAAGTTGCTCGTTTTACGAAAATTCATTTAGCTCGACATATCCTTCTATTCCTTATAGCGGAACGCATAGCTTCACTGTAAATACTCAGTGCCATATGTGGAAACACGACGACTGCATCAAAAAGTATTCTTGTGTATCACAATATTTCACAATAAACTCATTTCTATTCTCATTCTCCATTTTCATTCTTTTTCTTTAACCTAAAAGTATAAATTTTCTCAATCTTTTGAATAAATCTACTTTTTTCCTAAAAGGCATTCTCCATAATTGGCAAGTTTTTTTGAATATGGCAAGGCAAACTTTGAGACAAAAGTTATCTTGTATGATGCATTGAATCAACCCTGAAAGTTTCGTGGCCAACAATTCATTCTAGTGAGGTGAAACATTCATTCAAAGACCAAAAAAAAGTTTTTTTTGTTGAAGAATGGGCATAGTATGCATTCTCAATTTGAACCATTGCCTAGATCAATGGGTGCGAAACTTGCAGGGATGATTTATGGTACTATGCATGCAATCTTTGCTCTCAAACTTTCCCAGGTTACATTCAAAATTCCCTTTTTCATAGTTTTCTTATGTTAAATGCATTCACGTAGAGTATACCATATAAAATGATTATTTCTCAACTCGAAAGAAAGGATTTTGAAAATGATCTTACAAAATTTTGGATAACTATTTTGAATTTTCAATTGATTGAAAATTCGTTTTCAATTTTTTCTAAGGTGATTCAATGAATTGTCTGATTTATCAACAGAAGAATTCCTACAAGGCGAATCATATTGGAAATCAATACCATCATCGACAAATCCATTCGTCAATCATATCAGTGGAAGTCTCTTCCAAAGCATCACGAACGAAGGTGTTATTCGCATCAATTCCGAAAATTCTATTTTAATCCTCGAACATGACACATTTAATACTATCACATCCAATCAGAACGGTGGCTGCGTATTTTTTAGTCCTGGTCACTCAATTTATCAAAGAGATACTTGCGCTCATAAAGTTTATTCAAGTACAAAAGCCAAATTTAGCTATGTTAAAATATCTCAAGCTTTAGAAAACGTGGATTACAATTTTATGATATCGATAACTGATTGTACACCTGACCCTGTGTCTGACATATTTTGGATTGGAGGCGGGAAAACATCTCTTTCAAATTATAATTCCACAAACAATTATGCAAGTTTTTCTACAGCATTTTACTTTGGAAATTCTGTTGGCCAAGCAAATGCATCGTTTATCAATGTATTATCAGGAACTGCTACATATAGTTCTCTTGTCTACTCTGACTCTAATTGTATTTTAAAACATTCGAATTTTTATAATAATAAAGTTAATGAGAAGACAGAATGCCTTTTGGCTGTACATGCATCAATTTTTGTTATAGATCATTGCGTTTTTGCTCAAAATTCTGCACAAATTTTCGCAAATAATAAAATATCTGTTTTAAGTTGCTCGTTTTACGAAAATTCATTTAGCTCGACATATCCTTCTATTCCTTATAGCGGAACGCATAGCTTCACTGTAAATACTCAGTGCCATATGTGGAAACACGACGACTGCATCAAAAAGTATTCTTGTGTATCACAATATTTCACAATAAACTCATTTCTATTCTCATTCTCCATTTTCATTCTTTTTCTTTAACCTAAAAGTATAAATTTTCTCAATCTTTTGAATAAATCTACTTTTTTCCTAAAAGGCATTCTCCATAATTGGCAAGTTTTTTTGAATATGGCAAGGCAAACTTTGAGACAAAAGTTATCTTGTATGATGCATTGAATCAACCCTGAAAGTTTCGTGGCCAACAATTCATTCTAGTGAGGTGAAACATTCATTCAAAGACCAAAAAAAAAGTTTTTTTTGTTGAAGAATGGGCATAGTATGCATTCTCAATTTGAACCATTGCCTAGATCAATGGGTGCGAAACTTGCAGGGATGATTTATGGTACTATGCATGCAATCTTTGCTCTCAAACTTTCCCAGGTTACATTCAAAATTCCCTTTTTCATAGTTTTCTTATGTTAAATGCATTCACGTAGAGTATACCATATAAAATGATTATTTCTCAACTCGAAAGAAAGGATTTTGAAAATGATCTTACAAAATTTTGGATAACTATTTTGAATTTTCAATTGATTGAAAATTCGTTTTCAATTTTTTCTAAGGTGATTCAATGAATTGTCTGATTTATCAACAGAAGAATTCCTACAAGGCGAATCATATTGGAAATCAATACCATCATCGACAAATCCATTCGTCAATCATATCAGTGGAAGTCTCTTCCAAAGCATCACGAACGAAGGTGTTATTCGCATCAATTCCGAAAATTCTATTTTAATCCTCGAACATGACACATTTAATACTATCACATCCAATCAGAACGGTGGCTGCGTATTTTTTAGTCCTGGTCACTCAATTTATCAAAGAGATACTTGCGCTCATAAAGTTTATTCAAGTACAAAAGCCAAATTTAGCTATGTTAAAATATCTCAAGCTTTAGAAAACGTGGATTACAATTTTATGATATCGATAACTGATTGTACACCTGACCCTGTGTCTGACATATTTTGGATTGGAGGCGGGAAAACATCTCTTTCAAATTATAATTCCACAAACAATTATGCAAGTTTTTCTACAGCATTTTACTTTGGAAATTCTGTTGGCCAAGCAAATGCATCGTTTATCAATGTATTATCAGGAACTGCTACATATAGTTCTCTTGTCTACTCTGACTCTAATTGTATTTTAAAACATTCGAATTTTTATAATAATAAAGTTAATGAGAAGACAGAATGCCTTTTGGCTGTACATGCATCAATTTTTGTTATAGATCATTGCGTTTTTGCTCAAAATTCTGCACAAATTTTCGCAAATAATAAAATATCTGTTTTAAGTTGCTCGTTTTACGAAAATTCATTTAGCTCGACATATCCTTCTATTCCTTATAGCGGAACGCATAGCTTCACTGTAAATACTCAGTGCCATATGTGGAAACACGACGACTGCATCAAAAAGTATTCTTGTGTATCACAATATTTCACAATAAACTCATTTCTATTCTCATTCTCCATTTTCATTCTTTTTCTTTAACCTAAAAGTATAAATTTTCTCAATCTTTTGAATAAATCTACTTTTTTCCTAAAAGGCATTCTCCATAATTGGCAAGTTTTTTTGAATATGGCAAGGCAAACTTTGAGACAAAAGTTATCTTGTATGATGCATTGAATCAACCCTGAAAGTTTCGTGGCCAACAATTCATTCTAGTGAGGTGAAACATTCATTCAAAGACCAAAAAAAAAGTTTTTTTTGTTGAAGAATGGGCATAGTATGCATTCTCAATTTGAACCATTGCCTAGATCAATGGGTGCGAAACTTGCAGGGATGATTTATGGTACTATGCATGCAATCTTTGCTCTCAAACTTTCCCAGGTTACATTCAAAATTCCCTTTTTCATAGTTTTCTTATGTTAAATGCATTCACGTAGAGTATACCATATAAAATGATTATTTCTCAACTCGAAAGAAAGGATTTTGAAAATGATCTTACAAAATTTTGGATAACTATTTTGAATTTTCAATTGATTGAAAATTCGTTTTCAATTTTTTCTAAGGTGATTCAATGAATTGTCTGATTTATCAACAGAAGAATTCCTACAAGGCGAATCATATTGGAAATCAATACCATCATCGACAAATCCATTCGTCAATCATATCAGTGGAAGTCTCTTCCAAAGCATCACGAACGAAGGTGTTATTCGCATCAATTCCGAAAATTCTATTTTAATCCTCGAACATGACACATTTAATACTATCACATCCAATCAGAACGGTGGCTGCGTATTTTTTAGTCCTGGTCACTCAATTTATCAAAGAGATACTTGCGCTCATAAAGTTTATTCAAGTACAAAAGCCAAATTTAGCTATGTTAAAATATCTCAAGCTTTAGAAAACGTGGATTACAATTTTATGATATCGATAACTGATTGTACACCTGACCCTGTGTCTGACATATTTTGGATTGGAGGCGGGAAAACATCTCTTTCAAATTATAATTCCACAAACAATTATGCAAGTTTTTCTACAGCATTTTACTTTGGAAATTCTGTTGGCCAAGCAAATGCATCGTTTATCAATGTATTATCAGGAACTGCTACATATAGTTCTCTTGTCTACTCTGACTCTAATTGTATTTTAAAACATTCGAATTTTTATAATAATAAAGTTAATGAGAAGACAGAATGCCTTTTGGCTGTACATGCATCAATTTTTGTTATAGATCATTGCGTTTTTGCTCAAAATTCTGCACAAATTTTCGCAAATAATAAAATATCTGTTTTAAGTTGCTCGTTTTACGAAAATTCATTTAGCTCGACATATCCTTCTATTCCTTATAGCGGAACGCATAGCTTCACTGTAAATACTCAGTGCCATATGTGGAAACACGACGACTGCATCAAAAAGTATTCTTGTGTATCACAATATTTCACAATAAACTCATTTCTATTCTCATTCTCCATTTTCATTCTTTTTCTTTAACCTAAAAGTATAAATTTTCTCAATCTTTTGAATAAATCTACTTTTTTCCTAAAAGGCATTCTCCATAATTGGCAAGTTTTTTTGAATATGGCAAGGCAAACTTTGAGACAAAAGTTATCTTGTATGATGCATTGAATCAACCCTGAAAGTTTCGTGGCCAACAATTCATTCTAGTGAGGTGAAACATTCATTCAAAGACCAAAAAAAAAGTTTTTTTTGTTGAAGAATGGGCATAGTATGCATTCTCAATTTGAACCATTGCCTAGATCAATGGGTGCGAAACTTGCAGGGATGATTTATGGTACTATGCATGCAATCTTTGCTCTCAAACTTTCCCAGGTTACATTCAAAATTCCCTTTTTCATAGTTTTCTTATGTTAAATGCATTCACGTAGAGTATACCATATAAAATGATTATTTCTCAACTCGAAAGAAAGGATTTTGAAAATGATCTTACAAAATTTTGGATAACTATTTTGAATTTTCAATTGATTGAAAATTCGTTTTCAATTTTTTCTAAGGTGATTCAATGAATTGTCTGATTTATCAACAGAAGAATTCCTACAAGGCGAATCATATTGGAAATCAATACCATCATCGACAAATCCATTCGTCAATCATATCAGTGGAAGTCTCTTCCAAAGCATCACGAACGAAGGTGTTATTCGCATCAATTCCGAAAATTCTATTTTAATCCTCGAACATGACACATTTAATACTATCACATCCAATCAGAACGGTGGCTGCGTATTTTTTAGTCCTGGTCACTCAATTTATCAAAGAGATACTTGCGCTCATAAAGTTTATTCAAGTACAAAAGCCAAATTTAGCTATGTTAAAATATCTCAAGCTTTAGAAAACGTGGATTACAATTTTATGATATCGATAACTGATTGTACACCTGACCCTGTGTCTGACATATTTTGGATTGGAGGCGGGAAAACATCTCTTTCAAATTATAATTCCACAAACAATTATGCAAGTTTTTCTACAGCATTTTACTTTGGAAATTCTGTTGGCCAAGCAAATGCATCGTTTATCAATGTATTATCAGGAACTGCTACATATAGTTCTCTTGTCTACTCTGACTCTAATTGTATTTTAAAACATTCGAATTTTTATAATAATAAAGTTAATGAGAAGACAGAATGCCTTTTGGCTGTACATGCATCAATTTTTGTTATAGATCATTGCGTTTTTGCTCAAAATTCTGCACAAATTTTCGCAAATAATAAAATATCTGTTTTAAGTTGCTCGTTTTACGAAAATTCATTTAGCTCGACATATCCTTCTATTCCTTATAGCGGAACGCATAGCTTCACTGTAAATACTCAGTGCCATATGTGGAAACACGACGACTGCATCAAAAAGTATTCTTGTGTATCACAATATTTCACAATAAACTCATTTCTATTCTCATTCTCCATTTTCATTCTTTTTCTTTAACCTAAAAGTATAAATTTTCTCAATCTTTTGAATAAATCTACTTTTTTCCTAAAAGGCATTCTCCATAATTGGCAAGTTTTTTTGAATATGGCAAGGCAAACTTTGAGACAAAAGTTATCTTGTATGATGCATTGAATCAACCCTGAAAGTTTCGTGGCCAACAATTCATTCTAGTGAGGTGAAACATTCATTCAAAGACCAAAAAAAAAGTTTTTTTTGTTGAAGAATGGGCATAGTATGCATTCTCAATTTGAACCATTGCCTAGATCAATGGGTGCGAAACTTGCAGGGATGATTTATGGTACTATGCATGCAATCTTTGCTCTCAAACTTTCCCAGGTTACATTCAAAATTCCCTTTTTCATAGTTTTCTTATGTTAAATGCATTCACGTAGAGTATACCATATAAAATGATTATTTCTCAACTCGAAAGAAAGGATTTTGAAAATGATCTTACAAAATTTTGGATAACTATTTTGAATTTTCAATTGATTGAAAATTCGTTTTCAATTTTTTCTAAGGTGATTCAATGAATTGTCTGATTTATCAACAGAAGAATTCCTACAAGGCGAATCATATTGGAAATCAATACCATCATCGACAAATCCATTCGTCAATCATATCAGTGGAAGTCTCTTCCAAAGCATCACGAACGAAGGTGTTATTCGCATCAATTCCGAAAATTCTATTTTAATCCTCGAACATGACACATTTAATACTATCACATCCAATCAGAACGGTGGCTGCGTATTTTTTAGTCCTGGTCACTCAATTTATCAAAGAGATACTTGCGCTCATAAAGTTTATTCAAGTACAAAAGCCAAATTTAGCTATGTTAAAATATCTCAAGCTTTAGAAAACGTGGATTACAATTTTATGATATCGATAACTGATTGTACACCTGACCCTGTGTCTGACATATTTTGGATTGGAGGCGGGAAAACATCTCTTTCAAATTATAATTCCACAAACAATTATGCAAGTTTTTCTACAGCATTTTACTTTGGAAATTCTGTTGGCCAAGCAAATGCATCGTTTATCAATGTATTATCAGGAACTGCTACATATAGTTCTCTTGTCTACTCTGACTCTAATTGTATTTTAAAACATTCGAATTTTTATAATAATAAAGTTAATGAGAAGACAGAATGCCTTTTGGCTGTACATGCATCAATTTTTGTTATAGATCATTGCGTTTTTGCTCAAAATTCTGCACAAATTTTCGCAAATAATAAAATATCTGTTTTAAGTTGCTCGTTTTACGAAAATTCATTTAGCTCGACATATCCTTCTATTCCTTATAGCGGAACGCATAGCTTCACTGTAAATACTCAGTGCCATATGTGGAAACACGACGACTGCATCAAAAAGTATTCTTGTGTATCACAATATTTCACAATAAACTCATTTCTATTCTCATTCTCCATTTTCATTCTTTTTCTTTAACCTAAAAGTATAAATTTTCTCAATCTTTTGAATAAATCTACTTTTTTCCTAAAAGGCATTCTCCATAATTGGCAAGTTTTTTTGAATATGGCAAGGCAAACTTTGAGACAAAAGTTATCTTGTATGATGCATTGAATCAACCCTGAAAGTTTCGTGGCCAACAATTCATTCTAGTGAGGTGAAACATTCATTCAAAGACCAAAAAAAAAGTTTTTTTTGTTGAAGAATGGGCATAGTATGCATTCTCAATTTGAACCATTGCCTAGATCAATGGGTGCGAAACTTGCAGGGATGATTTATGGTACTATGCATGCAATCTTTGCTCTCAAACTTTCCCAGGTTACATTCAAAATTCCCTTTTTCATAGTTTTCTTATGTTAAATGCATTCACGTAGAGTATACCATATAAAATGATTATTTCTCAACTCGAAAGAAAGGATTTTGAAAATGATCTTACAAAATTTTGGATAACTATTTTGAATTTTCAATTGATTGAAAATTCGTTTTCAATTTTTTCTAAGGTGATTCAATGAATTGTCTGATTTATCAACAGAAGAATTCCTACAAGGCGAATCATATTGGAAATCAATACCATCATCGACAAATCCATTCGTCAATCATATCAGTGGAAGTCTCTTCCAAAGCATCACGAACGAAGGTGTTATTCGCATCAATTCCGAAAATTCTATTTTAATCCTCGAACATGACACATTTAATACTATCACATCCAATCAGAACGGTGGCTGCGTATTTTTTAGTCCTGGTCACTCAATTTATCAAAGAGATACTTGCGCTCATAAAGTTTATTCAAGTACAAAAGCCAAATTTAGCTATGTTAAAATATCTCAAGCTTTAGAAAACGTGGATTACAATTTTATGATATCGATAACTGATTGTACACCTGACCCTGTGTCTGACATATTTTGGATTGGAGGCGGGAAAACATCTCTTTCAAATTATAATTCCACAAACAATTATGCAAGTTTTTCTACAGCATTTTACTTTGGAAATTCTGTTGGCCAAGCAAATGCATCGTTTATCAATGTATTATCAGGAACTGCTACATATAGTTCTCTTGTCTACTCTGACTCTAATTGTATTTTAAAACATTCGAATTTTTATAATAATAAAGTTAATGAGAAGACAGAATGCCTTTTGGCTGTACATGCATCAATTTTTGTTATAGATCATTGCGTTTTTGCTCAAAATTCTGCACAAATTTTCGCAAATAATAAAATATCTGTTTTAAGTTGCTCGTTTTACGAAAATTCATTTAGCTCGACATATCCTTCTATTCCTTATAGCGGAACGCATAGCTTCACTGTAAATACTCAGTGCCATATGTGGAAACACGACGACTGCATCAAAAAGTATTCTTGTGTATCACAATATTTCACAATAAACTCATTTCTATTCTCATTCTCCATTTTCATTCTTTTTCTTTAACCTAAAAGTATAAATTTTCTCAATCTTTTGAATAAATCTACTTTTTTCCTAAAAGGCATTCTCCATAATTGGCAAGTTTTTTTGAATATGGCAAGGCAAACTTTGAGACAAAAGTTATCTTGTATGATGCATTGAATCAACCCTGAAAGTTTCGTGGCCAACAATTCATTCTAGTGAGGTGAAACATTCATTCAAAGACCAAAAAAAAAGTTTTTTTTGTTGAAGAATGGGCATAGTATGCATTCTCAATTTGAACCATTGCCTAGATCAATGGGTGCGAAACTTGCAGGGATGATTTATGGTACTATGCATGCAATCTTTGCTCTCAAACTTTCCCAGGTTACATTCAAAATTCCCTTTTTCATAGTTTTCTTATGTTAAATGCATTCACGTAGAGTATACCATATAAAATGATTATTTCTCAACTCGAAAGAAAGGATTTTGAAAATGATCTTACAAAATTTTGGATAACTATTTTGAATTTTCAATTGATTGAAAATTCGTTTTCAATTTTTTCTAAGGTGATTCAATGAATTGTCTGATTTATCAACAGAAGAATTCCTACAAGGCGAATCATATTGGAAATCAATACCATCATCGACAAATCCATTCGTCAATCATATCAGTGGAAGTCTCTTCCAAAGCATCACGAACGAAGGTGTTATTCGCATCAATTCCGAAAATTCTATTTTAATCCTCGAACATGACACATTTAATACTATCACATCCAATCAGAACGGTGGGTGTGTATTTTTTAATCCTGGTCACTCAATTTACCAAAGAGATATTTGCGCCCGAAAAGTATATTCAAGCACAAAAGCCAAATATGGCTATATTGACCTCTCCAAAACATCAGAAAACGTAAATTTTCATTATATGATTTCTTTAATTGATTGCACGACTACACCTCCTGTTTCAGATATGATTTGGATTCAAGGTGGGAAAGCTTCTGCTTCCAATTATAACTCTACAAACAACTACGTTAATAACTCACCAGGACTTTTCTTTGGAACTACTGTTGGTAGAGCTAATGCATCGTTTATAAACGTAGTATCAGGAACTTCTACATATACTGCTGTTTTTTACTCACTTTCGGATTGTCTTTTGAAATATTCAAATTTTTATAAAAATAAAGTTAATGATGAAACTCAATGGTTCTTACAGATTGGCGTAGAAACATCATCTGTTGATCATTGCGTTTTTGTTCAAAATAATGCAAAGAATTTTTTGAACCAACCAATTTCAGTTTCAAATTGTTCGTTTGACCAAAATTCGTTTAGTTCTATTCCTTCTTCGATACCATACATAGGGTTGAATAGCTTTGTCGTGAATACTGAATGCCATATGTGGAAACAAGACAACTGCAACAAAAAGTATTCATGTGTTTCCCAATATTTCAATATGAACTATTTTCTATCTTCTTTCTCCATCTTCATTCTTTTCCTCTAATTATTTTACTAAATCTAAAAATTGATTTTTTTTTTATTTGATATTTTTTACTATTAATACTCACCAACTTTATCAACATGCAATATTGTGCAATTATGGGGCTTCAATTCGGTTATTTTTAATTTAAAAGGTTTGAAAACTTTAATTACATGAAAAAGACCGTATATTTCACGCATATTTATTGTTTACGTCAGTATTTAGTAATATACCATAACATTTCATAATTCATTTTCTTTTATATTGATTCCCATGGTCAGATGAGTCATCAAGATGACTTATTTCATTTCTGTAGCTATAATATGCATTTGAAATGAAATTTTGAAGATTGGACCACATAATGCTTTTAATAAATTTCCATTTTTGCTCCAAAATGACTGTTGTATTTCATTATTTCAATTTTGAGAGCAATGTCAAAAAAATAAGATTAAATGATTTGATTTTTTGACTGATTTTTCATCAGATGAATACATTAAAGATAAGTCGTATTGAGAATTTAACTCATTACAAACAAAATCTTATCAGTCTTTACCGTTTGTATACAAAGTAAATGGAATTTTATTCGAAAGAGTTTCAAACGATGGAGTTATTCGTCTATCAGATTCAAAATTAGTTTTAATCCTCGAATATGCTACATTTGATTCTATTACTTCTAATCAAAACGGTGGCTGTGTCCTTTTCAATAATGGCCACTCGATATATCAAAAAGATATTTGCGCCCGAAACGTTTACTCAAGCACAAAAGCCAATTATGGCTTTATTAGTATCTCAATAACGACGGAAAACGTAAATTATATTTCGATGATATCTTTAATTGACTGCGTTTCTACACCTACTGTTAATGATATGATTTGGAATGGAGGAGGTAATACTTCTATTTCAAATTACAACTCGACAAACAATTATGTTACTTCATCACCTGGATTTTATTTCGGAAATTCATTTGGACGAGCTACAGCATCATTTGTAAATGTTTTATTGGGAACAGCTACATTAAACGCAATTGTATATTCAGATTCAGATTGTCTTTTGAAATATTCAAATTTTTATAAAAATAAAGTTAATGATGACACTCAATGGTTTTTATGTTTTAAAGTAGGAACATCATCTGTTGATCATTGCGTATTTGCTAATAATACTGCCAAAACATTTGAATATACACAATTATCAGTTTCATATTGTTCGTTTGATCAAAATTCGTTTAGTTCGATACCTTCGTCGATTCCATATAAAGGATCGTATAGCTTTGTTGTGAATACTGAATGCCATATGTTGAAACAAGACAATTGCAACAAAAAGTATTCATGTGTTTCCAAATATTTCAACATGAACTATCTTCTATCTTCTTTCTCCATCTTCATTCTTTTCCTCTAATTATTTTACTTTTTCTTTTGGTTGATTACCAAATGTGAATCAAATAAATAAATTATTTAACATTAAAATGATACAAACCAAATCTCTTTAGCCGTGAATGATTTCTTTATTAATAAATTTTCTTAAATGCAATACAATATTCTTTAATCTATTGTTGCTAGATAAATATTCTTTTCAATGTTACATAGATTTTCAAGTTTTAGCAAAAAGAAATGAATTTTAAGTAAAGAATTCAATAAAATATCGTTGAAACTTTTCAATCAATATTGAATTGTTTTCAAATTTGAGAGACTTGAATTTTTTTTTATCCAATGATTCAATGATATCTCAGACTATCAATAGATAAATTCTTTAACAATAAGCCGTATTGGGTATTATTACCGTCATCAACAATATCCAGTAAAGCTGTGCCTCTTAATTATCATCTCAGCGGAGTTAAATTCACAAGTATCACAAGTGATGGAGTTATTCGAATCAAAGATGAAATATCAACTTTAGTTCTTGAACATAATTCATTTACTTCTATTACATCATGGCAAGATGGTGGTTGCGTATTTTTCAATCCAGGATATTCAATATATCAAAAGGACATATGTGCAAATAATGTTTATTCAGGTACAAAATCTAAATATTGTTTAGTTAATATTCCACAAGCATCATCTAATATCGATTTTGTTTACATGATTTCATTAACAGACTCAATAACTGAGCCAGCTGTATATGATATGGCTTGGCTTGCAGGTGGACAAACATCTATTTCATATTACAACTCTTCAAATAATCTTGTTACACTGTCACCAGCTTGTTACTTTGAAAATTCAGTTGGACGAGCGAATGCATCATTTATAAATGCTATTTCAGGAATAGCTACTCATCAAGATGTTATATACTCACGAAGTGAATGTATTATACAATATTCAAATTTTTATAAAAACACCGTAAGAGATATGCTTCAATGCTTATTTATGTTCGATATAGATGGATGCTCTATTGACCATTGCGTATTTTTGGAAAATACTGCAACGTATTTTTCAAATAGGGGAGGAAAAATTACTTCTTGTTCTTTTCACGGAAATTCATTTGGCTCAGTAGAGCCATCTGTTCCGTATACAGGTACAAATAGGCTTGTTATCAATACCCAATGTCATCTTGGAAACCAAAATGTCTATCTGAAAAGGCATTCATGCGTATCTCGATATTTTACAACGAATCATTTTGTGCTTCTATATTCCACATTATTCTTTTCTGTGTAATTCTCTCTAAAAATTTCAAGTTCATCGTTTTCATTCAAAAATTTCTCAGCTTTTTTAGTAAACGTTCGGAGAAAATTTTCTCTGATATAATCCGTAAACTCGCGGTAGGTTTTGACAATTTGGACTTTTCTTTAAAAATTTTATTTTCAATGTCAATTTTTTGAAAAAGAGCATCTAGATTATTTGCCTGATTTTTCATCATCTGAATTCCTTAAAAGTAAGCCTTATTGGACTTTGCTGCAACCAGCAGCAATATCAATTAAGGGAGTTCCACTCACATATCATATTAGCGGTGCTTTTTTCTCGAATATCGTGAATGATGGTGTTATTCGCATCAAAGATGAAAATTCCGTTTTATTCCTTGAGCATGATACATTCATTGACATTACATCCTCCCAGAATGGAGGCTGTATTCTATTTAATCCCGGCCACTCGGTTTATCAAAAAGATATCTGCGCACGTAATGTGTTCTCAAGTACAAAGTCAAATTACTGCTTTATAAATGTCTCACAAAAGCCGGAAAGCATTAATTACTTTAATATGATTACAATAGCTGACTGTACTACCAAACCTCCTGTGCTCGATATGGTTTGGATTGATGGTGGTCAAACATCTATATCGTATTACAATACATCGAACAATTATGTTTCACTTTCCCCAGCATTTTACCTTGAAAACTCTGTTGGCCGCGCAAATACCTCGTATATAAATGCCATTTCAGGAACTGCAGTCGAAAAGGATATTATATTTTCTAATTCCGATTGTCTTTTGCAATATGCAAATTTTTATAAAAACGAAGTACATGGTGCAAATCAATGTTTTATAATTTTTGGAGAAAGTCGAGATGCAATATGTTCTGCTGATCATTGCGTGTTTCTCGATAATACTGCTTCAATTTTCATTAATCGAGAGTATCCATTTACTCATTGTTCTTTTGTTAGAAATTCTTTCGGATCCACTCCTCCATCAGTACCATATTCCGGAACAAACAAATTCGTTGTCATTACGCAATGCCATATTGGAAATCACGAGGACTGCCCAAAGCAGTTTTCTGTGTTTGTCGATATTTTACACTGAATTTCAATCTGTTTCTTTATTCTATCTTAACACTTTCTTTATAATTTTTTTTTTCTCTCTTTTTTTTCCTAGCATGAATTTCTAACTAGTATGAGAATGATATACTATTTGTTAGTATTAGTTATGTGAATATTATACTATATCATGAAATTCAATACTAAAATTTCTGAGCTAATCAATACTATTAAGGGTGCCCTATAGACGATAAACCACCCTCAGAAAAGCACTTTTAAGGCTATTATATTGAGAACTAGAATCGGGATAATCCATTCATTCGAGTTCTAATAAGGTTAATTTTGTGATGTTTACATTATCGTTATAGGGCACCCTTAAGATAAATAATAAGATACTTAGCAATATTGGATGTTCTCATTTCCAATTTGATTCTAATATCCAATATTAATGATCGAAAAAGCTTAATCATAAAATTACGAAGGAGAGATAAGGATCTTATCATATATTCAACTTATGTTAGGAGTGTTCTTCATATAGATATCCATAATGGAGAGTAATATTTATGATATGCTTTAATAATAGGTTGTAATTTAACTGTTAATGCCCAATTTAGATAATTTTGAGAATCCTCAAAGAAATGAATAATTATTATGCTTATCCATATAAATAATACATAAAATACTGGGAAAAACTCTGATGCTCATCTTTCATCAACTTTTCTCATAAAAGATATAGTTTTAATATTTACTCTATTAAGTTGTGAAGAATTTCTAATTTCTTCTGTGAATCTTCAAAGTGCTGAAGAATGAATTGCGCAGATTCCTGAGAAGATCTCATGAAAGAAGCGAGGAACTGCTGAAGTCCATTGAGAACATCTCCAGATACTTTTCTTTTTGCAGATATAGCCAATGGTTCTGTAATCAATCTTGCAATAGCCAAAGCCATTTGTGTTGCAACTTCTTGGTTCTGATTCTGATTTAATCTGTTTAATAATGACTCCGACATAAACTTAGATTCCTTTATATCAGAAGGAGGGAATAAAGACAAACTTTCAATCAAATATTCATCATTAACATCCAAACACAAATAGAAACTTGCAATATTCGAAATAACATCACCAAAACCATCTTTTCCTTTCTCGTTTTTATACCATTTATCTGCAATCGGAACAAATTCCATGCACAAAGCCAAAGAGTTAGGATAAACACGTGTAACTCTTGATAACAATGTAATTACATGCTGTTGGATTCTTGCATTCGTTGTATCACTCAATGATTTGCAAAATTCCAAAATTTCTGACACAAATTTTTCATCAATTTCTCTTTTTACAATCAATTCCGATAATTCACCAATAACAGGATCAATTGCAACTGTATTTTGTTGCATCCATGTCAAACAGAACTGTAAAATATCAAGGTTAACTTGTTCTTGCAGTTGAAGAACAGCGAAAAAGAATTCAATGAAATATTGAGCGAGTTCAGGTTGAACAACTGTTTCTATTGGAGATTCTCCAGCTCCGAAAGCTGTGTCTCCATCAATTATTGATTGCAACAAACTGACAGAACTATTGATGAAGTTTTCTGGGTCATGATTTGTGCAGAACTTCAACAAATAAGTCAATGCTTCAACGGCAACTTCTAATAAGTCAACATCTATTTCTTCATTGACAATTCTTATTAATTGTACTAAGAAGAACTCAGATCTTTGTTTGTTCGTTTCATTTGGCTCAGAAATTGCAAAAGAAATCTGTGGAATTTGTGTACAAGCGTCTTTCATTAATTCCACTTCATCTGATCTAAACAACATGTTCAAAGCACTGCAAACTGCATCAAGAAGTGTCATGTCTTTCGTTCTTCTTATAATTGCAGACGCCGTCTCCAAAGCGGAAGAGAAAACTCTTGGATCTCCAGGCGAAGAAATTAATTTAGAAATTTCTTCAATGAATGGTTGAACGTAAACTAATGATTCTCCACGAAGAGCAACAGATATATTCCTCAAAAATGCAAGTACATGCGTAACAACATCTTGGTTATCGTAATGGAATAATTCATTAATAATTTCTGCCAAATTTGAAATTTTCTGAGGAATTTGATCGTCGTATTCAATTAAAGTACCAATTATTGTTAAAGTTACAGCTTTTAATGTTGGTTCTTTATCATCTGCGAGATTCTGAATAGCGAATTGCAAAATTGTATCAACCATTTGATCATTTAAGTCTTCCATTTCGATAACCAAAGCTAACAATAAAATATAATTTTCTATATCTTCTTCGTGAACTGTTCCTTCTTCCTGCATCTTCCAGAGTGTATTTAGTAAGTCAGGAATACTAGATTCACAGAGAGGACACAAAGACATCATGCTGTTGTATGCAATGACTCTGATGTCGCTGTCTTCTGATACTAAATAATTTACAACAATAGGAATGAATTCTCTAGCCAAAGAAGCAACATTTGCCGTGGATTCGTTGAAGACTTCAAGACATCTTAATGAGGCTTCAATTAACATCAAATCTTCGGAATTCAATGCTTGTAAAATGGCGGTTTTGACGGTTTCTAAATCATCTTCAAGAGTTGAGCCAGCGTATTCAATTAAAGACGACAAAATGTTGACGGCAACAATTGTCTGTTCAAGATCTTCACTTCCGAACATCTCCTGGAAGTTTTGGTAAACAATAGGAGCAGAAATTTCAACACGAATTTGTAAAGTTTGGTCGATGAAAATCATCATCTCTTTTGGCTGTTCTCCGACCTCTTGGATGTATGTGACTGCGAGAAGAACACTTGCATTGATGAACTGTGACATAATATTCTCGTCAAGTTGAGGAATTACAGGAATAATTGATGATATAATATTGGATCTGTGGATTGACTTAATTGAAGAGTCTTCGACTTGTGTAGCTGCTGCCTGTAGGAAGTGTAATATTATATCTTCATTAAGTTGCTTTATTTTGAGGATTTTACGGATATATGACCATAATTTGTCGAAATCTTGTTCTGAAAGGGATTTGTACTGTTCGAGCATGCCTGTAACTGTTTCAATTACTGGTATAAGTATGTCGAATGATTCTTCAATACTGTAAATAACGAAAAATACTTCAAAAGCCATAAATTTAACACTATTTTTCTCTGAAGCAAGACTTGTCATGGCAATGGCACGAAATCCAGTCCACAGTTCATGAACGGTGCCACCTTCGACGAGTGGTATGATTTTGCTTAAGAAAAGTAAAGCGCATTCTGGATTCTTTTTTTGATGGAAGTAAACTACCATGTGAATGGCAGGAGTCCATAATATACTTGCTTTAAATATAGTTGCGACTGCTTCTGCGAGATTTGTAAGAGTTTTATATGAATCACATTTTTGGACAATTTCAATTAATGCTTGTTTAACGATTTCTTGTACTTCTTCTGGCATAGTTAGCCAATTGTTGCGAATATATCTGTTGAAATTGACAGCAATTTCGTTTTGAGCATCATCTTGAATCGAATTTAGGATGTTGCAATAGACTGCTGCAATATCTGGTTGCTGCTCCATACTGAGAATTGTATCTTCAGCCTCTTTAACCGAAATTTGTGTTTGCTTGACACTCTCGCTAATATAATATTGAAGTTGTTGTTCGCGTTCCATGATTTCTTTGTAAACTATTCAATTAAAATTTTTGTAAAGTTGAGAGCTCTCTCAGAATAAATAGCATTATTGAAGAATAACTAGATCTGAAACCATTTAACTGAACAATTTGCCGCCATGTACATTAGTACTCATTAAAAATACCCTTTAAATATGCATTGATAAAGGATTCATTCTTGAGAGATTAATTATCTATTATAAAGCATACTTGAAAAGTACTTATATTTAGTTTGTAGATTTTGCATAAGGATAGTGAGCAAAATGGCAAATTGTATTCAAAATATTTACTATTAATGAAATAGACTTCTTTGTTTAATAAATGTATAATATTTCAATGTTAGAAACAAGTTTTATAAAGTTTTTATTTAGTTTTGATTGATTTTTAACAATATATGGTAATCAAAATTGAAATTTCCGAAAAGTACAAAGATAAGAAAATATGCATTCATTTATCTAGAATAGATAATAGAATGATACTTCTTCTTGCATGAAATTACTTGCATTGCCAAACTTCGATGTAAAGTGGTCCAATTCTTTCAAAGAAATGCGTTTTTTCGATTGCTGTTACACTAGATCCGAATTGTCTTCCGACAATGCAATTCCATCCTTCGAAATATTTGTTATCAAAACTTTGTTTGATTTTTTGAGCTATTTCGTTCAGATCATCTGTTTCCTGTATTGATTCCTTGAATATCGTAGTGAGACTATCACGCATGTCCTTTGGCATATCATTACCTTCCATGTTTTCTTGATTTTCTCCCATGGTGGAAAAATTTAAGTCAAAAATTTTGACAGTGTCACTTTTTATGAAAAATAATTTTATTTGTAAACGGCTACTAAAAATATGAGTTCAAGTGGTAGAAAAATAAATCAAGGTGAAACAGTTGATTTATCAAGCAAAAAACTGATGCAGATTCCACCTATAAGCAATCCAACATATGTTACAAGTATGAATATCGCGAATAATTTATTTACTTCTCTTCCAGACTTAAAAGTCTTTTTAAATTTACAACATTTGTTTATAGATCATAATTCTCTCACAGATTTATTATTTATATCATCATTACATCAACTACAAGAACTTGATGTTTCATATAATACTCTAACTACATTAGATTTCCTACAAGACTTACCAAATATACGTATTGTGTACGCTGCACATAATAAAATCAGTACTATAAAGCCAGAATTGCCTTCAACTTTAAATACTTTAGATGTTTCTTATAATCAACTAACATCACTGAAGTTTATTGAAAGCTCAAGTTGGGATTCTTTAGAATGCTTAACAATACATGACAATCTTATCTTTGATCTTCGAGAAATTAAATATCTTGCTGAATTACCAATATTAAAGTACTGCTACATTGGTTTCTCCAAAGAAAATATGGATACTAAGCTTGCAGAACTCGCCAAATTTGTTTGTCCTACACTTCTTGAGTTTGATGATTTTAATACTTCAAATTTGAATCCAGATTTCGACCAATATCAGGTTATTCATCTCCTTAGTGCAGGTACAGAAGCAGAATTTAGATCATTTGTTAATTTGGTTGAGCAGGAGATCAAATGGAATCAACCTGTTTTTATTGACTTTGTTGAAAAGGCTCAGCCAAGAGAAGAAGATGATCTTGAGAAAAGACTCAGAGCTGTTGAAGCAAAGGTATCTACACCCGCTCAAAATGAAGAATTGCAAGCAAGAATTGAAGAAATGGAGAAAAAGATTTCGAATGCAGTTGACAAGCAAGATAATGATAAGGGAATATCAGAGTTAGACCAGATACCTGGTGGAAATGTTGCTAAAGTTCAGCAAATTCAGTCTGAAATTAATGATATTAGGCAACAAATCACCAAAATTACGGAATTACTATATGCCCATGATAAAGCACTGGAAACTATGTGGAATTATATTAATCCACTTGAAGAATAATCAAATTTGTTATATATTTTTTTGTTTATAAACTTTCTGTTCAAAAATCAATAGTATAGAAACAGTTAGGTTCTTTTATTCCATTATGTTAATGATTTAGTATGTTTTTGTTTAACTTAATATGCGAACATTTAAATCATATTCATTGTGCAATATAATTACAATATCTCTCTCAGCTTAATGAAGGATATATATGAAATCCTCTATATTCATCCTAATGTCTAACCTTAGTTTATTGAATGAAACTTATTCATTGATACAGGTTATCTTTGAATGTTTGTATACATAAGCAGTAAGAAAAGTAAATTTACATGTGTAAAAAGAAAAAAATCACTATTTGAGAAAAATTTTCCATAATTCTTCAGGAAAAATCGGCAGAATACCAAAATTTCCTACATTCTACTATGATGTATGCAAGAATTTGCCCGAAGAAAGTAGAAACGATAAAATACCGAGTTATCGTCTGAAAGTAGTAGGATAGGAAGGGTTGTGTGACTTTTTTTGTTACGTCTATATATAGATGAAGGTATATTTTCACATCTTCTATACATAGATGATATAAAATTTTTTCTTACGTTTTTTAAGTCATGAATTCGTAAGAAAGCGCGACATTATTAAATAAATTAGTAATAAATATTATATACTAAACACATTAAAAATTAACATTAATTTTAAAATAATTATTTTCATGAATGAAAGATTCACTACCATAATGAAATAAAAAATAAAAAAATAAACTTTAAAAATTCATGTCTCACGAAAAATTATTTTTATTTTGTATGAAATGAGCGTCAAAACTAACGACGTGAAAACATTAGGATTCACAAACGAGGAAATAAAGGATATATTAGATGAGATGTGTTATGAAGTTAGTAAATATTATTTAAGAAATTGTCAAAAATTTGCCGAGTTATTAAATGATTTAGATTATGATGGAAAAATGAATAAAGATGATGTTATAAATTTCTTATATCCCACATCTAAAGAAGAAAAACCTAAAGAACCTGATGTTTTCCCTGAATATTATGAAGAACGGATTAAAGATGATGAATACGATGAAATTGAAAGACTGGAAAAAATAAGAGATGAAATAGATGAAAAAATTAAGGAATTAAGAGAAGTTGAAAAATATAATGAAAATGAAGTAGAGGGTTTAATGAATATCCCAGCTTCAGAATCAGAAGTTCAGAAATCTCATGAAGAAAGATATAAAAATTATGTCTCAGAATCAACACAAAATTTATTAGATGGTGAAATAGACGAAACACTTTCAGAAGAAGGTACTAAATTTATACGTAAACATAAGTTACAATTTATTGATAATGAAAAATACCCTTGTATCTTACTTTCACCCCCTCTCGATTCCGAAAAAATCAAAAAAGCTCTTAAAAACGTGACATATGCAACTAATACGATTAAGAAAGAAGATCATGATATTTACACAAATTATTATTTAAATAAATGCACGGGTGTTGATAAAGTTTTTGATTTATTAGATAAAATATCAAAAGAAATCATTGGAACATATAAAATTTTGTGTGATTGTGGTTTCATTATTGAAGATACCAATAATGTTTCATATGAAAGAACAGCACCGAAGGAAGATGAAGTGGAAAGGTCTATACCATTCGTTATTAAGAATATAAAAGATATGAAAACTTATAAACATTATATTTATTCATTTATTTCAGAAAAAATGGAAGCAACCCATAAAACATCTTCTCATCATTTTATAGCTATTCATACATTCCTTTTCAAAGTTGTGAAATTAAATAAGACAGGAATTAGATTTAATGTATCCGGGTACGCATTCTTGAGTAAATTAAAATGTATCCGTCACGTCGCAGATGATAAAAATTTATGTGTTCTTAATTCATTTTATGGGCTTTAAAGAATAAACTTTATTTTTTTAATTTTTTTTTCTTACATAAATGAACAAAAACGGAACCGCTAAAATGAATGATAATCAAATTAGAGCAGAAGGTAGAAGGTTATTTAAACGCTTCTATAACATTCCTGATGGTGTTAATCCTAAAACTCGTAGAAGTTATTTAAATGAAGCAATAGATTCATATGAAGGGTTTGACATTTCATCAGAAAGTGAGAGATTAGCGAGAATGTTAAATGTTAATATTGATTTCTATTATTGTGATCCTCAACCAGAAGACGTGGACATAAATAAGGTAGACTTTCCATTAGTGGAATCAATAATGATAGATCCAGAATTTGAAACAGTAAATATTTTATTAACACAGAGTCCATTGGAAAACTTCACGCTGACAGAATAACAGACGTTGAAGCACTCACCGGCTATAGAGTTTGCCCATATTTTAAAGAAGAAGTTTATTCTATCCGTGATGATCCAGAAAGGAAAAACCAAAGAAGATTTTTAAAGCATTGTGAGAAATGTAAAGAAAATAATGGAAGATTAATTCAAGACGTTCAATTGCAAAAGACACAGCAACCATATGCACCACATATTACGAAACAGAAGATATATCAGTGGTTATTAGCTCATAATTTGCAGGAATATTATCAACCGACAAGATATTATATTACTTTTGACTTTAAACATTAGAGACTAAAGAAGAATTACAACTTTCTGAGTGTGCAACTTTGAATGCTTACTTAAAACCATTCATGGTATCATCAACGGTTAAATTAAACGATAAAACATATACGAGGAATTTTTGCTTAACTTCGAGTGATTCTTTTATTTCTGATTGGATTGAGTTTTTATTTTCAACCTGTTCATTAGTTGCTAAATCAAATATTGAACAATATGAAGAATTAATGAAGTCGCAAACGGACCAAACGGCGGGGACTTTGTCTCATACATTAAATGAAAAACAGAAGGAAGCATTTAAAGAACTTCTAGATGAGGAATTCAATAAAGTGAATATCATAGGTTTTAATTCGGGAAAGTTTGATTTAAATTTAATTCTTCGTGATTTAAACACTGCAAAATGGAAAATAAAATCAATGCTGGGTTCATCTTCACAATTTAAGCAAATCATTGTAAAGAAAACAAACGTTCCATATGAATTGAGATTTATTGACATCAGAAATTATATAGCGGGTGGGACATTAGACCAATTCACTCAAGATTTCGGAAACAATAAATCACGTGTTAAATCCTTTTTCCCTTATCAATTCATCACATGGGAAAATTACGAAGAAGAATTATATAAAGGGAACCATTCACGAAAGATTCATTTTATTCAGCATTAACTCAAGAAACTATATCAGATAGTGATTATCAAATATATCTCAATGATGCTAAAAATTTTAAGAATAGATTAGAATATTTTATTCATTATTGCAATAAAGATGTTGAAATTATGATTGACCCAATTGATAAAATTATTGAAGAAACATTTGTTTATAAAATTGATATGCTTCATAATCTTTCTTTATCATCGAATGCTTCAATGATTCGTTACGCTTTAGCATATAAAGACTTTAATCCTAATGAAAAATATCCTGAGGAAGAGATAGAATCAAGTTTTGAATTAACGAAAAAGTATTGGAAATATAAAATTGAATCATATAAGAAACAAGATGAAAAAGCAGAAAGGGATACTAAAAATAATGTTTCAATGGATGATTTTCAATACTATCACGATTTAATCCTTTCATCTAAATGCAAAATGTGTGGTAAAGCGTTTACATATGCAAATAAACCAACATTGGATAGAATCGATAATGAAAAACCACATACTAAAGAAAATTGTCAGTTAATGTGTTGTTATTGCAATGTCGTAAAATCAAATAAAGATGAAGATGTTCAACGTTTAAGAATCAATTTAAGAAATTACGCATTAAAAAATAATTTACCAATGACTTTAGATTCAGTTGAAGCTTATCACATTCTCCGTAATGGAATTACTGGTGGTCTATCAAATGTTCAACATCGTGTTAATCTTAAAGGAATCACGCACATTAATAAACTTTCATATAATCCAGAAACTAAAACTGTATCAAATGAGGACACCACCAACATTATGACTCATTTCGTTGGTGTTGATTTTAATTCATTATATCCTTCATCATTTTCATCTAATCCTCATGATTTCATTCAATATACTGACCATAAAATGTATATGCCGGGAAGATTGAATGGTGTTATCATTTGTGATACAGCAACAAAGAAAGCAAAAGCATGGGAATTATTAGAAAGAAAAATACTTTATTCGTGGCTGAAGTAAAGGGTCACATTGATGAAAAATACATTAATGATTACATAAACTTTTTACCGATAATAAGAAACTTAGATATTATCACAGATGAAAAAACAATTGGCAGTTTTATGTATAATTACATGAAATCAAACAATCTACCAGTTGACCAGAAACAGAGGAAATTAACTCAATTAGTATCAACACACAACCAATATCAACCATTTTCTTCTTATTATCTTTGGTATCTAATAGACAGATTTCATTTTATCATCGATGATATTCAATCAATTTTAACATTTACGAAAAACACTTGTTTTAATGAATTTGCGAACAAATTTATGAACGAAAGACAAAAGGCTGAATTAGAAGGAAATAAAGGAAAAAGTTTATTTTGCAAAATTTCACTTAATGGATCATATGGTTACGATGCAATGAATACACAAAATTACGCAAAGACTAAAATAACGAATGCACAGAGGGCACGCGTTGCATGTATGTCAAATAAGTTTAAAAACATAAGAGAAATAGGTGAAGATGCATATCAAGTGATGCTTAAAGATAGATTTTATAGATGTGATACATGTTTACAAGAGGCATTCTTCACTTTAGATAATGCTAAATACTGGTATTTAGTTTTCATTTATGATTTTATGTATAAATGCATGGATGTTAATCGTTTTCATTTCATTGAAGGTGATACTGATTCATCTTATTGGGCAATTGCTGGCGACCCAAATCTTCCTAACACTCAAGCATTTCAAGCAATTGTTACCGATAAACAATTTTATGATAAAAACATTTTCAAATTCGCACCTTTTGATTTCTTCTGTTTTGATGAGAAATTTAAACCTAAATTAAAGAATAAAGCTGAAGAAAAAGCACATGAGAAGAAGTTATTGGGTTTAGCAATTGAGAAACAAGGTGATAACATGGTTGCTTTATGTCCTAAGTGTTATACATCATTCAACGGTTCAATTGATGGAAGTGATTTTAAAAAGATTGCACAAAAAATGAAAGGTGTTAGTTTACGACAAAATAAGCAATTAACACCTAAAAAATATTTGGATATAATAAATGATAAAGTGATATTTGATGGTCAGAATATTAATTTACAACTTAAAAACGGGTCAATGACTCGCTTAACAATCGGTAAGACTGCATTAACAGGAGCACACACTAAGGCTGTATGTTGTGAAAATGGATGTTGTATGCCATTTATTTAATACAATTTAAAATTTTATTTTTAATGAAATGCCACAGAAGAGACAAAAGGAACCGTTAATGATTCAAAGAGGTGGGCACCCTTAAACATTTATTTTATTTTTATATAAATGGATAACACAGATTTAAAAATTTTAATTGATGATTTAGTATTTAATCAAAATTTTCTTAGTTATTATGAATTAAAATCATATCTCCAAAAACATAATAAAAATATAACGGGTGATGATATGGAATATTATTATCCATATTATAAAAATGAAGTTTTGAAATATCATAATAAAATAATTTCTGAAATTAAAGACAAAATTAAAAATAATGAATATACAAAGGGAAAAACTAAATCACAACTTAAACAGTTGAAAGATTTCAAAAATAAAGTATTAACAGAAGAAGATATTGATGAATTATATAATTTATATAATCATGAGCCACAAAAACCAAAGCCAAAGGAACAAAAACAAAAGGAACAAAACGCCCAGGTTCTTCAGACCATAAATGATGCACAAGCTTTAATTTATGATTCATTAGTTAAACCATATTCAGCCGACTTTTAAATGAAGATCAACTTTTGGAATTCATCCTTCAACATAAACTCGAAGCGGAAAAGTATATCAAACCTTTATATACAGCATATTTAAAACAAATGAATAGAATACATCCAGAATTAATGAAAGGGGAATGAATTCCAAAATCAAAGCAGATAAAATTAAACCACTTGCAACACCAAAACCTCCAACGACAGTACCGCCTCCTCCTTCAGTTAATCCTTCATCATTCACTTTCTTATATCCATTTCAAACATTAAAGAAGCAAAAAGATTTTAAAAAGGATTTCAAGATATTAAATAAACCAATTGACCCGAAAATTCAACCGTTAAAGGAAAAATTTAGTCGCCCTTCATTTGCACCATATCCATATTCATACGAAATCGATCATCTGGAATATTCAAAAGGAAACGTTACTTATTTATTTGCCATTAACATTAACACTAGATATTTATATTGCATTCCGGTGAAAGGGAAAACAGAACAGGAAACAAGAAGAGCTATACAATACTTACTAGATCATGAAAGAGTAGATAATATAAGGGGTGATGGTGATAAAGGATTTCAGGCAACTATGACTCATTATTTCCCACAAATTAATTTTTTCTTTTCATCCTCTCCATATACGTTTCATAATAAAATAGTTGATGCGGTAATGAGAACTCTTAGAGATGCGTTAGGGGTTAACGGTCAGATATACTGGGATGGAAATCATGACTCCATCATACAACAGTTAGTATATTATTACAATAATACATGGCATAGAACTATAAACATGAAACCAGTGGAAATGAAAAATGATATTTCAAAAGAATGGGAATATATTAGAAAGCAAATGGAAAGGTTGAATGATGTTAAACGAACAAATTAATTCGGGGCTCATGAATTTTAAACAAGGGGATAAAGTTTTGATTCATCTCGATTATGGAAAAACTGATAAATCAATGACAAAAAGAAGACGAAGATTTGACACAATAGCTGAATTTGTTAGATATATTAACGGCAATGCATTAGTTGAAGTTGACAATAAATTAATAGAAATTCCGATTTATTTTATTACTCCATTATATTTAAATAATATTTAATTTTTTTTATTTCGTAAGAAATGAGTGACAATGAAGCATCCAAGAGTCCTGACGATGAATATAAAAAGAAACTAAACAGAATTAAATCAAAAATATGCTATTACAAAAAGAAGCCACAATGTGATGGAACTGAAAACGATAAAGAAATAATTGAAAAATTAGAAACTTACCGTTCAATCCTTAAACTATGTGAAACAAAAATAAAAGAATTTAATAGAATAAATAAATTGCTTGGAAGAGATGAATTTAATAAAGATGAATTTTTAAACTCAATCCAAATTTAATTTTTATTCCTCTTTGACAACATCTCTCTTTCCATCATTACTGCATAACCACATTTTCTCAGTTTTAGTGGTTTGTTATTTTTAGCAAGTTCTCGCATCATTTTATCATTTCCTCCCTTGTTATGATTCGTGGTAAATTTTGAGCTTGTGGGGTATTCATTTATGATAAAAATAAAAATTTGTTATCAGTTATTTTATCGTTAATGGTTTCAGGTTATTCAATAATTAATTATTTTCGAAGAACTGAAGGTGTCACTATGTCACCATGTGTCACCAGGTTAATTAACTTCTCTGAAAAAATGAGACAACATGACATTTTGACAACAACACAGGAGGAGGGCATTTATGAATTATTTTTGAAGAACTGAAGGTGTCACCAGGTCACCAGGTCACCAGGTTAATTAACTTCTCTGAAAAAATGAGACAACATGACATTTTGACAACAACACAGGAGGAAGGCATTTATGAATTATTTTTGAAGAACTGAAGGTGTCACCAGGTCACCAGGTCACCAGGTTAATTAACTTCTCTGAAAAAATGAGACAACATGACATTTTGACAACAGGTACGAAAGGAGGAAGGCATTTATGAATTTTCATGAATTTTCATCGTTAATGCTTTGTCAAACATGAACGTTAATGAGTGTAAATCAGACAAAAATAATGTTTAGGGTAGATGGTTTAGGTCATTCAATAATTAATTATTTTTGAATAACTGAAGGTGTCACCAGGTCACCAGGTTATTTAACTTCTCTGAAAAAATGAGACAACATGACATTTTGACAACACAGCAGGATTAATGCAAAAATAAATTCCAATCATACTTTATAAAGCTTCATTTACAGGTATTTCATCGTCAGTAAATGAATCCTCATTATCGTTTGGTTCAACCTGTTTATATAATCCTTTCATTTCTTCTTTCAAAACATAATACCATGTCTGTTTACCATCTATTTTTCTTTGTTTCCTTTCACATTTATCCTTAATGCTCATTTGAAAGTTTTTGTCTTTCATGTCTGATGGTTTGCAGAATAGAGCATTTTCACACGTCATACCTGCACACAATTCATCATAATGTGTATTTATCCATACATCTAAAGGATTTGTTGATAACTCGATTAAATCTTGTTTGGCTTCAGTCATCGGTATGATTCGTACATTAAATGATGAAAGGTCATATTGCATAAAATATGTTAAAAGGTTATCATAAAATTCCTTTGTGCATGAATCCATTAAATTCTTGAAGTAATCAAATTGACCCTTGAATTTACCATTAACCCTTAAAACTACGTATCTTCTGTCTCCAACTTCAATTTTGACAGGGTAGACGTTGTTAGTTACGAAAATGAAGTTTGCAACGTTCTGAGCAGTTCTTCTGGGTTGATTCTTTTCATTAATTCTAATCTCATTATCCGTTATAATTGATTTCAAAGCGTTGAAGTTTGCGAGTCTATCTTCACCTACATTCTTGAGTTCATTAAGTACAAGAAACATTTTATTTTCAACTACTGAGTTGAAATTACCCGTTAGCTCACTTATTTCAGTAATGTTTTTACATGAATAACCGGCGAGAAGTTCAGAAATAATGTCTGTAAATCTGTTTTTCCTGTTCCCTGAAGTCCTTTCAAAATAATTGCTGTTTCATTCTTGATTCCAGGATGTTGAATCATTGATGCAATCCAGCCGAGAAGGTATTTATACACTTCATCGTTATTATCACAAATGGCTTCTTTAATGAAATCCATAAACATCCCAATTTTTGAGTAATCTGGTTTTTCGAGAATGTTGTATTTATAACCTTGAAACGTTGAGAAAACATCTGGAGAATCAGATTTAAAGCAAACACCCTTAACGGTTAATGAGGATAATTGATTTAATAGTACGTCCCATGCTGTTATGGTTTTACCTTCTTCTTTAAATAATTTAATCATTTTAAGTGACTCTTTCATGTTTGATTGAAGAACGAATGATATTTGATTCATTTTGTCGTGTATGTTGTAATCTTTCTGAATGAAGTATTTGTTTCCACAATCTACAAAGCGGATTACACGTGATAAATCCTCAATGACTTCAGAACTGTTTTTATACTGATGATTTTCAGCTTTACGTCTAATATCTGTTATCAAAAACGAGTCATCAAGTTCGATATCAAATGTTATTTTTGGCTTACGTAATAAAGGTAAAACATATTCATCATAATATTCCTTTTGATAAAGTTTTAGAATCTTCACTAAAACAAATGGAGAAGTCATTAAATGTGCATATCTACTACGTGCTTTTTCAAAATTACTTTTTGCATTTTCTGTTAAGCTGCAGAAGTTATAAACGTTATCGTATGCTTCATTAATTAAATGATTAGGTAACGAATTAATTGCTTGAAACAGTGTGAATAATGTTATTTCTTTTTCTAAATTCATGTTTCCACCGTCATTATGTACTTCAAAATCACAGATGCCATCAACTATGCTCTGGGCAAGTTTATCGTCAATGTTTACATCTTTGTTTTCATTCATGATAGTCTTTATTTCTTCGTTCTTCTGTTCAACTCTTACCTTAATATTCAAATCATTTAATATATCATTTACGGTTCTAGTTAATGTTGAGTCATAACTTCCACGAATGAATGAGTATGTATTGATTGGTTCTGTTGCATTCTTGCGAACTCTTGAATCGGCCATAACTACTAAAGAACGTTTTGAATCATCAATAGAAGTCATTATATCAATATCATAATCATTGCAGGAATAACATTTAATCATTCTGTTCGAGGTTGAATAGAAGAAATTAGTGTTGCAATAAATGTGAAGACCTCCTGAAGCAGTTTTAACGATAACATCTTTATCCGAAAGTTTTGATAGAATGTCTTTTCTAACTGTTTCTTTAAGTTCATCATTGTATGATTTATTGATATCAACATCTATAATCGTTAAATTTGAAATTTTATTTACTAATAAAGCCATACCAGTTTTCCTTCCTCTTCCTCCATCGTGTTTGAGGTAGTTATATAAATCAATCTTGTTTTCACCAATTCTTTCGTTGAGGGTTTTAGTTTCTGCCACAACTAATTCCTCAGCTAATGAATCAATAACTTTTTCATCAGAAATGATAAAGTTGCTGTTGTTGTTTGTTGCTGTCATTTATATAGGAATAAAAAAATAAAAATAATTTTAAAACTAACTTTATTTTTGGACTGCATCAAATTTCCAGGACTGTTGTCAAAATGTCATGTTGTCATCATTTTTCAGAGAAGTTAAATAACCTGGTGACACATGGTGACATAGTGACACCTTCAGTTCTTCAAAAATAATTAATTATTGAATAACCTGAAAACCATGAGACTTTGTCTCCGGACTCTTTGAGTCACTTAACGTAAACATTAACGTAAACATTTATTTCCAGGACTGTTGTCAAAATGTCATTTTGTCTCATTTTTTCAGAGAAGTTAAATAACCTGGTGTCACTATGTCACCATGTGTCACTCGGTTATTCAAAAATAATTCATAACGTATATCACGTTAAACGTTTGTAAATCTTGAGGGTAGAAATGAGGTTAGAAATGAGGTTAGATCTAACATTCTAACCTAAACATTATTTCCTCCTGTGTTGTTGTCAAAATGTCATGTTGTCTCATTTTTTCAGAGAAGTTAATTAACCTGGTGACCTGGTGACCTGGTGACACCTTCAGTTCTTCAAAAATAATTCATAAATGCCCTCCTCCTGTGTTGTTGTCAAAATGTCATGTTGTCTCATTTTTTCAGAGAAGTTAAATAACCTGGTGTCACTATGTCACCATGTGTCACTCGGTTATTCAAAAATAATTCATAACGTATATCACGTTAAACGTTTGTAAATCTTGAGGGTAGAAATGAGGTTAGAAATGAGGTTAGATCTAACATTCTAACCTAAACATTATTTCCTCCTGTGTTGTTGTCAAAATGTCATGTTGTCTCATTTTTTCAGAGAAGTTAATTAACCTGGTGACCTGGTGACCTGGTGACACCTTCAGTTCTTCAAAAATAATTCATAAATGCCCTCCTCCTGTGTTGTTGTCAAAATGTCATGTTGTCTCATTTTTTCAGAGAAGTTAAATAACCGAGTGACACATGGTGACATAGTGACACCTTCAGTTCTTCAAAAATAATTAATTATTGAATAACCTGAAAACATTAACGTAAACATTAACGTAAACATTTATTTCTGCAGTTCATCCATTACTTCATTACCTAATTAATTACAGACATAAAATATATTTAGTTCATTCGGTAAGCCTTGACCCAAAAGTCTGGGCTCAAGCACATTCAATGAACGCGGTACCATGCAAATACAGTCACAAATGGTGGCATGTAATCTTTACCCGAGCCTGTTGGATTTGTTGTGAAAGTATGGACATGATTTCCTCCTGGTTCAGTTGGTCGAAAAGTCTTTTTTGCTGAATGGTTATAATCTGGAGATAAAACATCATAGCCAGCTTCATATTCTGAGTTGTATAATGGGTGGTCTCTTAATGAGTGGCTATGGTCGCCAGAAAAGTTTGTAGTTCCTGTATGAGTGTGCGGGGGTAAGTTTGCTTCTTTAATTTTCTTCGAACCTCCTGTTTGCTTTGAATATCTAGCACAGTATAAGAATTTATCCACAATCTGCTTCCACGTACCAAAACCTAAAACTTCTGAAGGATTTGTTGAGTTCATTGACGTATAAATAGAACCAACAGGATATAATGTTTGAAGTATTTCTGTCTTTAATGTTTGAAGCTCTGTTTTGTCAGCTTTCTTCTCTAACTCATCGTTAACATAAGGTTTATCTGCTTTAAGGTCTAAACATCCCGAAACCCATTCTGTATCAGCTTTAACTTTAAAAGTCTCCGATGTCCATTCATGATACCATTCAACCTTTTCTTTAATTTCATTATCTTTTTCATCAACATAAACCAAAGTTGCCTTCTTATTTAACTCACTATCCACATATTCCTTATCTACCTTCTTCATTATGTCATTTAGGAAACCTTCTATGAATTCCTCATTTAAATTAAATCTTCCAATCTTCAAAACTTTAGGAAATGCATTTAATGCGTAATATCTCTGTTCTTCTGGTGGAATTGATGTTATATCATCCGTTATTCCTATAATTTTAGAATTCATAAATAAAATTTCTTTTATATTTGATATCACTGCACCACCTTTGCAAACGAATTCGAAATGTTCATTTTTCAATACTATCTCCAAATCTCCATATTTCAACCTTTGCGTTTGTTCTGCCGTCTTTGAATTATATGCATATATGGCGTATGTAATGGTCTGAGGGACCTGGGCGCTTTGTGCCTTAAGTTGCTGTGGTTGCTGTTGTTTAATCATTTATTATGATTTAAAAATAAATATTTAATCTGTTATCTCATCACCTATTTTTTCTATTTGAAATTGCCATAATATTTCATTCATGAATTCTAAATCACAATCAAATAGGTCAGTTATTCTAAATTTAATATTTGATAAATCTTTTGAATGAAGAATAAATGAATTCCCGGATAATTGAAACGGATATGATAAAGAAAATGTGTTTAAGTTGATGGATAAAATGTTTTGTATTGATGGGTAAGAGTTAGGGTCTAATGTTTGATGTGAAAATCTCATTGGGGTATTAACTTTATCACATTTGATTAAAATGAAATTGGAACCAGTGTCAGAATACAAAACATCCCCAACATCTTTTTCAAAATTTAATATCCCCAACATTGAACGAAAATGAGGAGTACAAAATTTAATTTTCAGCGGAATTTAATAAGGTTATTTATTTCATCAAGTTCAAAAAGTTTATCAGGTTTTGATTTAAAATTTTCTTCATACCATACGATAAATGATTCATTTAAATAACTTAAAATCATGTTAATATCCCATTTCGTTATCACATTATTTATATACATATCATACGTTTTTTCATGGTCATCTTTAATAAATGATATATAATCTGAAGGGTCTAAAAGAATTGGATTAAATTTACCACTCACAGAAACGAGAGTAACATTATAAATTCCGCTAACTGTTAAATTTAATTCACAGCTATTATTCGAAATAATATTGATAATTGACATTTTTATTATGATTAAAAATATGGTAAAGCGTTATTTTCCAGTGATAAATAAAACTAGAATAAGATTACCTCAAGAATTCATAAATTCAACGAATAAGAAATTCATTCATGTTATAAATTTTAGTGTTTTCAGAAAATATGAGTCAGTGTCATATTCATCAACAGGTTATATTTCACTTCATTCAAATTTAGTTCAATCAAACCCATATAATGACCATTTCATAAGATTTTCAAATGGTATTAAAAATGTAATTGATAGATTAAAATATGAACAGATTGACAATATCGAATTTTTGGAATTTTGGTTTAAATATCCCGATGGAAAAAAGATTGAAGTTAAAGATAAAGCTGATACTATAACAAAAACAATTACAATGACCGATCCGGATAGTGGGGAACAAAAAGAAATAAAACAAACGATAGAAACTGGTGAAAGGTCAATTATTATTGATTATGATTCAAAGGATTATTATTCGATAATGTTAATGCTTGAATATTAAATAGCCTTAACAAAGAATTTTTCAAGTGATATTTTATATTCATCAACTATTTTATTATAAATATCATTATATGTTAAATGAAGTTCAGTTGTTGTTCCGTTCTTTGATATCTTAATTGTGCTAATATCCTTTATAGGATTTATTTTTGCAACTGTTCCGCAGCATGAAACCTCATCATCTATGAAAAATTGAATCTTAACGTCTGAATCTTGAACATCACAAAGAATGGCGAAAATGTGAATTAATGATTCATAAGGTAAAATAATTAAACCGGATTGGTCAATTAAATTTATTATTGAATCATAATTATTATTTATTATATCACGGTAAATTTTCATTAATTCTGAATTAATGTCTATTTTATATGGGTTCTCGATGTTTGATGAAAGAGGTGGGGGGTATGTTGGATAAGTGGGAATTTCAACAGGTTCTTTACCAGGTTCAGATAAAATGATTGGGTCTTCATTCTCATGGTTTTCTTCATTCTCCTCATTCTTTGGTAAGTCACGAGATGAAATCTGATTTAATAAATTTGGTTGAGTTGCTGACCTTGTTAATTCAGGGCTAACATTAACTTTAACATTTTGAATAATTCGTGATTTATCATCATTTACGTTATAACCAACCGTAATCTCTGCTTTTGCGTTAGTGTTCTTTTGACTAGTGAAACGTCTTCTCATTTATAATCGAATAAAAAAAATATATTTAAACTTTTATTTTGCTGGAACTTTTGAATCTATTATTCCCTGGATTTGTTCATGAGGTTGATTTTTAGCATTTTCATCGAAATTAATAGACCGAATATATTCATTAATTGCATTCTTATAATCATCTGATTTCTCAAATTTTCTTTTATCTGATTCCTTAACTAAATCATAAGTTAAACCTCGTTGCTGATATAATGGTTTCTTAATTAAATCTTTGAATGCTTGAGATAAAGCACCTGATGCAATTCTTGCTACTATAATTGGTTGGAATTGCTGTTTAAGTTCATCTTTAACATTTGCGAAAACTGGATCGAATAAAGCAACTTTAAAGAATTTCTTAGCTGAAATTTCAGGTCTAATATTTGTATATTGACCATCAAACTGGTTAGAATATCGTGGTAATCCATCCAGTCCCTCTTCAATAGCATTTAATTCTTCATTGAAATAAGAATATGGATTACCACGGTATGAATTAATTGGACCATTTTCACCTTCTCCAATGTATTGTTTAACAGCTTTTCCATTTTCATCAAATTGTATAGGATAACGTTCATTATATGCTTTACGTTTAGGATAATCAGATATAGTTAATTTATAACCATTTATGACTTTAATATTACCTTGACCATCAGTAACGAAAACTTCATTTATACCATCAGGTTTTCCATTTGGACCCGTAATGTCTGCTTCGTGTGCTTCCCAATTTGGACCATGACGTTTGGCATATGCTTGAGCTTCTGGTAATGTTAAAACGTTTCTCATTTGTTTAACATCTTTTTGAAGACCAGCAACAATATAAACTAATTCTTTCATTCCATCAGGAACTTTCATAGTTCTATTATATGTACCCTTTTTGTTTGTCCCTTGTTTTAATGGAACCTGTAGAAGATTTACCATTTCTGTCATGTTTAATTATAAATAAAAAATAAAAATTAATTATAAAAAGTTAATCAAATTTAACACCTCCTTTATTTAAATCAACTATTATTTTTCCATGTTCACCTAATTGCTGATATTGTGTGTAAAGTTCATTAATGCTCATTGGTAAATTCACTTGATAAAGCATAACGTTCAACTGTTGACGACTAAACCCACTGAAAATGAAAAGTGTTGATAGATTTGATTTAATGTTTGTGCTTAATGCTTTGAAGTATTGAACAGCCATGAAGAATGAACACTGAATGTGTCGACATTGAGTTAATAACTGATTAAAATATGATTTCTCATTTGTTATTAGTTTTGATTTCACCGCATCATCTAGAAAAATGAGTGAATGCAAAAATTCTCTATCAAAATTTGAAATAGAAAGTGTTTTCAAATAATTCATCCCGTTGTTTATCAATAATTTTATCCTCTAATCCTTGCTTCTTGATTGTATTATATAATTCTTTATACATTAAAAAGTTTTTTAAATAATCTTCTGCTTCTTCTTGTGATAAATAAATAATTGGAATTTTGATTAAATGCTTTAAAGATTCAAATGTATCATCTGAAGGTGAACCTGAACGGTTGATATAAATTAACACATGTGAATGGGGGAAGTGTTAGCAATAATGATAATTTGTTTTAATATCGTTAATGTTTTACCTTTATTTTGTTTACCAATTGCTGCAGTGATTGAATTTAAGTAACATTCAGAATATGGAATTTTCATTAATTTTTCCTTAGATAGAGCATTTCTATTATCACTCAATGCTTCATTAATCATATCATCTACGTATGTATTATATACTCCTGCTAATTCTTCATAAGGGGTGGATGAATTTAAATCCATTTAATCAAAAATAAATTTATAATTTTAAACATTTCTATTCATCAATATTTCATCATATGAACTTCTATACTGTGGTGGTGTACCTGTTGGATGATATTTCAAACCTTCATCCGGTGTCCATGTCCAATATGTAGTCCTAGTAAACCAAACCTGAGGAGGATTTGTCACTTTTGAACAGTAAGTGTCATTTTCACCCTGAATGATTGGATAAGCTTTCACTTGTACTGTAACTTGTGAGTTGAAAGTTTCTAATCCATCAAAGAATATACCCGCTCCATCACGTTGAACTGGAATAGTGCATAAGAATGAAGTTTGGTCTTTCCATGTTCTAGCTAATGGCGTGCCATTATCATCATTCAGTGGTCTAGTTAATGAGTCCTCATATTCTTCTGTGCATTCATTCACTCCATCTAAATCAGAAGCTTGAAGCATACGTGTAAAGAATATGTCACCCACTGTGGTCATCGCTTGATCGGGGAAGTTTCTGGAATCTATAGTGACCTGAAGACCTCGAAGCATTGGATTTTCTAAAACTGTTCTTTGCATTGCATTCTTCGGAAATGTTAACACAACATCTGTAACATTATGAAGAGCGTATGAGAAATCTGAGCTAATACCTTCAGGAGTGATGCAACCTCCATTTAGTGAACGAACGTCAATATGTTGAGCTGGAATCATGAATGGATCTTCCTTACTGAATAAACGTGGTATTGCTTTAACTGATTCTTCAATTAAACCGTATCCTGGTGTAATGCATTTATCCTCTAAAACTTCCATCTTTGTGCATGAAATAATAACGTCATCAACTGTTGCGTCAGCAGATGTAGCGGCTAAGCTTGTAATTAATTTGGTAGGAAGTCCGATTTGTTGGAATTTGCGATCATATTTATAAACATGATTCATAATCTTTTCATAATTTTCATCAGTTATCTTTTCATAAACGTAATTTTGTAAATCAGCAACTCTTAACGGGTCAACCTGACAAAATACTAAAGTATCCCTGAAAACATAATATTTAAGAATGATATCACCAAATGATTTAGGATAATCATCGAACGCCTGAAATGCTAACAAATCATTTACCGGAATAATCATATCAAAAGTGACATCAACTTCTTCATTTGCTTTCTTGAAAACTTCTGAAGGGTCAATATATTTACCACATACTGAGTTATCATATTTTTGAACATTATTATATAACGAATGAACAAACTTTTTAACTTTCCTTTCTGATTTTGGTTTATATGTTGCAAATGCGAAAGATTCACGGGCACAATCCATCTGAAGATAACCGGCATCACCTCTTTCGGTTTCTACTTCTAATTGTTTAAAGCTTTGATTTGATGATTTGTAACCAACGAATAAACGCATGCATTTAAAAGCAGCATCACATGTGAAAGCTTTATTTGAAACTAGAGTTGCTTTAACTTTGCGTTTAATATATGTGTCACCTAATTGGTTCACATCATGAGCCGGATTTGTAATTCTTAAATGAGTTTGTTTATCATCAAAATATGGAGCATCAGAGTCATAGCATGAACTTTCAAGTTCTCTATAATATCTTCTACCATCATTCTTTGCGAATATTTCATTTATCTTTTCGAATGAATGAAACACATTTCCATTAATCGGTTTAGTGTTTGGCACCAAATAGTTAGTCGTCATTTATTAATAAATAAAAAATCAAAATTAAAAGATGAAAATGAATTTTTTAATTTTAATGAAATAATCAACTATGGCTGCGGGTATATTTAAGAAACTGTGGGATAGAGTAAAAAGAGGAGCGAGTAAAGTTTGGGAAACATTGAAGAAGGGAGCAAATTGGATATTTAAGAATAAAGAAGCAATTAGTGACATTGCTGAATCAATAACACCAAAAGCTGCCCCAATAAGAGAAGTTTTAAATAAAGGAGAAAAAGTTTATCAAAGACTTCAACCGATACTAAGATAAAAATAATATTTATTTATTTTTCCACTATCTACCTCCTATTTTATTAAGTATTCCTTCAGCAATTCCACCAACTCGTTACCTGCTTGTGCTCCCATCGCTGGATTACCTGCTTTAGTACCTAATACTCCACCTATGATAGTTCCTGCCGTTTTCGCTACTGGTGCCAAAAAGTTTGCAACGGGTTTAATAATCTTTTTATAAACCCAACCCGCAGCTTTCTTAATTCCTTCCCATAATTTTTTAAAGAATCCTGCCGCCATTTCTGATTTAATATTAATTAAAAAATGTATTTCATCACTTATATTCTAATTTTTATTTAATGGTAAATGAAACCGATTTTAAAAATAAATGAAACAGAGGAGGAAGAAATAAGTAAAGATGCTCAACAAAAAATAAACGTTGTTAAACCAATTACTGAAATAAAAATTTTTTCATCTGTTGAAGAATTTAATGACTATTATGCTAATAATAAAAAATTATTTGAAGAATTGACAACGTGTAAATTGAATAAAATGTTTAAAGTTGATGGATTCAAAATTTCAAAAATAAAAGGGGTGGTTAGTTTGAAATCTATTCCTCAATCAAGAATCACCGCATTAATGAAAATTGATGATTTAACAAAAAGAATAGAAGAGATTGAAGAAAGAATAAATCAAATAATTGATTTCATAAATTCAAATAATCATTAATTTCTTAAAGTTCAATGTTGATTCTGAGACATGAATTTTTAAAGTTTATTTTTTTATTTTTTATTTCATTATGGTAGTGAATCTTTCATTCATGAAAATAATTCACAGTCTTCCTTTTTAAATTGAAGTTTAACCCATTCAGGATTTAAACAATGTTTAATTAATCGCGGAATATCTGACATCATCTATATATAGCTTCTTTTATAAAAGATAAAAAATAAATTATTTTAAAATTAATGTTAATTTTTAATGTGTTTATAAATAAATATATTTTAATGCATCGTCTATATATAGATGTAACAAAAAAAGTCACACAACCCTTCCTATCCTACTACTTCTGAATTCAGTTTTTCAGAACATGTCTTATCCATCATATGCATGCAATATATTACATACTTATAAGACCTTCACTTAAATTTTTCATTTTAAACAAGTTTTTAACATGATATCGAGTGAGCAACAATACACAAGTCAAAATTTGGCATAACTTATCGCATAATAGCCCTTTAAACGAATATTAATATACAATTAGTTTTTCTGTTCAAAACTTCGAGAAGAAAATTTAAATGTGAAAAATCGTTTAGAATATGTTAACAATAGGAACCATTTCTATGAAATTTTAGCTGTATTATCTTTAAAAAGAGAGAATTATTTAAGTCATAAAAACAGAAAACAGGGATTTTTTTATTCAATATATTTTGAGAATGGAGCATTTCTAATTTTATCTTTGTATTCATCATAGTTTTTCACGGTGAGGTCGGTTAAGGACTGCATCGTGGTAAACGGCACCTGTTGATAAGGATGCAAATGATATTGTAATCTATTTCTCCATGTATCATAATCTAATACATAACCATATGGGCAAATCATAGGCCTATGGAAAGGTAAATTCGTCAGGGGATCGCAATATCCTCTTAAAGGATTTTGTGTCTGATCTATTGGGTCAAATAATGGTTGACCAATTCTATGAGTAATTCCGTCCTTAATGAACATAATTCCAGTAAATGTTCTTTTTTCTTTCGATTTTCTTCTACGCTTTTGAGGTTGATCGAATGCATTACGCTTCTTCAACTCTTCATATATAAATTCACATTGTTCTAAGGTCCATTTAAAACTTTCTGCTAATACATTTTTATCCATATCATCCCAACTATCTTTTAGTATGCGAACAACTTTATTATAGTATTGGGTAGTCCATTTATCTATATCTGGCATTTGGGATCTCTTTATCGCTGCTAATCTATCTTCGGGTGAGAGATCAATTAAAGGAGAGTACTTTGGGCTTTCACCACTCGACGAATTTTGAAATTTTTGCTTAAACTTGTCTGCTTCTGCGCCGACAAAGGCAATAAGTTCTCTTTTGAACCCTTCATCTCTCAAATTTGTTTCCATTTCTGGTACGGTGAGTTTATAGGTATTCAAAGCGGCGAAAAAGTGCAAAGGAGTTCCTTGGGGCCATATTTTAAGCCACTGTTTGTAATAAGCATTAACTGTATTTATTCTTCGTTGAAATAAATCTTGATTAAAACGTTCTACATATTTTCGAGTTTGTTCATCTGGCATATTAATAAAAGATGCCTTGAAACATTCTACGTCTTTTAGTTTAAGAGGACCATCGATATATTGCGCCGATGAGAGCATACATGAGTTCATCAAAATTTTGGTTATGCAGTTTTTGAATTCAAAATTTGAATTTTGTTTCGATTTCTTTATCAATTAATAATGAATTATTATGTTTTGAGAAAAATTTATAGAAATTTATATGGAAGATTTTTCAAAATTTTCATAGTTTTTTTGGATTTTTTAAGATAACTTTGAGCTAGAATTCACATTTGGATTTATATAACCGAGAAATTGTTTGACTAGTTTACAAAATCTAGTTTTGAGAAAATGAAAATTCTGCCATAAAAAGTCAACAAGACAAAAAAACTTATTTAATGGAAATGGGATAGTGTTCTAACTCGTTTTTTTCCGATAAATCAGTTATCCTTCCACTTCTTTTCAAAAGTTTATCCTACAAAAAATTAAAGAGATATAAATGTTCTATTAAACAAAAATAAACACCGATAAATTTTGAATTTCCCTCAAAAATGCATCGCTGAATAACCTTTTTATCAGGGGCCAGATAGAATTTATTCCATAATTTCATGAAAATGAATATTATCCCTTTTTCCGCTCTCTATGTTTGAGTAAATCCCGAATATTCAATCCTTAATATGAGATTATATGAAATTAATCATTCACCTTATATATACTATATTTTGTAAAAATATTTCTGATATCCTGCTTCTCATATACTACTTTCATTTTATAAATCTTTATACAAATTTAGCCAATATTAATGGAATAATTGATCTACACGTTTGTGAGGCGATTTAGGGGCTATAGAATGCTTTTGAACCTCTTAATTATGTTTTATCAATGAATATTTTTAACAATTAATTTGAAAAATTTATTTACGCGTTTTTCTAAAATATTGTTTCTTTAGTGCTCGGCTTCTAATATTCTTAGATCCGATTTTTAATTTGAGATCAAAAGCACGCTATGTTTTCTTTGAGAATAACTTTTTCTGCCTGAAAATTAACTGCATTCAATTTTTGTGAATTATTGAATATATTCGTAATTAAATTTTTATTTAATGATGAGTGGAGATTATGAAAAATTAAAAAATTTGAGAAAAATGGATAACCTCGCATAAAATCATTTTTGTGAATGGAAAGTTTACCTGTTTGGGAACCTGGTGAGGAACTGGCCAACTGTCTTTCACATGCTGTTATGGTTCCTATCACAATTTATTTAACAACTTACCTAATTAAGCAACAAATGAAAGTTCACGATAGAGTCAATATTTTTGGTGTTACAGTATATGGATTATGCGTTCTTTTCCTCTTTTTAAATTCATCATTATATCATGGGTGTACATACGAACCTGTTAAACGGGTTTTAAGATACATTGACCATTGTACAATTTTCTTCCAAATTGCTGGCTCCTATACTCCATGTGTATTATATGCTATGAGAACATATACAGGAATTGCTCTTCTTATATATATTTGGGTATTTGCTGTAATAGGTATCGTTTCAAAAATCTTTTTCTTCGATAAAATAGAAGGCACTTACATTTATCTTGCAATGGGATGGAGCATCATTGTTTGTATCAAAGAGTTCAACAGATCGTTTGATTTTTCGCAGAAATTATGGATTGCTTTAGGCGGCGTTAGTTACTCAATCGGCTGTATCTTTTTCGAGATTGATAAGCCATTTTTCCATTTAATTTTCCACTTCTTCATCTCTGGAGGAGCTCTTTGTCAATTCTACGCAATCTATCTACTTGGTGAAAGATTCTTAAATAACTATAATAAAAAGGATTCGAAAAAATAAGTACACTTTGTCCTTTTAAATAAAAATCTATCTTGATAAATTTTGTTTTTTTGTTTTGCACCCTTTACTAACCGACATATTTTCATTGAAATAGCATGTCCTTATAATTTCATTGTGATGGCTCAATTTTATTTGTTAAATCACATTCTTGACATAAAAAAGCATTTAGTTGCATACCAATATTTAATAGTGTACTTGTTTATATTTTTGTTTTCCACAATAATTTCAAATATCTTATCAACAAATCTATCTTTTTTCCTTGTCTATAATGATATTTTTTTAGAAAATATATGTGTTAATATCATTTTATAATTGAAGCCCATTAATTGGCTAACAAGACCACTATCATCGTTTGACAGTATACGAAAAAAGTGGGTCTTAAAATCATTTTGGGTCTTATTTTTAACCGCAAAATCCCCACAATTTTGAATACTTTGGCAAAAAAACTTGGAAAAAATAGCGTCTACATACTATGTATATTAAGATTTTGCAAAGTGTCAAAAAATAAAATTTTTTTAAAAAAAATTTTTAGGGAGTTCGAAAAAAGTAATGATTGTAAGAGATGGGAAGTATTTACGCTTGAAGTCGGAGTGGATCTGAAAAGCATTTGTAGAGGTGCATATCTTAGTATGCAAAATTGAGATACTGTGTTGAAATCTACAAAATTCAAAATCTGACACAAGTCTCTCTGACCATATTATACTCGATTCTTTCTCTGTTGTATTGGATTTAATGAAAATGCTCGTTAATAGATACACATTTATTTAAAAATGATATCCGTTATTAAATCATATGCTTTGTGGGCGCAGAAACTTGTGTTTTCGACTTTGTGAGTTGGTAATGAGCGATACGAATGGGTCAGTTTTGTTAGTAATGTCATCTGTGAAAAAATCGTTAATTGAACAATATGTAATAATTTTTGAAAATGAAGTAAACAGTATATTGAAATGTGCAGTATTAAGCTACTCTTTGACCTTGTAAGTTTTGATCAATTATGAAGCTGAAGGTATATTTGCAGGTAAGCAAGTTTGGGGAAAAATCTTATAGCTAAAAATAAAAATTGTACGAAATAATTATGTGGTTCATTTGCTAAGGTGCTTTATTTTGGGGGTCAGAAAAATCAGGTTCGAATCCGAATACATCTTATTTTTTCTTTTTTCATTATATCAATAAATTGTATTATCCCCAAGAATTATTTTAATAAGAATCAATTTGGAATTTGATCCATGAATAATATATTTCGTATTTAGTAGTAGGATAGGATGGGTTTAGTGACTTTTTTTGTTACATCTATATATAGACGATGCATTAAAATATATTTATTTATAAATCATTAAAAAAATTAACATTAATTTTAAATAATTTATTTTTTATTCTTACATAAATGACCCAACAAGTAAAACCAGATAAAATAGATTATCGAATTTTAGAGGATGGTGTTCCTGTTTATATTCAAAGATTTAAAGGGAAGCAATATTATAGAATTGTTAATCCTGAATATCTTAAACATTTATTTAAAAAGGAAGACTGTGAATTATTAAACGTTAATGAATATGAAACCAATAAATCAAAATTGAAATATAAATATATTGGAAGTGATGAAAGGTGTAAAGATAAAGATAAAGTTTATTCAGTTTCATATAATGAATGGAAAACCAATAAGATAAGAAAACATTTAGGAGATTATAGTAGTATATGTTGAAGGGTTGTGTGACTTTTTTTGTAAACGTAAGAATTCATACAATATTGAACGATTTTGTATCATTTTTTTTAACATATGAAGTAAAAAATGTATGATTCTTACGGTTTTTATTCTTACGTTTTTGAATAAATCAAGATTTAAAAAATTGACTTCTTACGTAAAATTAAAACTAAGTTAAATTTATTTTTTTTATTTTTTATTTAATGATAATGAGTATAACAACTAATTCATTGAAATCTTTAAAGTTCACTAATTCAGAATTAGAAAATATTTTAGAAAATTTTGGAGACGGTTCTTATCCAACATATATGCAGAATGTGAAAGAGTTTTTCCAGATTGTTGAATGAATTTAAATATAACGGACCAATTACTAAAAAGGCTATAATGAGATATTTATATCCCAAAAAAAGTTGAAAAACAGGAGAATATTCCTCTTTATGGTCCAGAGGACCTGGGCTCAGAGAGCCTTGAAAACACCTCCTGAATATTTTGAAGAAAAAATTAAACAAGATGAATATTATAACGATGAGATTGAGAAATTGGAACAATTAAGAAATGAAATAGATGAAAAAATTAAGGAATTGAGAATGCTGAAATGAAGTAGAGGGTTTAATGAATATCCCAGCTTCAGAATCAGAAGTTCAAAAATCACATGAGGAAAGATATAAAAATTACTTTTTGGAATCTACTAAAAATTTATTAGATGGTGATATTGACGAAACACTTTCAGAAGAAGGCACAAAATTTATTCATAAACATAAGTTACAATTTATTGACGATGGAGATTATCCATGTATATTACTTTCACCTCCTCTTGATTCTGAAAAATTCAAAAAAGCACTGAAAAATGTAACATATGCAACAAATACGATTAAGAAAGAAGACCATGATATTTAACACAATATTTTATTTAAATAAATGTACAGGTGTTGATAAAGTTTTTGATTTGTTAGATAAAATATCAAAAGAAACAATTGGAACTATAAAATTTTATGTGATTGTGGTTTCATTATTGAAGATACCAATAATGTTTCATATGAAAGAACAGCACCGAAGGAAGACGAAGTTGAAAGGTCTATACCATTCGTTATTAAGAATAAAAAGATATGAAAACTTATAAACATTATATTTATTCATTTATTTCAGAAAAAATGGAAGCAACCCATAAAACATCTTCTCATCATTTTATAGCTATTCATACATTCCTTTTCAAAGTTGTGAAATTAAATAAGACAGGAATTAGATTTAATGTATCAGGGTACGCATTCTTGAGTAAATTAAAATGTATTCGTCACGTCGCAGATGATAAAAATTTATGTGTTCTTAATTCATTTTATGGACTTTAGCCCTGGACTCTCTGAGTCTCGGACTTTAAAAAAATAAACTTTATTTTTATTTATTTTTTAATTTTTATTCTTACATAAATGAACAAAAATGGAACAGCTAAAATGAATGATAATCAAATAAGAGCCGAAGGTAGAAGGTTATTTAAACGCTTCTATAACATTCCTGATGGTGTTAATCCTAAAACTCGTAGAAGTTATTTAAATGAAGCCATAGATGCATATGAAGGATTTGACATTTCATCAGAAAGTGAGAGGTTAGCAAGAATGTTAAATGTTAATATTGATTTCTATTATTGTGATCCTCAACCAGAAGACGTAGACATTAACAAGGTAGACTTTCCATTAGTGGAATCAATAATGATAGATCCAGAATTTGAAACAGTAAATATTTTATTAACACAGAGTCCATGTGGAAAACTTCACGCTGACAGAATAACAGACGTTGAAGCACTCACCGGCTATAGAGTTTGCCCATATTTTAAAGAAGAAGTTTATTCTATCCGTGATGATCCAGAAAGGAAAAACCAAAGAAGATTTTTAAAACATTGTGAGAAATGTAAAGAAAATAATGGAAGATTAATTCAAGACGTTCAATTGCAAAACACACAACAACCATATGCACCACATATTACGAAACAGAAGATATATCAATGGCTATTAGCACATAATTTGCAGGAATATTATAAACCAACAAGATATTATATTACTTTTGACTTCGAAACATTAGAGACTAAAGAAGAATTACAACTTTCTGAGTGTGCAACTTTAAACGCTTACTTAAAACCATTCATGGTATCATCAACGGTTAAATTAAACGATAAAACATATACGAGGAATTTTTGCTTAACTTCGAGTGATTCTTTTATTTCTGATTGGATTGAGTTTTTATTTTCAACCTGTTCATTAGTTGCTAAATCAAATATTGAACAATATGAAGAATTAATGAAGTCGCAAACATTAAATGAAAAACAGAAGGAAGCATTTAAAGAGCTTTTAGATGAAGAATTTAATAAAGTGAATATCATAGGTTTTAATTCGGGAAAGTTTGATTTAAATTTAATTCTTCGTGATTTAAACACTGCAAAATGGAAAATAAAATCAATGCTGGGTTCATCTTCACAATTTAAGCAAATCATTGTAAAGAAAACAAACGTTCCATATGAATTGAGATTTATTGACATCAGAAATTATATAGCGGGTGGGACATTAGACCAATTCACTCAAGATTTCGGAAATAATAAAACACGTGTTAAATCCTTTTTCCCTTATCAATTCATCACATGGGAAAATTACGAAGATGAATTATATAAAAAGGAACCATTCACTCAAGATTCATTTTATTCAGCATTAACACAAGAAACAATATCCGATTCAGATTATCAAATATATCTCAATGATGCTAAAAACTTTAAGAATAGATTAGAATATTTTATTCATTATTGCAATAAAGATGTTGAAATTATGATTGACCCAATTGATAAAATTATTGAAGAAACATTTGTTTATAAAATTGATATGCTTCATAATCTTTCTTTATCATCGAATGCATCAATGATTCGTTACGCGTTAGCATATAAGAACTTCAATCCTAACGAAACATATCCAGAAGAAGAAAATGTGGAATCAAGTTTTGAATTAACAAAAAAGTATTGGAAATATAAAATTGAATCATATAAGAAACAAGATGAAAAAGCAGAAAGGGATACTAAAAATAATGTTTCAATGGATGACTATCAATACTATCACGATTTAATCCTTTCATCTAAATGCAAAATGTGTGGTAAAGCGTTTACATATGCAAATAAACCAACATTGGATAGAATAGATAATGAAAAACCACATACCAAAGAAAATTGTCAGTTAATGTGTTGTTATTGCAATGTCGTAAAATCAAATAAAGATGAAGATGTTCAACGTTTAAGAATCAATTTAAGAAATTATGCATTAAAAAATAATTTACCAATGACTTTAGATTCAGTTGAAGCTTATCACATTCTCCGTAATGGAATTACTGGTGGTCTATCAAATGTTCAACATCGTGTTAATCTTAAAGGAATCACGCACATTAATAAACTTTCATATAATCCAGAAACTAAAACTGTATCAAATGAGGACACCACCAACATTATGACTCATTTCGTTGGAGTTGACTTTAATTCATTATATCCTTCATCATTTTCATCTAATCCTCATGATTTCATTCAATATACTGACCATAAAATGTATATGCCGGGAAGATTGAATGGTGTTATCATTTGTGATACAGCAACAAAGAAAGCAAAAGCACTGGGAATAATTAAGAAGAAAAATACTTTATTCGTGGCTGAAGTAAAGGGTCACATTGATGAAAAATACATTAATGATTACATAAACTTTTTACCGATAATAAGAAACTTAGATATTATCACAGATGAAAAAACAATTGGCAGTTTTATGTATAATTACATGAAATCAAACAATCTACCAGTTGACCAGAAACAGAGGAAATTAACTCAGTTAGCATCAACACACAACCAATATCAACCATTTTCTTCTTATTATCTTTGGTATCTAATAGACAGATTTCATTTTATCATCGATGATATTCAATCAATTTTAACATTTACGAAAAACACTTGTTTTAATGAATTTGCGAACAAATTTATGAACGAAAGACAAAAGGCTGAATTAGAAGGAAATAAAGGAAAAAGTTTATTTTGCAAGATTTCACTTAATGGATCATATGGTTACGATGCAATGAATACACAAAATTACGCAAAGACTAAAATAATGAATGCACAGAAGGCACGCGTTGCATGTATGTCAAATAAGTTTAAAAACATAAGAGAAATAGGTGAAGATACATATCAAGTGATGCTTAAAGATAGATTTTATAGATGTGATACATGTTTACAAGAGGCATTCTTCACTTTAGATAATGCTAAATACTGGTATTTGGTTTTCATTTATGATTTTATGTATAAATGCATGGATGTTAATCGTTTTCATTTCATTGAAGGTGATACTGATTCATCTTATTGGGCAATCGCTGGCGACCCAAATCTTCCTAACACTCAAGCATTTCAAGCAATTGTTACCGATAAACAATTTTATGATAAAAACATTTTCAAATTCGCACCTTTTGATTTCTTCTGTTTTGATGAGAAATTTAAACCTAAATTAAAGAATAAAGCTGAAGAAAAAGCACATGAGAAGAAGTTATTGGGTTTAGCAATTGAGAAACAAGGTGATAACATGGTTGCTTTATGTCCTAAGTGTTATACATCATTCAATGGTTCAATTGATGGAAGTGATTTTAAAAAGATTGCACAAAAAATGAAAGGTGTTAGTTTACGACAAAATAAACAATTAACACCTAAAAATTATTTGGATATAATAAATGATAAATTGATATTTGATGGTCAGAATATTAATTTACAACTTAAAAATGGGTCAATGACTCGCTTAACAATTGGTAAGACTGCATTAACAGGAGCACACACTAAGGCTGTATGTTGTGAAAATGGATGTTGTATGCCATTTATTTAATAAAATACCACAGAAGAGACAAAAGGAACCGTTAATGATGGTTTTGATACTATGATTCAAAGAGGTGGGCACCCTTAAAACATTGATTTTATTTTTATATAAATGAATAACACAGATTTAAAAATTTTAATTGATGATTTAGTATTTAATCAAAATTTTCTTAATTATTATGATTTAAAAGCATATCTCCAAAAATATAATAATAATATAACGGGTGATGATATGGAATATTATTATCCATATTATAAAAATGAAATTTTGAAATATCATAATAAAATAATTTCTGAAATTAAAGACAAAATTAAAAATAATGAATATATAAAGGGAAAAACTAAATCACAGCTTAAACAGTTGAAAGATTTCAAAAATAAAGTATTAACAGAAGAAGATATTGATGAATTATATAAATTATATAATCCCGAGCCGCAAAAGCCAAAGGAACAAAAACAAAAGGAACAAAAACAAAAGGAACAAAACACCCAGGTCCTTCAGACCATAAATGATGCACAAGCTTTAATTTATGATTCATTAGTTAAACCATATTCAGCCCGACTTTTAAATGAAGATCAACTTTTGGAATTCATCCTTCAACATAAACTCGAAGCGGGAAAGTATATCAAACCTTTATATACAGCATATTTAAAACAAATGAATAAAATACATCCAGAATTAATGAAGGAGGATTGAATTCCAAAATCAAAGCAGATAAAATTAAACCACTTACAACACCAAAACCTCCAACAGTAGTACCTCCTCCTCCTTCAGTTAATCCTTCATCATTCACTTTATTATATCCATTTCAAACATTTAAGAAGCAAAAAGATTTTAAAAAGGATTTCAAGATATTAAATAAACCAATTGACCCGAAAATTCAACCATTAAAGGAAAAATTTAGTCGACCTTCATTTGCTCCATATCCATATTCATACGAAATCGATCATCTGGAATATTCAAAAGGAAACGTTACTTATTTATTTGCCATTAACATTAACACTAGATATTTATATTGCATTCCGGTGAAAGGGAAAACAGAACAGGAAACAAGAAGAGCTATTCAATACTTACTAGATCATGAAAGAGTAGATAATATCAGGGGTGATGGTGATAAAGGATTTCAGGCAGCTATGGCTCATTATTTCCCACAAATTAATTTTTACTTTTCATCCTCTCCATATACGTTTCATAATAAAATAGTTGATGCGGTAATGAGAACTCTTAGAGATGCGTTAGGGGTTAACGGTCAGATATACTGGGATGGAAATCATGACTCCATCATACAGCAGTTAGTATATTATTACAATAATACATGGCATAGAACTATAAACATGAAACCGGTGGAAATGAAAAATGATATTTCAAAAGAATGGGAATATATTAGAAAGCAAATGGAAAAGTTAAATGATGTTAAACGTGAACAAATTAATTCGGGGCTCATGAATTTTAAACAAGGAAATAAAGTTTTAATTCATCTCGATTATGGAAAAACTGATAAATCAATGACAAAAAGAAGACGAAGATTTGACACAATAGCTGAATTTGTTAGATATATTAACGGCAATGCATTAGTTGAAGTTGACAAGAAATTAATAGAAATTCCGATTTATTTTATTACTCCATTATATTTAAATAATATTTAATTTTTTTTATTTCGTAAGAAATGAGTGACAACAAAGCAGTCAAGAGTCCAGACAATGAATATAAAAAGAAACTAAACAGAATTAAATCAAAAATATGCTATTACAAAAAGAAGTCGCAATGCGGTGGGGTTGAAAACAATAAAACTAATGGAACTGAAAACGATAAAGAGAGGAAAGAAATAATCGAAAAATTAGAAACTTACCGTTCAATCATTAAACTGAGTGAAGCAAAAATAAAAGAATTTAATAGAATAAATAAATTGGTTGGAAGAGATGAATTTAATAAAGATGAATTTTTAAACTCTATCCAAATTTAATTTTTATTCCTCTTCGACAACATCTCTCTTTCCATCATTACTGCATAACCACATTTTCTCAATTTTAGTGGTTTGTTATTTTTAACATGTTCTTGCATCATTTTTATCATTTCCTCCCTTGTTATGATTCGTGGTAAATTTTGAGCTTGTGGGGTATTCATTTATGATAAAAATAAAAATTTAAATTATGCCGTTCTAAAGTTTGTGACAACATGACATTTTGACAACATCATGGGTTATTCAATAATTAATTATTTTTGAAGAACTGAAGGGGTCACCAGGTCACCAGGTCACCAGGTCATTTAACTTCTCTGAAAAAATGTGACAACATGACATTTTGACAACATCATGGGTTATTCAATAATTAATTATTTTTGAAGAACTGAAGGGGTCACCAGGTCACCAGGTCACCAGGTCATTTAACTTCTCTGAAAAAATGTGACAACATGACATTTTGACAACATCACAGGAGGAAGGCAAAAATAAATTCCAGTCATACTTTATAAAGCTTCATTCACAGGTATTTCATCGTCAGTAAATGATTCCTCATTATCGTTTGGTTCAATTTGTTTATATAATCCTTTCATTTCTTCTTTCAAAACATAATACCATGTTTGTTTACCATCTATTTTTCTTTGTTTCCTTTCACATTTATCCTTAATGCTCATTTGAAAGTTTTTGTCTTTCATGTCTGATGGTTTGCAGAATAGAGCATTTTTACACGTCATACCTGCACATAATTCATCATAATGTGTATTTATCCATTCATCTAAAGGATTTGTTGATAACTCGATTAAATCTTGTTTGGCTTCAGTCATCGGAATGATTCGTACATTAAATGATGAAAGGTCATATTGCATAAAATATGTTAAAAGGTTATCATAAAATTCCTTTGTGCATGAATCCATTAAATTCTTGAAGTAATCAAATTGACCCTTGAATTTACCATTAACTCTTAAAACTACGTATCTTCTGTCTCCAACTTCAATTTTGACAGGGTAGACGTTGTTAGTTACGAAAATGAAGTTTGCAACATTCTGAGCAGTTCTTCTGGGTTGATTCTTTTCATTAATTCTAATCTCATTATCCGTTATAATTGATTTCAAAGCGTTGAAGTTTGCGAGTCTGTCTTCACCTACATTCTTGAGTTCATTAAGTACAAGAAACATTTTATTTTCAACTACTGAGTTGAAATTACCCGTTAGCTCACTTATTTCAGTAATGTTTTTACATGAATAACCAGCGAGAAGTTCAGAAATAATATCTGTAAATCTGTTTTTACCTGTTCCCTGAAGTCCTTTCAAAATAATTGCTGTTTCATTCTTGATTCCAGGATGTTGAATCATTGATGCAATCCAGCCGAGTAGATATTTATACACTTCATCGTTATTATCACAAATGGCTTCTTTAATGAAATTCATAAACATCTCAATTTTTGAGTAATCTGTTTTTCGAGAATGTTGTATTTATAACCCTGAAACGTTGAGAAAACATCTGGGGAATCAGATTTAAAGCAAACACCCTTAACAGTTAATGAAGACAATTGATTTAATAGTACGTCCCATGCTGTTATTGTTTTACCTTCTTCTTTAAATAATTTAATCATTTTAAGTGACTCTTTCATGTTTGATTGAAGAACGAATGATATTTGATTCATTTTATCGTGGATATTATAATCTTTCTAAATGAAATATTTGTTTCCACAATCTACAAAACGGATTACACGTGATAAATCCTCAATTACTTCAGAACTGTTTTTATACTGATGATTTTCAGCCCTGCGTCTAATATCTGTTATCAAAAACGAGTCATCAAGTTTGATATCAAATGTTATTTTTGGCTTACGTAATAAAGGCAAAACGTATTCATCATAATATTCCTTTTGATAAAGTTTTAGAATCTTCACCAAAACAAATGGAGAAGTCATTAAATGTGCATATCTACTACGTGCTTTTTCAAAATTACTTTTTGCATTTTCTGTTAAACTGCAGAAGTTATAAACGTTATCGTATGCTTCATTAATTAAATGATTAGGTAACGAATTAATGCTTGAAACAGTGTGAATAATGTAACTTCTTTTTCTAAATTCATGTTTCCACCATCATTATGTACTTCAAAATCACTGATGCCATCAACTATGCTCTGGGCAAGTTTATCGTCAATGTTTACATCTTTGTTTTCATTCATTATACTCTTTATTTCTTCGCTCTTCTGTTCAACTCTTACCTTAATATTCAAATCATTTAATATATCATTCACTGTTCTAGTTAATGTTGAATCATAACTTCCACGAATGAATGAGTATGTATTGATTGGTTCTGTTGCATTCTTTCGAACTCTTGAATCAGCCATAACCACTAAAGAACGTTTTGAATCATCCATAGAAGTCATTATGTCAATATCATAATCATTGCAGGAATAACATTTAATCATTCTGTTCGAAACTGCATAGAAGAAATTAGTGTTGCAATAAATGTGAAGACCTCCTGATGCGGTTTTAACGATAACATCTTTATCCGAAAGTTTTGATAAAATGTCTTTTCTAACTGTTTCTTTAAGTTCATCATTGTACGATTTATTGATATCAACATCTATAATCGTTAAATTTGAAATTTTATTTACTAATAAAGCTGTACCAGTTTTCCTTCCTCTTCCTCCATCATGTTTGAGGTAGTTATGTAAATCAATCATGTTTTCACCAATTCTTTCGTTGAGGGTTTTAGTTTCTGCCACAACTAATTCCGCAACTAATGAATCAATAACTTTTTCATCAGAAACGATAAAGTTGCTGTTGTTGTTTGTTGCTGTCATTTATATAGGAATAAAAAAATAAAAATAATTTTAAAACTAACTTTATTTTTGGACTGCATCAAATTTTCTGTGTTGTTGTCAAAATGTCATGTTGTCACATTTTTTCAGAGAAGTTAAATGACCTGGTGACCTGGTGACCTGGTGACCCCTTCAGTTCTTCAAAAATAATTAATTATTGAATAACCCATGATGTTGTCAAAATGTCATGTTGTCACATTTTTTCAGAGAAGTTAAATGACCTGGTGACCTGGTGACCTGGTGACCCCTTCAGTTCTTCAAAAATAAGTCATAACTGCCTTCCTCCTGTGATGTTGTCAAAATGTCATGTTGTCACATTTTTTCAGAGAAGTTAAATGACCTGGTGACCTGGTGACCTGGTGACCCCTTCAGTTCTTCAAAAATAAGTCATAACTGCCTTCCTCATGTGATGTTGTCAAAATGTCATGTTGTCACATTTTTTCAGAGAAGTTAAATGACCTGGTGACCTGGTGACCTGGTGACCCCTTCAGTTCTTCAAAAATAATTAATTATTGAATAACCTAAATCATTTACTCACAATATTTTTGTACAAAACGACCCCAAGCTTTTAACTTCTTTTCTGTAGTTCATCCATTACTTCATTACCTAATTAATTACAGACATAAAATATATTTAGTTCATTCGGTAAGCCTAAACCCTTTGGGTTAAGTGTGTTCATTGAACTCTATACCATGCGAATACAGTCATAAATGGTGGCATGTATTCTTTACTTTGTCCCGTTGTTTGTGTATATCCTGAAACGAAATGTGTATGGTTTCCTTCTCCCTGAGTGTCACTCCAGTAACAATTTATAGCAAACTTAACGTCGTCTTTAACATCATATCCTTTACCTTTTGTCATTCCTGACCAATCCCAATATCTATGCTTATGCCAACCTGCTTGAGATGTACTTAAATCTATGTAGTGACTGTGTGCAGGTAAATTTTCACCTGAAATCGTTTTACTTCCACCTGTTTCCTTTGAAGAGTTTGCACAATACAAAAACCTGTCAACTATTTGTTCCCATGCACCAACACCAAACATTACTTGAGGACCTCTTGCATCCATAGATGTATAAATAGAACCTACTGGGTTCATTAAATCAAACATATGAGATATTATAGGATTGTCTCTTTTGAACTTAAAATATAGTGTAACTATTTCAGGTTTCTTCTGGTTTGTGTCAGAATATTTTTATAATATAATCTTATGTTTTCAGGGTAGGTAAAATCTTGACTATAATATTTATTTCTGTCATCTGTATAATAATATACTATTCTCGTTTTTTCTATTGCATTATATCTTTTATATCTATAATAATCTAAATATAATGTTAACTTTTGTTCATCTACATGTGGTGTTCTGACATCATCTCCATAGTCATAATAATATGGTGCTGGAGCTGGGTCAGGCAATGTCATATCTGCCATTTCATAAACTCTTAAATATTTCTTTTGTTCGTCTCCATATAAGTTTAAGTAGCAGTTGTTGTCTAATGGAACTTTAACTTGTGTGCCATCATTCTTTTTATAACTTACATACATTTCATTGTTATTTTTCGGAATGAGTTTCCACCGTATACCATTTTTTAAGGAGTGTACAAACTGCCATCTAAAATATTTATTTTTTTCATTGACAGAAAAGTCGCCAACAATAGTTTCAATATTTTTTGTTCCTATCAAACTTTGGGATATTTCGTTAACATATGTTTTATCTGCCTTCTTCCCTAACTCATCGTTAACATATGTTTTATCCGCTTTAAGGTCTAAACATCCTGAAACCCATCCTGTATCAGCTTTAGTTTTTAAAATCTTTGATGTCCATTCATGATACCATTCAACCATTTCTTTAATTTCATTATCTTTTTCATCCACATATTCCTTATCTGTCCTCTTCTTTAACTCACTATCCACATATTCCTTATCTGCTTTCTCCATTATGTCATTTAGGAAACCTTTTATGAATTCCTCATTTAAATTAAATCTTCCAATCTTCAAAACTTTAGGAAATGCATTTAATGCGTAATATCTCTGTTCTTCTGGTGGAATTGATGTTATATCATCCGTTATTCCTTTAATTTTTGAATTCATAAATAAAATTTCTTTTATATTTGATATCACTGCACCACCTTTGCAAACGAATTCGAAATGGCCATTTTTCAATATTATCTCCAAATCTCCATATTTCAACCTTTGCGTTTGTTCTGCCGTCTTTGAATTATATGCATATATGGCGTATGTAATGGTCTGAGGGACCTGGGCGCTTTGTGCCTTAAGTTGCTGTGGTTGCTGTTGTTTAATCATTTATTATGATTTAAAAATAAATATTTAATCTGTTATCTCATCACCTATTTTTTCTATTTGAAATTGCCATAATATTTCATTCATGAATTCTAAATCACAATCAAATAGGTCAGTTATTCTAAATTTAATATTTGATAAATCTTTTGAATGAAGAATAAATGAATTCCCGGATAATTGAAACGGATATGATAAAGAAAATGTGTTTAAGTTGATGGATAAAATGTTTTGTATTGATGGGTAAGAGTTAGGGTCTAATGTTTGATGTGAAAATCTCATTGGGGTATTAACTTTATCACATTTGATTAAAATGAAATTGGAACCAGTGTCAGAATACAAAACATCCCCAACATCTTTTTCAAAATTTAATATCCCCAACAATGAACGAAAATGAGGAGTACAAAATTTAATTTTCAGCGGGAATTTAATAAGGTTATTTATTTCATCAAGTTCAAAAAGTTTATCAGGTTTTGATTTAAAATTTTCTTCATACCATACGATAAATGATTCATTTAAATAACTTAAAATCATGTTAATATCCCATTTCGTTATCACATTATTTATATACATATCATACGTTTTTTCATGGTCATCTTTAATAAATGATATATAATCTGAAGGGTCTAAAAGAATGGGATTAAATTTACCACTCACAGAAACGAGAGTAACATTATAAATTCCACTAACTGTTAAATTTAATTCACAGCTATTATTCGAAATAATATTGATAATTGACATTTTATTACGATTAAAAATATGGTAAAGCGTTATTTTCCAGTGATAAATAAAACTAGGATAAGATTACCTCAAGAATTCATAAATTCAACGAATAAGAAATTCATTCATGTTATAAATTTTAGTGTTTTCAGAAAATATGAGTCAGTGTCATATTCATCAACAGGTTATATTTCACTTCATTCAAATTTAGTTCAATCAAACCCATATAATGACCATTTCATAAGATTTTCAAATGGTATTAAAAATGTAATTGATAGATTAAAATATGAACAGATTGACAATATCGAATTTTTGGAATTTTGGTTTAAATATCCCGATGGAAAAAAGATTGAAGTTAAAGATAAAGCTGATACTATAACAAAAACAATTACAATGACCGATCCGGATAGTGGGGAACAAAAAGAAATAAAACAAACGATAGAAACTGGTGAAAGGTCAATTATTATTGATTATGATTCAAAGGATTATTATTCAATAATGTTAATGCTTGAATATTAAATAGCCTTAACAAAGAATTTTTCAAGTGATATTTTATATTCATCAACTATTTTATTATAAATATCATTATATGTTAAATGAAGTTCAGTTGTTGTTCCGTTCTTTGATATCTTAATTGTGCTAATATCCTTTATAGGATTTATTTTTGCAACTGTTCCGCAGCATGAAACCTCATCATCTATGAAAAATTGAATCTTAACGTCTGAATCTTGAACATCACAAAGAATGGCGATAATGTGAATTAATGATTCATAAGGTAAAATAATTAAACCGGATTGATCAATTAAATTTATTATTGAATCATAATTATTAATTATTATATCACGGTAAATTTTCATTAATTCAGAATTAATGTCTATTTTATATGGGTTATCAAGTGGTGCTGGGTATGTTGGATAAGTGGGAATTTCAACAGGTTCTTTACCGGGTTCAGATAAAATGATTGGGTCTCCATCTTCTTTATTTTTCCTCCTCCTTTTTCGGTAAGTCACGAGTTAATAAATTTGGTTGAGTTGCTGACCTTGTTAATTCAGGCTAACATTAACTTTAACATTTTGAATAATTCGTGATTTATCATCATTTACGTTATAACCAACCGTAATCTCTGCTTTTGCGTTAGTGTTCTTTTGACTAGTGAAACGTCTTCTCATTTATAATGAATAAAAAAAAGAAAAATATATTTAAAGTTTTATTTAGTTGTTACGGTAATATCCCAAGGTTCATCCTTGTTTGCTTATACTTTCTTTGTAACTGCACCAATTATGTTATTGATATTGCTTTGAGTTTCTTCCAGTCTTATTTTATCATTTACAATATCTTTAATCATTTCATTACATGCATTCTTAAAACTATCTGATTTTTCTAATTTACGTCTATCACTTTCTTTAATTAAATCAAAGTTATAACCTTGTTGAGAATAAAGTGGTTTCTTTATCAATTCCTTGAACGCTTCTGAAAGTGAAGATGAAGAAATTCTTGCCACTTGAATTGGTTTAAATTCTGCTTTCATTGCTTCTTTCTGTTCATTGAACACTGGATCGAATAAAGCAACTTTAAAGAATTTCTTAGCTGGAATTTCAGGTCTCAAATATGCATATTGACCATCAAACTGATTAACATATCGTGGTAATCCATCCGGTCCCTCTTCAACAGCATTTAATTCTTCATTGAAATAAGAATATGGAATAAGATGGTATGAATAATTGGACCATTTTCACCTTCTCCAATGTATTGTTTAACAGCTTTTCCATTTTCATCAAATTGCATAGGATAACGTTCATTATATGCTTTACGTTTAGGATAATCAGTATAGTTAATTTATAACCATTTATGACTTTAATATTTCCTTGACCATCAGTAACGAAAACTTCATTTATACCATCAGGTTTTCCATTTGGACCCGTAATGTCTGCTTCATGTGCTTCCCAATTTGGTCCATGACGTTTGGCATATGCTTGAGCTTCTGGTAATGTTAAAACGTTTCTCATTTGTTTAACATCCTTTTTGAAGACCGGCAACAATATGAACTAATTCTTTCATTCCATCTGGAACTTTCATAGTTCTATTATATGCACCCTTTTTGTTTGTCCCTTGTTTTAATGGAACCTGTAGAAGATTTGCCATTTCTGTCATGTTTAATTATAAATAAAAAATAAAAATTAATTATAAAAAGTTAATCAAATTTAACACTTCCTTTATTTAAATCAACTATTATTTTTCCATGTTCACCTAATTGCTGATATTGTGTGTAAAGTTCATTAATGCTCATTGGTAAATTCACTTGATAAAGCATAACGTTCAACTGTTGACGACTAAACCCACTGAAAATGAAAAGGGTTGATAGATTTGATTTAATGTTTGTGCTTAATGCTTTGAAGTATTGAACAGCCATGAAGAATGAACACTGAATGTGTCGACATTGAGTTAATAATTGATTAAAATATGATTTCTCATTAGTTATTAGTTTTGATTTCACGGCATCATCTAGAAAAATTAGTGAATGCAAAAATTCTTTATCAAAATTTGAAATAGAAAGTGTTTCAAATAATTCATCCCGTTGTTTATCAATAATTTTATCCTCTAATCCTTGCTTCTTGATTGTATTATATAATTCTTTATACATTAAAAAGTTTTTTAAATAATCTTCTGCTTCTTCTTGTGATAAATAAATAATTGGAATTTTGATTAAATGCTTTAAAGATTCAAATGTATCATCTGAAGGTGAACCTGAACGGTTGATATAAATTAACACATGTGAATGGGGGGAAGTGTTAGCAATAATGATAATTTGTTTTAATATCGTTAATGTTTTACCTTTATTTTGTTTACCAATTGCTGCAGTGATTGAATTTAAGTAACATTCAGAATATGGAATTTTCATTAATTTTTCCTTAGATAAAGCATTTCTATTATCACTCAATGCTTCATTAATCATATCATCTATGTAGGTATTATATACATCTGTTAATTCTTCAGAATTGAAATCCATTTAATCAAAAATAAATTTATAATTTTAAACATTTCTATTCATCAATATTTCATCATATGAACTTCTATACTGTGGTGGTGTACCTGTTGAATGATATTTCAAACCTTCATCCGGTGTCCATGTCCAATACGTAGTCCTAGTAAACCAACCTGAGGAGGATTTGTCACTTTTGAACAGTAAGTGTCATTTTCACCCTGAATGATTGGATAAGCTTTCACTTGTACTGTAACTTGTGAGTTGAAAGTTTCTAATCCATCAAAGAATATACCCGCTCCATCACGTTGAACTGGGATTAGTGCATAAGAATGAAGTTTGGTCTTTCCATGTTCTAGCTAATGGTGTGCCATTATCATCATTCAGTGGTCTAGTTAATGAGTCCTCGTATTCTTCTGTGCATTCATTCACTCCATCTAAATCAGAAGCTTGAAGCATACGTGTAAAGAATATGTCACCACTGTGGTCATCGCTTGATCGGGAAGTTTCTGGAATCTATAGTGACCTGAAGACCTCGAAGCATTGGATTTTCTAAAACTGTTCTTGCATTGCATTCTTCGGAAATGCATATAACATCTGTAACATTATGAAGAGCGTATGAGAAATCTGAGCTGATACCTTCAGGAGTGATGCAACCTCCATTTAGTGAACGAACGTCAATATGTTGAGCTGGAATCATGAATGGATCTTCCTTACTGAATAAACGTGGTATTGCTTTAACTGATTCTTCAATTAAACCGTATCCTGGTGTAATGCATTTATCCTCTAAAACTTCCATCTTTGTGCATGAAATAATAACGTCATCAACTGTTGCGTCAGCAGATGTAGCGGCTAAGCTTGTAATTAATTTGGTAGGAAGTCCGATTTGTTGGAATTTGCGATCATTTTAAACATGATTCATAATCTTTTCATAATTTTCATCATTATCTTTTCATAAACGTAATTTTGTAAATCAGCAACTCTTAACGGGTCAACCTGACAAAATACTAAAGTATCCCTGAAAACATAATATTTAAGAATGATATCACCAAATGATTTAGGATAATCATCGAACGCCTGAAATGCTAACAAATCATTTACCGGAATAATCATATCAAAAGTGACATCAACTTCTTCATTTGCTTTCTTGAAAACTTCTGAAGGGTCAATATATTTACCACATACTGAGTTATCATATTTTTTGAACATTATTATATAACGAATGAACAAACTTTTTAACTTTCCTTTCTGATTTCGGTTTATATGTTGCAAATGCAAAAGATTCACGGGCGCAATCCATCTGAAGATAACCGGCATCACCTCTTTCGGTTTCTACTTCTAATTGATTAAAGTTTTGATTTGATGATTTGTAACCAACGAATAAACGCATGCATTTAAAAGCGGCATCACATGTGAAAGCTTTATTTGAAACTAGAGTTGCTTTAACTTTGCGTTTAATATATGTGTCACCTAATTGGTTCACATCATGAGCCGGATTTGTAATTCTTAAATGAGTTTGTTTATCATCAAAATATGGAGCATCAGAGTCATAGCATGAACTTTCAAGTTCTCTATAATATCTTCTACCATCATTCTTTGCGAATATTTCATTTATCTTTTCGAATGAATGAAATACATTTCCATTAATCGGTTTAGTGTTTGGCACCAAATAGTTAGTCGTCATTTATTAATAAATAAAAAATCAAAATTAAAAGATGAAAATGAATTTTTTAATTTTAATGAAATAATCAACTATGGCTGCGGGTATATTTAAGAAACTGTGGGATAGAGTAAAAAGAGGAGCGAGTAAAGTTTGGGAAACATTGAAGAAGGGAGCAAATTGGATATTTAAGAATAAAGAAGCAATTAGTGACATTGCTGAATCAATAACACCAAAAGCCGCCCCAATAAGAGAAATATTAAATAAAGGAGAAAAAGTTTATCAAAGACTTCAACCGATACTAAGATAAAAATAATATTTATTTATTTTTCCACTATCTACCTCCTATTTTATTAAGTATTCCTTCAGCAATTCCACCAACTGCGTTACCTGCTTGTGCTCCCATCGCTGGATTACCTGCTTTAGTACCTAATACTCCACCTATGATAGTTCCTGCCGTTTTCGCTACTGGTGCCAAAAAGTTAGCAACAGGTTTAATAACCTTTTTATAAACCCAACCTGCAGCTTTCTTAATTCCTTCCCATAATTTTTTAAAGAATCCTGCCGCCATTTCTGATTTAATATTAATTAAAAAATGTATTTCATCACTTATATTCTAATTTTTATTTAATGGTAAATGAAACCGATTTTAAAAATAAATGAAACAGAGGAGGAAGAAATAAGTAAAGATGCTCAACAAAAAATAAACGTTGTTAAACCAATTACTGAAATAAAATTTTTTTCATCTGTTGAAGAATTTAATGACTATTATGCTAATAATAAAAAATTATTTGAAGAATTGACAACGTGTAAATTGAATAAAATGTTTAAAGTTGATGGATTCAAAATTTCAAAAATAAAAGGGGTGGTTAGTTTGAAATCTATTCCTCAATCAAGAATCACCGCATTAATGAAAATTGATGATTTAACAAAAAGAATAGAAGAGATTGAAGAAAGAGTAAATCAGATAATTGATTTCATAAATCATGACTCGTTGAGCCCGGGTCCTTAAAACCCATCACTGAGTTCAAGGTTATATTCATCAAATATTTCATTATTAAATGCAACTTCTGCTAGTTTATTTATTTTTTCAATACGATCATTTGAAAGTCTATCGTTTAATTTTTTCTGAAGTTTTTCATTTTCTAGTTCTGAAACTTTATTTGGATGATATTTAAACCCGTTAAATTCTTTTTCCTCAGTTTTGATCATTAATTTACAAAGAACTTTTGTGGTTGGAATTCGTTTAAACCATTTATCATTAATATTTGTTATAAATTCAATATTCGGAATTAATTCCCAAATTTTTGCATTTTCAATTAATTTATTATCAAATGCAAAAGCAATAGGTTTAATATTAAACTTACCTTTATAATATAAACTTTCTACATAATCATCGAAATAAACATCTACTTGTTTAACATTTTCAAGAATTGGTGAAAGAGCATCCATTAATTGATTGACGGTTACGAATCTTGATCCACTCATTTTCTTACGAATTAAAAAATAAAAAAATAAATTTAACTTAGTTTTAATTTTACGTAAGAAGTCAATTTTTTAAATCTTGATTTATTCAAAAACGTAAGAATAAAAACCGTAAGAATCATACATTTTTTACTTCATATGTTAAAAAAAATGATACAAAATCGTTCAATATTGTATGAATTCTTACGTTTACAAAAAAAGTCACACAACCCTTCAACATATACTACTGATTATGGTAAAAGTTCCGAATTCTTCAAATCTAGTATGTACGAGAGAATAAAAGAAATTAGAAATAATTATTTTCATGAATAAAAGATTCACTACCATAATGAAATAAAAATTTTTTTAAAAATAAACTTTAAAAATTTATGTCTTACATTTTTCAATAATTTATTTTTTATTTTGTATGAAATTTTCACAAACCCTTTACATAATGAAACTTTTTTTGTTACATCTATATATAGACGATGCATTAAAATATAGGGTGTCCAAAGGTGCGTTTAGCACAGCGCTCTATATGAGACTATTAAAGGAGATATATGCTGATTATAAATATATAATAAAAAATATGAATATATGTATATGATGAGTATGTTGTATTTTGGCGCCATGCCGGGATATAAAATGAATTTTGAGACAAGAGGCGGTTTCGCGGGAAATTTTGGCGGGATTTTTTTCATTTTTTTAATGAATCATAAAGAAAACATCCTCGCTCTTGCAAAAAAATGCAAAGACTGTAAAAAAATCTACGAGACATTGGTAAAATGCTTCGGTATAGATGCTCCTAGCTATTCCACTGTAACGTATCATGTTAGGATGTATCACTTCATGAACAAAAAGGCGCTCATCATAAAAATTGACAAAAAATCGCCGGATCAAAGAAAAATCAAAGCAATTCTTCAAGCGCTAGATGAAGACCCAAGAGCATCACTCAGAAGGATAGAGGAGATGACAAAGATACCACGTACAACAGTCAGTTATTATCTGCACAATTATTTGAACTACAAACTAGCGTATACACGTTGGGTTCCGCACAACCTTAATTCAGTTCAAAAAAAATCTAGAGTCCAATCTTCGAAAGAGCTCCTCTCTATATTGGGTGCATATCAATCCAAGAAGTTTCGCTTTTTAGTAACAGGGGACGAGTCTTGGTTTCAATATGCAACAGAAGCCAAAATCATGTGGATCCCGAAGGATGAAAATCCGCAAACATTCCCGAAGAAAAAAATTGACACACCAATGATGATGTTGTCGGTTTTTTGGGGCGTGAATGGCATCATCGCAATTGATATTCTTCAAAAACCTAATACGATGAATGCTCAGTATCTAATTGACAATGTTCTTACTCAAATTATCAATTCGGATGAGTTTGAGAAATCCAAACAACAAAAACAAAAGTTTGCAATTCATTTTGATAATTCAAGAGTTCACAAAAGTCATAAGGTAATGAATTACTTGTTGGAAAACAATGTCAAAGTTGTTCCAAACCCAATTTATTCACCTGATATTGCACCCTCTGACTTTTATTTATTCGGCACGCTAAAAAAGAGAGCTGAAGGACGCGAATTCGCGAGTCCAGATGATCTTGAAAATTTTGTAAGAGAGCAATTTGAGCAATTTTCTCATGATGATTTAAAGCGTGTCTTTCAAGCCTGGATCGATCGCTGCGAACGCGTGATTGAATCCAATGGTGATTATATTTAAATAAACTTTATATATATGTAACTTGTTTATTTCTATTCGCAGTATTCAGGTTTGTGCTAAACACACCTTTGGACACCCTATATATTTATTTATAAATCATTAAAAAAATTAACATTAATTTTAAAATAATTTATTTTATCTTTTATAAAAGAAGCTATATATAGATGATGTCAGATATTCCGCGATTAATTAAACATTGTTTAAATCCTGAATGGGTTAAACTTCAATTTAAAAATGAAGATTGTGAATTATTAAAAAAATATGAAAGCCAAAATAAGCTAATGATTATTTGAATTTATGAAATCAATTATTTGATTCATTCTTTCTTCAATCTCTTCTATTCTTTTTGTTAAATCATCAATTTTCATTAATGCGGTGATTCTTGATTGAGGAATAGATTTCAAACTAACCACCCCTTTTATTTTTGAAATTTTGAATCCATCAACTTTAAACATTTTATTCAATTTACACGTTGTCAATTCTTCAAATAATTTTTTATTATTAGCATAATAGTCATTAAATTCTTCAACAGATGAAAAAATTTTTATTTCAGTAATTGGTTTAACAACGTTTATTTTTTGTTGAGCATCTTTACTTATTTCTTCCTCCTCTGTTTCATTTATTTTTAAAATCGGTTTCATTTACCATTAAATAAAAATTAGAATATAAGTGATGAAATACATTTTTTAATTAATATTAAATCAGAAATGGCGGCAGGATTCTTTAAAAAATTATGGGAAGGAATTAAGAAAGCTGCAGGTTGGGTTTATAAAAAGGTTATTAAACCCTGAACTAAATCCAGAACTTAACGTTCCCAGAAGTTCAAACACTTGCTGTTTAATGTATGTTGACCATATAACATTACAAGACCTCATAAAATATCAAGGTGTCAAATGTGAAGTGTTGCAAGGATACTATTACGATGGAAACAGAGATATTAGAATAAGAGATGAAGTAAAGAAGTTGTTTGAGTTAAGGTTAAAGTATAAGAAAGAAGGAAATCCTTTGCAAGAAAATATAAAGCTCATTCTGAACAGTATTTATGGCAAAACTATTCTATCTCCTATTGAGTCAAAAATAACCATAGTAAATGACAAAGATGCTATAAGATATGCAATCAGAAACTACAACCATATAGTGAAGTTCGAAGGTTTGGATGGTTCAGATAAAACTATTTTCAAGCTAACGAAAAGCATTTGCAGACACTTTAACTTCTGTCCACTTGGTGTTAACATTCTGTCTATGTCGAAGAGAATAATGTGTGAAGTATTCTGTACTGCTGAGGACTTAGGAATGGACATCTTTTATAGCGATACCGACAGTATGCATCTCTACAATGAAGATATCCCTCGTTTAGCTGAAGAGTTTGAGAAACGTTATGGAAGAGTTCTCATTGGTAAAAACCTTGGTCAATTTCATAGCGACTTTGCAGAAATCACAAAAGATAAACAAAGTTTAGCATACAAGTCAATATTTTGTGGAAAGAAGACTTACATAGACTTACTCACGAATGATTTAAATGAAGTTGCATTTCACTGCAGAATGAAAGGCGTGAAGCAAGATGTTATTGCTTTAACCGCTAATGAAATGTTTCCTGACTCTGTTCAGTGTTTCTATGATGAAGATAAAGGTTTAATGGTTCCGCAAGGAAAATTTGACAAAGACTCTGAGTTCAGTGTTATGAAGTTATATAAAGCACTTTATGACGGTCAAGAGATTGCATTCGACTTATGTAAGTCTGCTACACCTGCATTTGAAGAGAAGTTTAACTTTTCTATTCAGACTAAGACTTCATTCATAAGAAAGCTTAAGTTCTGAGGTCATGAATGAGAAAAATAATAAGGTCATTTATTTTGTCAGCAATGAGGTCATTCGTGATAAAAATAAGCCGCTAGCGGCAAGGCGAAGCCCATGTGGTCATTTACAATACTGCGATGGTAGAGTTTAAGAGTTGTGCTTCAATGTAGAGACAGTCCTTATGGTCTGGAGGTAAGAACACTGGGCAGTTATGGTCATGAGTGGAGAACATGTCTATCCAAAACTCACGATTGAAGCCAGTTAATTTATAGTATTTAGGGTTAGGAAGTGGTGAAGTTCTTGTATGACCAATAAACTCATTTTCAACTCCCTTACTTAAGTTTGAATATAATATAGCTTGCTTTCTATCCCAAATGCCAGGTGTTACAATCTTTGAAAATTCATTTTTCCTCGGAAGCATTGCATCATAATTGAAAACATTCTTGAAATCATCACTTGGTTCAGAGATTTGAAATCTTATACGTAATGGATTTTCTTTCTCTTTAGCTACTTCATTGAATGGTGAATATATAACAAACTGACAGTCATGAGTTCCATCTTCATTTTCATTAAATTCATAATGAAAGTCTATAAGTTGTGGCTGACTACCTTCTTCTTTCAGTTGTGCAAGAAACTCACGTAAAGGCTGTAAAGTTTGTACTTCAATGTTGAACTTTTTCTCGAACATCTCATTAAATGAAATCATACATTGTTGCAATGTTGTATCGTCTTTAAAGTATTTGTATATGTGAATGTTTTGGGCGCTTAAAGACTGTTCGTCATTTTCTATCTCGACTTGAAGTATAAAGTCAACCTTTCTGAAAGCATGTGTTATATACATAGATGTTATGCCAATGTACTTCTCTTCATTTATGTTCACAATCCAGTCTGTTGGAAACTTAAACGTTACTCTGTTCCCCTTTATTTTGACGTCAGGGTTTTCACTACTGAACGCAACAGATAAAGGTATTTGTCTATACATTTAATTCGGATAAAAATAACCCATTTACTCTTTCTTTGCTTCAGCTTCTTTAGCTTTTGCTTCAGCTTCTTCTCTAGCTTTCTTCGCCAGTAGTCTTGGGTTCTTTTGTCTTCCAGCAGCTAATGCAGCAAGTTGTTTTTCACTAAGTTTTCTCTTTGGTCTCTCTGGCTTTTGTTCTTGTTTTTGTTCCTTCAGTTCGGATAAAATTTGCTCACGAATTTCTTTCTTCAATGCTTCAACATCTATGACCCCTTGGGTCTTGTCCGTAGGGCTTGTCTGAGTCATTTGACTGCAGATAAAAAAACAAAATTAAAACTTTAACCGATGTAAAATGAGCTTGTCAAAATCAGAGCGAGAGTCTATTATATTAAATGACGCAAGAGGAATACAACATCCTTTCTATTACGTAAGTCAGAGTAAAGATGGTAAAATATACGTAAGAAAAAGAAAGGTTCCATTAGCGAATGCAGAAAGCGACAACATTAAGGTGCATGGCACCGAGGGCGAAGCCCATATAAAACCTTCTGTTCAAACTGAGCCACCAAAAGAACAAGAAGAAAAGAAGCCAGATGTACTTTCAATAACGAACCAAGAGCTTATTGCAAAGTTCGTGAATTTCATTGAAAAACAAACCGAGTCAAAGAACCCTGACCCACCAGTGAAAGAAGTTGAGACAAAAGAGAATGTACAGTTCATTGAAAATGTCAAGAAACAACTTCCACCACGAATACCAAGAAGAAGAGTGAGAATAATGAAGTAAATAGATATTTTTATCCGAAGGAAAGACATGCAGAACGAACAGCTAAACGAATTTACTCCAGCAGAGCATATTCATCAGATTCGCTCATATTTCGATATCATAGACAATGCAGTTCAAATTGGTGACACTAATAGAAAATATTCTGACGCAAAGATTCCATCACAACCTGGAACTGCTAAAGATAACACATGGGTAACATTCAATCTCTCACCTCCTGGTGAAAATATGTTGGACCTTTACAATACATTCATTACGTATAAAATGGAAGGTCAATTTATTGCAGATAAAGAAATTGGTTCAGGTTCCAATAAAACAAACCCACCAGGATTTTGGATTGGTTTCGATGACGCTTTCTATGCAGTTGCTGGATATCAAATCCTTGCAAATGGTCGTATCGTATATTCTCAAGACAACGCAAGAGAAGAAGCATATATAACTTCAAACTCACAAACTACCGAACAAATAAAGAAAGTAGATGTTTTCTCAAAGACTCGACATGAAGATGTATGGAGTCATTCGGGAACATGCAGAACAGGACAAATTGTTAGTGGTCCAATTACAGCAGGAAAATCATTTGATTTTAAGCTTCGTTTAAGAATTCCTGTTAGAAGATTCCTTCCATTAGAAGCTATTCGATTTATTCCAGCTTTTGCAGGAAACATTCAGCTTAAAGTAAAGTTCAGTAGCGACGCCTTACAATGCACATCTATATCTGTAAATGATATCGTTGCTTTCAATCCAACTCTTAAAGTTGCATTTGCTTCAGATTCAAATCCACCAACAAATAAATTTGTTCCATGGAATGAACCATTCACTATGATAACGAAGTCAGTAGAAGCTAGTGGAACAGTTACTATTACAACTGTAACCCAGCAACTATTTCGAACAAAGATGGATTTTAATGAATGTTTTATTCATCCAAAGTCATTCTCTTTAGACCCTAACATTTATACAGAACTTGTAGAACATTATACAAACGAGGCTTTATGTTTTCCTGTTAAAGTTATGGATTGGATTCCTATGGACGGTTCATTCTCAAAGAATACAGATAGTTCAAGTGCAACATTTACAGCAGCTTATACGCCTATTAATGTTAAAAGTATTTGGGCACTATTTAGAAAGAAAGACAACTATTATGTTAATTTTGAGAACCCTAAGTTTAAATATCTTCAGCTTTCCATGGGAGCTTATGGAAATATGCCTGCAGAACCTGAAAAACCATATGGACCTGTATTTTATGAAATGGTTGCGAGCGCTTGCAATACAAACAATGATATGATTGGATTTAATGAAGATGTTATGAGGTCATTGGTGGATGATGGTAGTGTGGAACATAAATGGGATAGCTATGACAACACACATTTCTTATGTGGTTTTCCAACAGAAGTGGACTTTTGCTTCCAGCAAGGTCAAACATCTACTGCTCCAATAACATACAAATTGTCTGTTAAAGGACCTATTGAACTAGCAAGTGAAAATGTACCAAAACCACTTATTGGATTTATGAGGGATTGTTGCTTTGCCATTCCGGTGCGTGCTAATGGCATCCCCATAATAAGATTAGATGACTATAACTTAGCTGCGGACGACAGTGAGGAATAAAGGATGAACGTTTATTTTAAAGCTTATAAATGAGTTCTTCATCAAGCTCTCGTGAACCTTCACCATCTATGAAACAAACTTTACCAAACGATTATGGAGCACCTATTGAATATTTCTTACGAGCTGCACAATGGCAAAGAGCAGTCTCACCAAGGTTAGGTGTTCACCAGCTCCTGTCAAAAATAGCATTTGGTCAAGTCCTTATATAAGATATGGTCTCCCACTAGGTTTGCTAGCTACAGCAGGAGCAGTTATGATGTTGAAAAGAAATAAAGCAAATGTTGTAAATAATACTGAAGTAGCTGAAGTTAAACAAACTCCAACACCTTCGCCAAAACCAACGTCAAAACCAACGCCTTCACAAGCAAAACCTTCAATGACTCCTGAACCTATGGAAGTACAAACTCCTGTTCAAAAGTCAACTCCTAAACCGACTCCAACATTTAAACCAGAACCTACTCCTCAAATAAATCGTAAAACTCCTGCGTTTCCTTACTGAAAAATAACGTTATTTTTATTTAATATTAAAATTTTTATTTGATTGAAATGACAATAAAGTCACTGAAGCAATGAAACAAAAGTTTTTGGTAGAATACATTAAATCAGGAACTATTCCAGAAGGTTTTTACATTCATACTATGAAGGATGGTAGAGTTCAGTTTAGAAAGATAAAGCAACCATTAGATAGAGAAGGAATTTTGAGAAAGATTAAACTTCATGAGGACAACATTGCTGAACTTAAGAAGAAGTTAGAAGAGTTGGAGAAAGGAAGAGAGTTATAAAGCAATGAATTCAACAGGGTGAAAAAAACAGGTGAAAAAAGAGGTGAGATTTCACCACTTCACCTAAATTTATTTTTGTGCTATGTTTTCATACGCGTGAAGGTAGTAATATCATTTATTTTTAAGTTTATTTTTTTTAAATTATTTTTTATTTTATTTTTATATAAATGACAGAACAAAAATAAAGCATATCTACTCAACAGGAATGAGACCCTTACTGACTATGTATTCGTTTAATGCTTGATGAAAACAATGGTACATATTATCGTATGGGTATACACAATGTCTGTTTCCATCGTCGTCGTATATGTAGAGCTCAAATCCAGTCCAACCTTCTTTTGTACAATATGTAGCTTTATTTAAGTATGCATTTATGTAGATAAGGCAATTTTCTTCATCGCTCCAGAAATAATTTTTGTTCTTTGTTGAAATAGTTTTCGTTCCTCTGCGACCATAAGGAATGTATGCAATGAATTTTGCGTCATATGGGATTGTAATATATTCGGGGTTTCTTTCATCGTCAATGGGTCTGTCTTTGTTAAAATGCATGTTTCTCAGTTTTACTTGAGTTTTGAATAGTTCACGGAAACGTTCTGGGAAAGAGTCATAGTAAATGTAGTCGGACATGTCTTTACAATGAAATAAAAAATTTATAAAAAAAAAAAATAAGGTTATTTTATTTAGTGAGGACGGTAGTGAATTCGTTAGTGAGTTCGTTAGTGAAGTCGTTTATGTGTCAGATGGTTTTGTAAATATTAAAGGTTAAGTTGGTGTTATGGTTGTGTTGTAAAATATACGTTACCGGTTTCGTAAAGTGTCAAAACCGCTAAGTGGTGTACGGAGGCGCGCAGTGCCTCAGTACACGACTTAGGGATACTAACTATTTTAATATCAAAATTCAATAAGGAAAACGAAAAAAACAGAATTTTCGAAAAAGTGACACCAACTATTAAAGTTATTTTATTACTAGATTTATTTACAAATTATAAGATAATATCATTAACCGAATATATTTTTAATATAAATAAAAAACTTTTTTATACAAAAAATTACAATCAATCGATAAATATTATAAAACATTTATTCCAAAAAGATTAAGTAATAGGTGGGATCCTGCATATAATATAATTTTATGTCATAAAGCTTACAAATTTTAGATGGACCACAGTGAGAATGTGAGTGGTTAATTTAAATGGTCTGATAAAGACATCGAAGCTTACTCAACACAGCATGAAGCAGTTTCTAATACACAATCTTACTAGTGGTGTTTCGGTCGCCAGCGCTCTCATAGGGGTGCTGATTTCAAAAACCACTACTTCAAATTATTCAACAATATTCAATGCAGCATGAAGCAGTTTCCAATTCAACAATACTCAACACAGCATGAAGCAGTTTCTAATAAATATATACATATATAAATATATACATATATAAATATATACATATATAAATATATACATATATAAATATATACATATATAAATATATACATATATAAATATATACATATATAAATATATACATATATAAATATATACATATATAAATATATACATAAATTATATATACTATATATACATATATAAATATATACATATATAAATATATACATATATAAATATATACATATATAAATATATACATATATAAATATATACATATATAAATATATATATATATATATACATATATAAATATATACATATATAAATATATACATATATAATATATACATATATAAATATATACATATATAAATATATACATATATAAATATATACATATATAAATATATACATATATAAATATATACATATATAAATATATACATATATAATATATACATATATAAATATATACATATATAAATATATACATATATAAATATATACATATATAAATATATACATATATAAATATATACATATATAAATATATACATATATAAATATATACATATATAAATATATACATATATAAATATATACATATATAAATATATACATATATAAATATATACATATATAAATATATACATATATAAATATATACATATATAAATATATACATATATAAATATATACATATATAAATATATACATATATAAATATATACATATATAAATATATACATATATAAATATATACATATATAAAAGTACAGTATACATTGTGCGTCGCCTGTAGCCTACAGCTACAGTCACCGACACAATGAAAAAAGTGACAGAAAACTGACACCATACGGGCGCGCATATGTACGCATATATGTGTAAAAATAAACGTTCATATGTAAACTAACCTTTATTCACTAGCAGGGGCTGATAAATCATAATCGTCGAGAAGTACGATAGGTGGTCCCACCTGTTTAATCTGTATGGAGAGGCAAACGTGACGTAAGAAGCATAACACTGGTTTCTCAGTATATTTAATAGACTCTGCTGTTGGCTTAACTGTAAGCTTATATGTAATAGGTGAATTAGATAACTGACCCTGTTGGAATGTATAATCAGTTTCGCAAGGGAATCCACATAGGTAATGACCTAAGTCATTTGACTCGATTCCAAATTGAGGGACTGATGTGGTTGTGATAGACCTCATGACATCATAGTTGAAGCCAACAGTATCGTTATTATTGTTAGTGGCATTTGCCTGCATCTCATAGAAGATTGGATCATTAGATGCTTGAGCCTCAGCGGGTATGTTACCATATGCTCCACAGTTCAATTGAATTTGTTCAAACAATGGATTTTCATAGGTAGTGTTATAATTAGGTGTTTTCTTAAATAGTGTATAAATGGTGTTCACATATAATGGAGTAAATGCTGCCGTGAATGTACAAGGAGTTCCTTCACCTTTAGCCATTGAACCATCCATAGTAATGCAGTCAATTCTTTTGATTGGGAAGTTTAGAGTCTTTGCCGAATATCTTGTCACCAAATCACTATAGATGTTAGGGTCCAAAGAGAATGAGTTACAGTATGTAATCATTTCAAAGAAGTTTGCATTCTTCTTAGTGAACTTAATAAACTTGGTACCAAATGATATCGTACTCTTATCGGCATTCCAAGTTACAGTATCAATAACTTTGATACCTTCATAGATAGGAGTGAAGTGATTAGTGATTGGAATATAGCTTGTAACATTGGCTTGCATGTTCGGTAATGGTAGAATATCCTGATAACTTAATGGTGTCCAAACCATACCAGCAATACTGAACTTAACCTTAAGTTGTAAGTTACCAGCAAACGCTGGAAGGAATCTAATGTTATTAAGTATTAGGAATCTTCTTAGGTCAATCTTGATTGGTATGTGGAACTTTAATGTAGTTGCACCACTAATTGGTTTATTGAACTCAATAATCTGTCCAGAACGAACTGTATCACATCTATTGAAAACATCTTTATGTCTAGCCTTACTAAATACATCAACTTTCTTAATAGCTTCTGTTGTAGATGCAGTAGAAGTAATGTAACCTTCTTCTCTAGCATTATCTTGTGTATAAACACTTTTACCATTAGCGATTAATTGATATGATTCAACAGCATAGAATGAATCAATGTATCCCAACCAAATTGCTGGAAGATGTGCACATGATTTGCCACCAGCATATTTAGTATCAATTGCTTTAATTGCTGTAACATTTGATCCTGTAGGAGCTGTCTCAACAGCTCTTTCTTTATATACTTCACCATCATATTTAGGAACTTTTTCATCAGCTGGTTCAGTTTCTGTTGTAATTATGCACTCACCATCGACATAACCACTAATGAACGTATTATATAAGTCAATCATGTTCTCACCAGGTGGTGATATGTTAAATGTAATATAACCGTTATCAATAGTATTTGTCGGCATAGCTGGCACTTTTGTTGGGACATATCTATGGTTAGTATCTCCAATAGGAACTGCCCCATCAACTTGATCGAAATAATATCTTACTTGTCTGATGGAATCAGCAATACTGTATGTATTGAGGTTATCGTTCAACATCTTTCTCAGCTATAAAAAATTTACAATCTTCTTATTCTTGGGATTATTCGTCTTATTTGTGGCTGAGGTTTAGGAGGTTCTGGTTCAGGCTCTGGTTCATCATCGAAGTGTATTCTTTTCTCTTCCATTGATTGAACATATTCTTGATTCTCTTTAGTTTCCTTCTCACGTTCAATTGGGTCCATGTTTGGTTCATTAACTACACTGTTACGTTCTAATATCTTTGTCATCATCTCTAACAACATTTTATTAGTATATGCTTGTTCTTCTTCTTTCTTCTCATCAACTTTAGGAGCTTCTTGAACAACAGGAGCTGGGGCAGGAGCTGGTGAATTCAATGGTGCCTTTCTCTTTCTAACTTGAACTGAACCATTCTTCATATGACAAACATAATATAATGGATGTTGTATTCCTTTAGCTTCATTCAATATGATTGATTGCTTTTCACTTGGTGAAAGTTTTGACGTCATTTCTATCCTAATAAAATTTTTTACTCCTAACAAAATGACTGAGAATACTTTCGACAGAGAAGCACTCAAGAATGAACTTCGTGAAGAAATACTTAATGAACTCAAACCAAAAGAACAAACACAAGAAGAGAAACCAGCTAAACCAAAGCGTAAACTCACAGAGAAACAATTAGCTGCATTAGCAGCTGGACGCGCAAAGAATCCACGAATGATTGCAAAGAAATTGAGAGAAGAGGAAGAAGCTAAGAAAAATAATAAGTAAGTGTTTAGAACTTTAACTTACGTTCAAAAGATGACTTCGTTGAAATAGTGAAGTCCTTATTTTTGTTGAAGCATGGTTTCGAACCAATGCACAAGTCAAAGGTTATCTCATCACCTTCATAAAGAGATTTGTACAATTCCACGATGCTATATTTTTCCCCAACTTTCTCAGGGAAGAACAAACCTTTCTTCTCGTCATAATGTACTTGTATCGCATCTGGGAACATTTGGTTTGCAGTAAGTGCAATTACGTCCTGTGTGATTCCCTTCATTCGACAGTGGAAAGCAATTTCCTTGAGGTCATTGGTTAATTCGTCGAGGTAAGTCTTCTTTCCAACGAATATAGATCTTTGTGCCTTAGACATATGTCCTGCAGTAATCTCTGCAAAGTCTGAATGAAATTGACCCAGTGCTTTTCCAATGAGTTCTCTGTTATACCTTCTCTTGTATTCTTCTGCTAACTTATCTAAGTCCTTCTCATACAAGTGTAAACTATCTGTATCCTGATAGAACAACTTCAAGCCCAAATCTTCTGCTGTGAAGAATACTTCATTCATGATTCGTTTGGACATAGAAAGGATTGAAACACCTAATGGACAATAGTTAAAGTGACGAACGATAGGTTTAAATGACTTTACACATGAAAGTTCGGAATCGGGGATGAACTCTATTGTCTGTATGTCATTATAGTTCTTAATGATATAGTCAGTGAGCTTATTGTCCTTGATGAAACGAATCTTTTTGTCAATGGGCTTTAATATCGTCTTACCATAGATACTGTTCAAAAGAAGTTTGATGATCTCTTGTATCGGATTACCTTCCTTCTTATACTTAGCACGTAATTCGAAGAGCTTCTTAACTTCATTCCTTATTGTCATGTCCCTTTTTCCATCATAATAGTATCCATCAATGACTTTGCATGAGATCTCTTGGAACTTGATCAGATCTTGAAGCGTAATGTGGTCTACGAACATCTTGCAGCATGTATTGGAACTTCTGGCAACATGTAAGTCAGGGTTGATGTCAGGATTGACGACAATCAATGGGAATGCTGAGTTCTTACCGATCGACAAGATCTCGATCTGACAGTAAAATCCTGAGATGAACTTTTCCTTTGTTGGTTCAGCTTGGTCATCATCAAAGAGATGCTCCAACAAGTATTCACTGCTCTTCATCTCTTCTGTCATAACTTTTGGAATTCCTTCTAAACAGTAAAGTCTAGCAATTGCTGATGGATACAATGATACAGCATCGAAGTCAGTGATGAGTTCTCCTTCATTGTATTGCTTCTTGTTCTCAGCTAGCATGCATCTTCCTCCTTGAATACACTTGGAAATATATTCACGAGGTTTTCCTGCAAGATCAAAGAGATTACCGTTCTTCCAATATACTCTCTTCTCAAAGAGTTTGTTTGAGATAGAACTTATTGAAACATAATCATAAGCATCTATTTCAAACTCAGTCATGAGGTCATTGCGGAACTTAAGAAAGCCATCTCGTAAAATGCGTACATCTTGACCGCAATAGAATGACGAATAAACTTCCATGTCAAAGTGTTCATCATCAATCTTGCAATCTTCAATCTTCTCAATGTTCTCATTAAAAGCTTCAATATCTTTGACATGATTCATGGCATCATCGATGTTACCAACTTTAGTTGTATTAACTAACTCTTCCGTGTAGTAATTATATGGGAAAACTTCTTTTTCACCACTAGTGAGGTGAAACATTTCAGGGAATCTTTCCAACTTAGTTGAGATGATTGCATAAGAGTCTTTGAAGCAGAGAAGTTTTCCTTTGTACTTTCCTTGTATCTGCATCGTTTGTGAACCTTTGATGATTGGAGTTCCTGTAATCTCTTCTAACTGAGACATGAGAAAAGTGACATCGTACGATAAGTTGTGGAAATAAACTAAACTCTTATCTGGTAAAGCTTCGAGGAATTTTGACGCACAGTCACTTCCCCAAATTGATGTATAACCATCATCGTCATCTTCCATGAAACAAATGTTGTATGCTTTGTGAATGTTTCCATCAGTTGATGCTTCGAAGTCAGCAAAGAAAACATGTTCTCTTGGGAACTTCATGTCTTTCTTCGTCTCTGAACTCCAATCTTTCTTCATCCTTGCGCAATAACGCTCATTGTATGTGAGGTCAATCATTTCTTCAAGGTTCTCATTATACATCGTTGTGAAGTATGTGCAAAGTTCTCCTGTTCTAATTGGTTCGAAATAATTGTTAGCAAACAAGAGTTCAATGACTTTTGCAAGTGGTGTAACTAACTTTGAGTTAATTGCATACCTTGTTTCATATCTTCTGTTAACTAACATCTTCTTCTCTAAAGTCCAATCCTTGCACAACTTACAAACATCTTCATAGTTCTTGATGAACATTGAACTTATTGGAAGCTTTTCGTTCAACATGTAGTGGTCATACATTAATAAAAGTTCTACTGTCATCTTTGGTTCTTCATCTGGTTCATAAGTATATGAATGATTTGAATACTTCTCGTTGTATTTGATGACATGGAACCTTATTCCTGTTTCTTTGGCAATAACCTTAATCTTTGACATTGGAAAATCTTTGACACGAATGATTTCCCTCATATGATTAATTGTTGCTTCGTCAACACCAGCTTGAATACAAGCGTAGATGAAACATGAATCTTTCATCATCTTCTTTGCTGTCTCTGCATTAAGTTCGTTGAAGATCTGATACCTCTCTAAGTTAATAGGTAATTTGCATGTCCATGTCCAAAGCTGACCATTACGTGACCTGTTTCTCTTCTTTGAATGGTTTTGTTTGATGATCTTGAGTGCGATCTTTTCTTGACCTGCTGCTCTCATCGTATCTAACATAACTTGTTCTTCAGCTGTGAGTTTATATGGTGTGTACGTTCCTTTTCTCAAAGCAGAAGCATCAACATCTGAATAAGCTGTATAGTCAAAGATCTCGATCTTCCTTAACGAAGGAATACTACAAAGGAAGAAGTCATAGTTTGATTCAAGGACTTTAGATGCTAATTCTTGTACTTCTGCTATTGGAGCTTCATTAAGTAACTGATGAACTAATGATCCCATTGTATTGATGTTCAAATGACGCAAAATGTTTCTCTTCTCATCAAAGTCGTAATAGAATGTCCACTTCTGTTTGAAAAGGTCTATCTGTCCAATGAACTTTGCCATAACTCTTGGAAACATCTTGTTGAAGTAATCTTTTCCTCTTGGACTGTATTGGTCAATGTTAAACATAATGAATCTTTCTCCTGCTTTAGTTATTGGGTCTAACCATTTCTCATCAGGAAGTTTTTGACCATTAATGTTCTTAACAACGTAAAAGGCATTCTGTATTTCTTTGTATGCTAATTCGCTCTCATCAATCTTTGGTGGAGGGTCTGAGTATATTGGTTGCATCTCCATTAACGCTCTATTATGAGATCTCTGATCGTGATCTAAAGCAACTGGGGAATTTGAAGCTGGAACATTCATGATACCATTGTAGTCATCATAGAAGCTCTTAGCATTCTTGAAAATATCTGCTACACTTCCTGTACCTCCTTGATTCTTAATTGCCAGAGCTAATTTATTGGTAATGTCTTTAGCTTTCTTAGGCATTTTGATCCCAAACATATCAAGCATACCTTTCTTATCTTCTGGTGAAAGGTTATTAACTAATCCTTTTATAGCATTGAGCATGTTGGTCTTTTATAACCGATAAAAAAATATACGTTATTTTTTTTTAATCGTCATCGTAATCATAATCGTACGAAGATTCTGTATCATCATCACTGACATCATTGGTTTCTCTAACTTCTGGCTTATCTGGTTTAATCTCTATCACCATAAACATTGGTGACAATAATCGAACAGGCTGATCTTGGAAGTCAACTAAGGTAAACGTAACATTAGTTAGTTCCCATGGAAATGCATCTATCCATGGTGAGGATTCCTTACATATAAGTGGTTTACCAGATATCCAGAACTCATTGATGTTATAACATGTAGATCTGTACATGATCTTTCTTCGATCATCAACTTGGTCAATATTATTGAACCCAGAGATGACAGACATTGATGAACGAAGGTATAACTGATACCCGAAGTTGAGCATAGGTGGTTTTGGCATTTGTAGATAATAATTATGTACAATAGGTAGTTCTATTCCATATGCACCTAAAATAAGATTTGCTCTATGTGAAGCATCTTTTAAATAGACTTTATGTCCTTTGTCCTGTGACGTAAATATAAGTTGATTCGTAGCACTCAGTGAAACTGTTACATTATGTTGACCTTTTTTCTTGTTATAATAATCAAACTGTTTTGTTACAATCTCTTGTAGTTTTGATACAATAGTATCCATATCAAATGAAAGAGCTGACTTAAATGTACACACCTTTTCTTCTCCATCTTCGTCTAACTGTAAGACAAAATAATCTGTTTCGTCACAAACAATAAAGTTCGCCATAGTACTGACACTTTTTACTCTCATCTTTATCTTACTTGGATGCCCCATGTTAGGATCTGCTTGAAACTGTATTGTCCCGTAGTTATTAGGATCAGTCGATTGTAGATAATACATCATTTTTATATGTAGTAAAAGAATGAGTGTTGTTCCATATGCATATGAATGTTATAAGTCTAGCGTACTTCAATATAAAGAATATACTCTCAGAATTACTGATAATGCTTTAGTCATACATAAAGAAGGTGCTGATGAAGACATTACCATCGGTCCTGGTATATTACCTATCGAGCAACCAGATGGTACAATTGTTGAAACAGACTTAAATCAATACCTTCAAGCGTTACAGAATCGTGTGACAAAAGTAGAGAATAATTACTTAGATGCTCCATTCTTCACAACTGATAGAGATTATATGTTTTCATGTATGGCGAGTAATGGTTTGCAAGAAACTCGTGAGGTAAATATTAATGAAGCATTAGAGACTATAATATATCATGTTAAACGGTTATTATCGATTGACCATGGAGTTCATTTTGACCCAAGGTCTACACTGTTCAATATACCAATGATTGAAAACAGTCAATTAACATTTAAAGAAGATACATTGTATAATGCTTTAAACGCAGCATTTGCTTATATATTAGGTCATGAACAAGTACAAAATAGTGGTATTGCAATATACTTAGATAAAGTTATGTTAAAGAAACCATTGACATTCACAGAAGATGGTCCAAAAGCAACTGGTATTGTTGGTGATGGAACATTATTGACGAAAGAATACTTAGCAAGTCATGTCGGAGAATTTTTCTCCACTAATGATAGCATCAGTACAACACCAGAAGTTATTTTATTGAAGAAACCAATCACATTTGATGTTAAAGGAAAGACAAAAGCAACTGGTATAGCTGGCGATGGAGTTCTTCTGACTAAGGAATACTTGAAGAAAAATATCAATGACTTCGTTGAAATTGTCAAAGATAAAGAATCTGGTCTTAAGTTCAACCCTTTATCATTCATCTTTGCCATAGCAAACGCCGGTGCTACTGCAGCCTCATGGATATCACTCCAGAGTCAAATAAATGCTCTTTGGGCTTTTGTTGAAAGTCAAGAAGGTATAGATACTGTTCTTGACACTCTGGGTAATCTTGGTCCAAATCATAAAGGAGGTTTTGTGGATGGAATAAAAAATTTAGTTGAAAAGACTAAAACAAGTTTCCAGAAGATAACTCATATAGAAAGATTCAGAAATGAAGGTTATATGGAACTTGAGAGTTTTGATGTGACTGGACTTTGGAACCAATTCCAATGCCACGTGATGCTAATGATGAAGAAGAGAAAGATCCTGGACCAAAAACAATCATTTCTACGTTAAGTACTTTGTACCCTGATTTTTGTGACCTTAGTGAAAGTTGCTAATACATCAAGAAAGAACAATAATATTAATATGTCTGGTACTGATGACCTTACTGATTATCTTTATCTCATTCTTGCTGAATTAGCGAAGAAAGTTGAGGAGAAACAAAAATAATGGAGGAAGAACTGCACTTAAGATTGCAGACAAAGCTGACAAAAGTTATGTTGACGAAGAGATACGTAAAGTTGCATCTAAAGAATATACTTTATCACAGTCTGTCATACTTAAGACAATCAAAGGTCCAGAGAAAGATATGTACCCAGGTGATGGTACAACAGTTAAAGTTAATGAAAGAGTTTCATTCCCATCTGGTATTGATACAAAAGAAGTATATATTAATGGTGAAAACATCAATACAACATTGTTTCCTTTGAAAAATAATGAGTTCACTGAACCTTTGACAGTTAAATCAATTCGTTCAAGAGAAGACAAACCTGTTATAATCAATAAAATAGGAGCTGATAATGACCAACCAGTTCAAATCAAGAAAATAAGAGCTGATGACATTATCTTGAACTATACTTTAGGTTCAAGTGCTCCACAAGAAGATCCAAGCACTAGCGTAAAAGATACTCTTAACAGTTTAGATAGTAAATGTACGAACATTGAAGGTCATGCCAGAAACTTCGAAGTATATGAACTACCAGCAATGTTAGATAAGAAAGCTGACAAGAACCATGTTCATTATATAAGTTCAGATGAACAGATTATAACGGACTACCACGGATATTTAACACAGGGTGAAAAAGTGAATACGAAAAATGTTAATGAAAGAAGATATAAATTCATTCGTGCTAAAGGTTATGACATACACTGTACTGTACAGTATGACACAGGTATAGCACCACAATCATTTGGTTATAACGCTGAAATTTATGCTTCATACTTCTTTGTTAACGGTGTATTAGTTGAGCCAAGATTTAGGTTGAGAGTTAAGGCAAAAATAACCGTTGAAGATGCTATTAAAAGTAAAGCTGACAAAGATGAACTTGACGCAACGAACAAAGTTTTGAAATCTCATAAACACAATATCTCCGACATAAATTCACTTCAAACTTCTTTAGACAACAAAGCAGACAAAACTTATGTTAATGAACAGATCTCAAAGATCTCTAATGCATCTGTAAACAATGGAATACCTGAAAGCATTACAGTTAGCTTTGGTAATAATGATATGGGTAAAGTTGCAATATTTATAAATTATAACATTGGTCCATCAGAAAAAGGTCCAAGTTACTATACATTGAGTCATGGTAAATCTATTGAACTTGTTGTTCCACAAAAAAGATGGAACAAACTTAACTATTCATCCTGGAGATACGTTTGAGTTTTATTTGAACGATGTCACCACAGTAGATTATACTTATAGACCTTCTAACATGTTTGACATGATGTATCCAATTGGTTCTATATTTACATCAATGAGCTCAACAAGCCCGCAAACCCTTTATGGAGGTGTTTGGCAACCGATTGTTGATCAGTTTCTTTACTGTTCTAACTCATCAATGGACTTTGGTGGTTCAAAGACTATCAGAGTTGAAAACCTTCCACCACACTCCCATAGGTTCAGTGCAACAACATCTACTAATGGAGAGCATTCACATTCAATGACAAAAAGAGGTTATACAAATCTTGCAGCAGGTTCTGATAGACAAGGTATGAATAGATATGATATCACAGATGACCCTAGAGATGTTAGTACAGGTATTTTCTGCGGATCTGCAGGAAACCATACTCACACAGTAGCTGGAATCACAGATGCAACAGGAAAAGGTCAAGACTTCTTACCACCATTTATGACTGTATTCGCTTGGTTCAGAGCTGCTTAACTCAAGATCACGATCACAAACTGTTTCTCAGTATGAATGAGTAGCTCTATTTTTACATCATTACTGAAGTATTTCTTTTCTTCATCAATGACAGAAAGAATGTTTTCATCATCTTTTAAAGATCTTACCAAAGTTAGATCTTCATCAGAAAATCTCAAAGAAAGACTCATTTATGCACTAATAAAAATATAGCTAATTATTTTTTTATCTGAACTTTTTATCGGGTATATAAAGATGTCTGAACATCATATAAAGTTCTTTAAGATCCAACAGTTTGTAGATGAAGTGAAGAAGCAAAATAAAACAGCAAAGAGACTACTTATATGCTTACCACAAACATTATGTCAAGGAAAGTATGGTTATAGTGCAAGTCCGATCATGATCTTTGTCGATAAGCAGAAATACACAAATGAAGGTTTAGCTAATTTACTCAAGTTTGAAAAGATAGCTATAAACATTCCTGACCATTTCTCAGCGAGAATAAACCTTGACAAGACTAAAAGTTATTGTTTATATGTAGATCTCACGAAATCAACAAAGAGTAAAGACAAAGAATATAACCCAGTTGAACTTAAGACAATGGGTAAGAACTTACTCAAAGCTGCTATCAAACCTGTCGAAGAGATCGACATTGAGGATGAAGCAGAAGAAATAGATGTAGATCCTGAAGTGTTATAAACGATAAAGTTTATTTTTGGAGGAAGATGGTGTCAGACCATTTGATCTGGCATGCTTGTTCTAGGTAATTGCAGAAACCTGGAAAGATTGTTATTGGTCTGAGTTTCATACCTGGTCTCTCATCTCTCCATTGAAGCAAGTAAATTTACATGAAGAGTTCGTCTGGATTCTCAGGCTTTGGTACACACTGATCGAAGATCTGTATGACCTCTTCATGACCGTACTCCCTCTGGTCAGACATGAGTGTTCTGAAGAACTTTTGCATCTTCGGACCAGGTTTAGCATCTATGCAACGAGTGGGTCTCATTGA